AACCTTCTTTCTGGCGGCTGTGACTGCATGCCTGCACTTGTCATCGTATGTGTGGCTGGCATGATCACATGGTTTTCTGGCCTTGCAAGCAGGGCAATCAAAGGTCACTGGTTCAGTGTCTGGATGTTTGCATTCACCTGCAACTCTGCTGTGTTGAGGGTCATATTTTGGCAGTCTCCACCGGCACCCCTTGCACTTACGCCAGGGTTCGTTGCCGGCCTCCTCAGGTTCTGGATCTTCCTGGGCTTCGTCACCGCCGCCCACAGCCACTGACGGCATTGCTTGCACTGGGCGCTCTTTTGTGCTTGCGGCTAGTTGCTGAATGCCGAAGGCTATTCTGTCGCACATGTCGCGACTCCACTTCTGCGCCTTGCTTGCTTGACCACCGGTCAGCACTGCATGCGGGTGATCACCAGTACAGACTAGGCCCTCAAAAGGTTCCAGAAGGGTTCGTGTACTGGCCACCAACTCAGTGGCTTTCTTGCACAGCTGGCCATTGATGTACTGCTTAACACGGCACTGGTGGAAAACAACTTTGACAGTACCTTCATGTTGCAGTACCCTCGGCCAGGGCTCCTCTTGGAAGAGGGTTGATGATTGAGGTTGTTCACATAGGAAATGTCTTTCTTCACTGATTTGATGGAGAGCAGCTCGGCCGCAGAACTCTGCAAGAGGCGCGGACTCTTGGTAGCTGCGGTCCCATCCTTCTGGATGTATCACTCGGTTCCAGCGTCCCAGTGGGCCGAAGGGATCACATCTGGGCGCCATCACGATGACCAAAGGCTTTGCTATGGAAAGGTACGATAACACTTTCCTCTGGGTGCTGGTGTCTGTGAGATCACAGCCAGTCAACAGCTCAAAATTGTGGCCTGTGCTGAGCTGACGCTTGACTGCCATTTGAGTGGTCAGTCCCTGACCACCACAGAATTCAACGATTTCAACACCATATGGTCGATTGATCAAGATCGGATAGGCTTCTTCAAAGTCGACCGCAATGACCATGCCTGGATGTGTTGATGGAGGCAGGTCACTTTCCGAACACTGGAAACCGTGTGTAACCCAGGATGATAAGATTTTGTGTCCAATGTTATCTTCTTCATCGGATGAATATCCGTCGATGAACATGGACAGTTTTGGGTCCTTGTCACAAATTGGCGTCAGATCTTCTCCACAGTCGTCGAAATGTTGTTCGACTTGTTTCTTCTTTCTCTTTGGCAAAATGCCATCTTTAGCACGCTGCTTGGCAGCCAACCGCTGCTCTGTAGGGTAGCATCCGACTTGGATCAGATGAGCTTGTTCATTTTCCACTGGTGCTTCACAGGTGTTGCACCAGGCAGTCTCACTTGGAACAAGCAGTTCGCAGCAACGGCATTGGAAAAACGTAGCGCAAAAATTGTGTGGTGTCTTGCTTACAGTGCTCTGTGCGGGCAAGGTTAAACTTTTAAACACTGAAGATTCTGGTGCGGGATCTCGAGCTCTTGACGAGTCGGAACTCGTCGCGTTGTGCTCTACGTGTTGCGCTGGATGCGCGGATTGACATGCTATCTGCTGGCTGTCACTGCCTACGACTGTACCTTCCATTGATACTGTTGAGTCGGCTGACTTCCCAGACACGGATTCGCAAATCCATGCGGACTCCAGGAGATTGGCCGCTGCTTCAGCTTCATATGTATGGCGTCTCTGGGCAGTGCAGCAGGGATCACGCAGGGCCAAGTCATGCACATGTTCAGCATCTGCAGGGCATTGGCAGGGCGTGCTCTGCCACTCAAAGGTGCTTGCACACCGGTGGACGACGGCACTGGGGTTCCCACCCGTCGTCTTAAGTCCGAAGGTGCACCACCTGTGGGTGCTCAACTTCAAACCACAGACATCCACCAGGGACTGCACACTTGAATGCTCCCATGCTGAAGAGTGCGACCTGGCGATGACAAGCGGAACATCATACCGTTGACTTGCCGTCACCAGGACACGCAACCTCTGCATGACCCGAGATAGATTTGTCGCTCCGACAAAGCGCTTAGGATGAGCGAGATCAACCCACACCATATCGTACCTGTCTGTTTTGATGAATTCAAGGATGGAATCGAACCCTCCCCGTGTCAGTTCCACAGGCCTCACACGGGTGACTCGGCAATCCATTCCTTCAAATGCACATGCATGAGCATCGAAGTTGCTGATGCTCAACAACCTCAGCTCTTCTTCGGCCAGGCTGGATAGTCAACTGGGAGGCGGCTCGCCTCTGGCTTGACGCACCTCTCTTCGCGCCTTGCGCTTGGCTGTGCGAGTCGCACTTGGGTTCGCCATCACCTCTGTGAGGTGTGCTTCAGCTTTCGCGATCTCAGCATCGGTTCCGCGCTGCAAGGGTCGAGCGCCTGCAGCTCCAGTCTTGGCCGTTGGCGGATTCTTTGGCTCTGGTGGTGGCTGGAGGAGTCGCTTCGGCCGCGGCGGCGGCGGCGGCAGTCGCTCCCCTCTCACCACCTCATACTCTTGGCCATCATCTTCCCTCGTCACCAACCGCCGTGGTGGAGGCGGCAGCGGTGGGCTTGACTTACCTGCACCGCGCTCCTTGGGCAGTTGCGCTGCCACGGACTCGCATGCTTTGGCCACTTCAGCAGGGCGTGCACTGCTGCTTGCTGATCCACTCTTGGGTGTGATCATCTCCGAAGGCAACGCCACATATGATTTGTCAATTGGCCCTTCACGACGTGGTGTAAGCACCACACTTCCACGGTCAGTGTCATATGCTGACGTTTGGTCAGTTGCTGAGCTTGGCGCTCTTTCGACCCCTTCCTCATGGCTAGTCTGGGACCCTTGGGATGCCCATCGTTTTGTCTCCCTTGGAACGGCACCTGGCGAGACAGGTGACCGTTTTCGTCTTCGTCCGCGGCCCTCTTCGTCTGGCGACCCCGCCGGGTCTTCTTCCTCTTCTGCTTCACAGCGTCTCTTCCGGCGGCGCCGCCTGCCACGGCGTGAGCGAGCCCCACTTGGATCCCTGGTCAGCTCCTTTTCTTCGGGGTATCCTTCGCGGTCTGCGATCTCGTCCAAGGTCAGATTCTTGAAGTCACCTGTGTGACGGCTTGCGGGCTCTGCCTTGGGCTCGGCTGTTGCTTCAACAGAGACTGGCGGAACAGCCTCGTTTGCAGCTGTCACTTCCGGACTGCTGCTCTTGGCTTCTTCGGCCTCAGCGGCAGGGACTGGCGTCACAGTCTCTCCTGCCTCCGGGGCTGGTTCGTCAGCTGGTGACGTCGGCGCTTGGGAATCTGCCTCTCTGCTCTGACCTTCCTGGTTCTCCTCAGGTGCATCGGATGCAACTGCAATGCTGGGCTCGACCGGACTTGCTGCAGCAGGCTCTGACGCTCTGTCTGCCTCTTCCGGGGTGTTGGTCGGCTCCTGTTTGCATTGCTCGGTCTTGACAGTGGTCATGTACCCTGACTCGTGGATGCCCTCCTCACTGAACAGATGGCGCACTCCCTGAGACCCACTCGCAAGACGTGAGAACTCTTGGAAAGGCAACAGCAGGTGTCCAGTGGCTGCCCGGGTCAAATTAAAGGTCTCTGTCCCTTCTGCCAGTTCGAAGCGGGACTCTCCTGGCCCCAGCAAGTGTAGCTGGTTGGACACCAGGTCGAGGACTGCCCTGTGCTGCGTCAAGGACTTCAGGCCCAATAGGGCTGGTGCATTTGACCCTTCGATGACCGGGGCAGAATAGGTGCCACCTTTCACTGTCCCATCGGATCTTGGGATGGCCAACGGAATGACCACGTCTTCCCGACAGTTTTGGCTTCCCTTGCCGACACCACCGACGCGAAGGGGTGCACTGCGGGTTTCTCGTGATGCGGTCTTTCCTTGGCTTTGGAGGGTCTTTTCCACCTCCTCAACCCATCCGCTTCCCGCGAGATTTCCATAGCTGCCTGGGTCGACCAGAAGGCCCAACTGACCATCGTCGCACCTGACAGTCGAATGGTACCCATGGCTGGACTCAGTTGCATCGGCTGGTGTTGGTGGATTTGTTTCGGGGATTGGCCACCATGGATACGACCGGATATTGTCCGGCGTCACATATTCTTCAGCAGATACTGCACTTGCCTCAGACGGAACTGGGGTCTGGACGGCTTCATTCAGTTGCTCCTCAACTGTGGGCTGCGCATGGAGGTTGAAGGTCGGCTGCACCCACGAACGATCGACCTGAGTGTCTTCCCTGCAGTTGGGGCATACCAGGCGGATGTCTCCTTCGCCTATGGGTGCGTTGTGCTGAAGGTACTCACCCATGCAGACACAGTGGAAAACGTGTCGACACTGCAGTCTGCAACAGTGATCCTCTGCCGCAAACCGGTTCAGGCAGATTGTGCAGGTGTCTTGGTACACCTCCAGGCCTCCATCGCCGCGGGGGCGAGACTCCCTGGTCTGCGCAGCTTGAGGTTCGGGCTCTTGTTGTTCTTCTTGCTGTTCACGGTGACTGCGACTCTCACGTCGCCGCTCCTGTCTCCCAGCATGGACCTGAGTGAAGAGACCAGCGGCTTCTGATGCAACTGCTCCTCCACTAAGTGCCGGTTCAACCATTGCCTGCAGGGCCTGAGTTGCGGCGGTGTATGCTGTCGGCACCGGCGGCAAGACCATTTGCTCAGTGCCACTCCCCACCATTGGTCTGGTGGTAGACAGTCCTGAGACTTCCAGAAAGGATCTCACATCCGGCACGTGCCATGCAGGAACCGATATTCCGGGGTCCAGCGTCGATGCAGCTGGACCTTGCCAGTGCGATGGCGCTGGCTGAATTGGGTTACTTGCTGATCCTTGCGGGCGTTCAGCTGTCATCCATGTCCGCCACGGATCGTTCTCCTGCAGAGGGTCTGGTGTCATGTGATACACCTCAGGAGTTCTGTCACCGGGTCGCGCATTGGCTGCATTAGGAGTCGACACTCCTTCTTGGCTTTGCTGCTGTCCCTCCTGATTTCCACCATCTTCTCTTGGAGTGCCGATACGACTCCAAGACTGTTCACTTCCAGGCTGGGCCTGAAAGGCGGCAAAGTGCACATACATCGAACGGCTCGCTTGGTTTGCCTGCGACGTATGGTGGATCTGGCCAACGGAACTTGTGGCCGCTGCTGCTGGCTGGGAGGCGTCACTCCTCTGTGGGCATCTTGCACGGAGGTGGTACTGAGATTGGCAGATGCTGCACTTGAGAACTTCTCCATCTCTGCCTTTCGGGTTCAACCTTCTGCCAAATCCCTTCCCGCTGCTCTTGCCTCCTTTTCCCTTCCCCTTGTAGAAGGAACTTTGCTGCAGCATCTCGTTGATGTTGACATAGGCATGTCCAAGGCCTCCTTAACTGCCTTTGCCCTTGCCTTTGCGACGCAGCACGCGTCGAAGTGCTCTAACAGGCTTGCCAGTGAACCTTCGCCATCTCTTCTTGGCATGTTGGTACCTGCCAAACAGGTATTCATCCACTTGGAACGAGGACATTCCATTGAGGTCTGAGATGTCCATCAGCGAGTTGTTGTCGCTGGATGTGGCACTGTCTGTGTCCGACTCACCATTGTTCGTGAGGTAGGACCAGTTTCCACCTGCATCGGCACCGTCAGCTTCTTGGCCATCTTCTTGGTTCGGGCCTGTCTCATCACTGGGGGACGCACCTGCCCAGTAATGATTCGACCCCTGATTGCCTCTCAAGGTTGAGGCAATGTTGTCACGATGGCTTTCCACTATGTGTCCAAGCCGTCTGATGGCGCTTGTCATGTGCAAGAATTCCTGTTCCGTGGATGGCAACCTATAGCCGAAAGGCTGTGTCAACTGTTGGAACTGGGTATGATTGGCACCAACAGCTCTCAGCAGAATGAGCGCTGCCGTCTCGGTGCTCACTGTGGCTCCCCCGCCATCGGCACGGGCACGTTGTCTGACTATGTCAAACCTTGACAACACCGTGTCGGTTGACTCGCCCGTCCTCCTGCGGAAGGATAGCAAATCCTGTGCGCTTCGCAACCGCACTTCGTCATCGAGTGGTCCGAAGCGGCTACTGAGGCCGTGGATGAGATAGCTAAGAGGATCCAGGTGTTGTCCATTCACAACTCCTCCATTCATCACCTCGGCTGGTGACATGGTCCTCGCAACTTCACGGGCAGCACCGCCAAGCTGTGAGATGACCAGGGCGCACTGTTGGTGCGGCTCAGCATCTGAAGAGATGCTCCACAACATCAAGTCCTGAGTCCACGCTCTGAAGGATGTGTTGGATCCTGGTTCCCACCTCGGTGGTAGGCGGGCAGTACCGCCCTGCGCTGCACCTGGTTGCCACATCATTCAAGTGTGGTCAACACCGTCAAGGTGACGGTCAGCATCACGATCGTGTGGACCCGGTGACGAGACACCGGACCACTGATCCACTTCAGCTTCGGCAGAGGCATGAGTTGCCTTTCATATACTTTTGGAACGGTTGCATTGTCGCGAATTGGGGAGACGTCACTCCCATTCATCACATCATCATCCAGGGCATCAGGAGAGGCGAAACTCCCCTGGGAGGCGAGACTCCCATTCATGGCGGTGGCCCCAGTGACGAAACACTGAAGGGCAAGGAGGGTTAGCAGCATCGCTCAACCTGGACGGCACCAAGGAGCTCCGCTACCAACTCGAAAACAAGTTAGGAAGCAACGTCCTAGCAATCCCAACTCTTTTCCTCTCCAACCACACAGGCTACAGGGTGAAACAACTCTCGAGATTAAGTCTTGAGCAGCTCGAAGCTACGGTATGTACAGTAGGTCTATGACATGTTGAGTAGGTAAACCTCTATAAATGGGCCATTTCCCATGGCTATGTTAGTCATAACCAGAGGGTATCTGGAAACACCCCCAGTCAACTCCGATCACCGCCGCATGGCACCTGCGACATCTCGACAGACGCACAAGCGCCGCGTTTCACGATGCGCCGCTTCGCCTGATGGACGGATCGGACACGACGACACGAAGAACGGTGGTCAAGTTGGTCAAGGCAAGATGACATGGGATTTTTTTGGTGGTTAATGCATGTAGTTGTTGAAATATGGTTAAAAACATGGTGAAATGTCCCATTTGTTGAAATATGGTTATGCATTTCACAATGGGACCATGTAGTTGTTGAAATGTGTTAGAAAACAAAAAAAACATGGTGAATTCCATGGTGAATTATATAATATATATAAATTGACCATTTCAATCCTACATGCTACCGTAGTTGTTAAAACAAGCAACATGGAGAATTTAGCCTCTGGTAATCAAACATGGCAAGCTTAAAAATAAATAGTGGATATTCCGTTGCCATGTTTGATTAACAGGGGGGTTGTGAATTTACCATTGAATTCCGTTGAAAATGCGTTTTTTTTCGCAAAAAAATATGGTTTCTTCCATAAGGATTCATGTAGCAAGCTTTGGTAAACATGTGAACAAACCATTGGTGTTTTGGCAAACAAACATTTGTGGGAACACAAAAAACAAATCCACCCAGATCATCCACTGATGTTTAAGGGATCATCGTGTTTGAAAATAAGGTGCCCCATTTCATCCATTGCTTCATCATCTTCATCATCATTCCGAAATTAACCAATGGAATACTCAAAAAAACAATTTGAACTTTTATTAAGCCATTAATGTTTACTTTCATTCCTATGAACTTTCCTAATATCAACCAGGGGAATACTCATATCTTATTCACAACCCATTGGTTCATCATCATTGCTTCGCGGTGTCAAAACTGTTACGTTTCATAGGGATTCCCCTAATTGATTATGATAGCCTCCAGTAGCCTCTGGTTATGTCAAAATAGCTATTGAAAATTGCCATAGAAATAGTGAGTTTTCCCATGAATAGCATGGTGGATCTTTCCATAGTTTTCTGTAAACGTTTACCAGAGGGTAAATTAACATGACGACCCTGCCAGGAGTTGGAAGATGAGTTTCCACATGTTTCCACGAAATTCATGATGTTCAGGGTCCAACTCTTCATTTACCATCCCGAATATAGAACGATTACCCTCTGGTAAACTAACATAGCTATGGAAAATCACCATTTGGAATAGGTAAATCAACTATTTCAATGGCCATTTTCAATAGCAAACTGTAACAAATTACCAGAAGGTAGTCCTAAATCCCCGAACTACGTTCATAGCCATTTCTCAAACGGAGGATCCTCTGAGAACCAAGGCGCAAGTGATGGGATGGTGCAGGATGTCACCATTGTACAGACATGCCTTGGACGGACAACGAAGTTTCCAGCCATGCAGTCTGTGGTAAACGGTGAAGTTTATCCATGAATAAAATTTGACAAAGGGATATAAAGGAATATAAAGGGATACAAAGGAATATAAAGGGATACAAAGGAATATAAAGGAATATAAAGGCATATAAAGGAATATAGGGACACACACATATATATATATATATGTATGTACATACATATAGTGTATGTATAGTCGGATATAACCAATAATGATGTATGATACAAAGGAAACATAATATTATTGATATGGGATATAGTAGGATATAACCATTCATATGGGGACATGTGGGTCTGTCCAAACATTGCTATACTATAACATGTAGCTGGTAATTTTGTGCTTGGGTCATGCCAGGTAATCTGATGGACTCCTTTCACGAGATACAGCAGAAACGGTAAGCATTATGATGAAACTGTATCAATTTGATTGATTCTCTATGAATTTCTACAATTGTCATTCAATCAGTATCAATTTGATTGATTTTCTATGAATTTCTACAAGTTTCATTCAATTTCGACCATTTTCTATCTATATCAACCACGCTTTCATTCCATTTTTCTCACACTTCATGTTCAGATCAAAGGACCATCCATGTTCAGAAACGTTCTTGTAGAGAAAAAAACATAAATAACCAGCGTTTTTAAGCGGTCCATGTCCCGATATATTTAATCACAAGAGCAATTTATAGCAATTTCCCATGGTTCAACGAACAGTTCATAGTTCTACTTCCTGATTAAAAGAAAAAACAAACAAGTTGTAGTCCAGCGATCTTTTCTTACGGTAGTATACTTCCGTTGCTAATACTCATCTTGGACACCCTGCAAAAAAATGGTTTGCTGGTGAATACATATCATTGCAACAAAGACCCACACACATAAAGTGCGACGTACCAAGGTCTACCCCGAATTTCTGGTTCAAAGTTAGAAGTTATCTATCCAATTGCATCACCGGTTATAAATCCCCATACTTTTGGTGGTAAATCCCTTGAAATCATCAGAATCTATACATAAAATATACATATACATATTATATATATATATATTGTGGTTGGATATAAATCCCTATTTTTCTTGGCCAAATCCCATTGAATCCCAATGAAACCACCGTTTTTCTGAGTTAAAAATCCCCTGAAAAATCACCGATCGCCCGATGAACGCACCGGCAGCGAGGCTCGCCATAGGATCGGCTGCTTCTGGAACTGGCCACGGCAGGTTGGTCCGAGCCTCGCTGGCGTTTGCACAAGAAAAGTTGGGATTGGAGCAACAAAAAAGTGTGTCTTTTTAGTACATATCATAGTTTTTCAGAGTTTTTCAGAGTTTTTCTGGGGGACCAGTTTTGTCTTTGAGTTTGACTTTAAGTTAAACCAAGACAATCCACCGAACACGTGACGGATGGTGGCTAAGCCACTCCCAAACGAGAGTTGAACGTCGAAAGGAACATATATACATGAAACCACCAAGCAACTTGATAGTCAAACAATGTCAGAAACGTATCTGGTTGGTGGTTGACCTACCCCTCTGAAAAATATCAAAGTCAGTTGGGATGATTATTCCCAATATATGGAAAAAAAAATGTTCCAAACCACCAACCAGATAGTCAAACAATGTCAGAAACGTATGGATTGAACATCATTGAACCACTCAGCAATTCATCCCTTCGAACCGTTCGCCCTTTCCCTTTTGGGCGTACCCATGTTGCGCTCACAACGTTCGCAAAAGAGGACCGTTCGCATGGCCTCCGCTCGCGGTGCAGGATTTGGATCTCCAGTGAACATGGGATATGTTTATGGAAAGCCTATGTGATTAGCTATTGGAACTCTTAATGTTGCTCAATTAATAACCCATTATCAATTAAAATATCAACAAAAGTATGTTTGATTCAAATATTCAGACATAAGGGATATAACTGATATAACAAACAGAAAATTGTTCATTCATGGAGTAGCATTCTGGACCTGCAAATGACTGATCATTTGATCTGAAACCATCCAATCAAAAAACACTTGGCATTGACTTCATAAAGGGATTTAACGGACTATATAACTTTTGTTTAACTGGTTGGTGGTTTTAACCATCTTGAAAAATATGAAAGTCAGTTGGGAAGGATTATCCCATATATTGTGGAAAATAAAAAATGTTTGAAACCACCAACCAGTTAAGCTATGTCTCATATATAGTGCACAAATTCTTGGCTCAACTTAGATATCAAGTGCATGTCAACACCAACACATCGTACGCCTCGCAGCTGTTGGCAAACAAGAGGTCTGAGGCCGCCTCAATGGGCACGTTGCTGATTGAAAGATTCGTGCGGTGCTGAAATCCTGAGTTCTACGGTGTAGAAACGCAACAGTCATAAGAAGCAAATTTGCATGCACATCATAACATATCATATATATATATATAATTATAATTATATATATATATCAATTAATGATCATCAAAAGTCCTTAAATCCTTCCATGATCCTAATGTCAGCATTTGATGAAGGGAAATAAAGTATCTTGTCCAAAGTGTCACTAGGGCAAGCAACTAGAACAGAGGTTGCAAGACAAGTTAGAAAGTAGAGACAGCAAACACAGGTGTCAATTTTGGTTGTTGCTTAATCAAGGAAGAATCAGTGAGACATAAGCAGATAAAAAAAAAAAACGGAACACGTATTAGACACCATGGTCCCTCCAAAGTGCCACACGTTCTTGCCTGTCTTGATTTTTCTAAATACATGCTTTGGCTTTTATCACAATTCTCATACCCCCTAAACTTGACATGGACCCAAACATGTTCCAATGGAATGTGGCGGTTTTGATGCAATTTGTGGGTTGCACAGTAAAATTAGGATAGTCATATCCCAAGTTTGCTGGTTAAATCATGTGAAAGCAACATGTTTCAGGGTCAAAGTCCAGTTTGGTTGGTTGAATCTAGGAGATGTAGTAGTCAAACATGGCAATGTAAAATCATTGAATGTGGGCAACACAGTGTCATAAACCATCCCCTAGTCACCACCATAATTTCTCGGTGGTAGGTGGTTTATGATTGTTTTACCCACGTTATAGAATATTCTATCATTTCATACTTACCCTCTGGTAAACTAACATAACTATGGAAAATCACTATTTTTAATGGGTAAATGCACTATAAATGGCCATGTTCAATAGCTACGTTAAATTACCAGAGGGGAAAGACCCTCATTGAGTTCAATGAAATGTCCAATTGGTTCCCATTGAACTGTCGCCGGCATCTCCCCATGACGACACTGCGGCTGCTTCCTATCTATTCCCATTATGGTTGGTTTACCCTCTGGTAAACTAATATAACTATGGAAAATCACAATTTTTAATGGGAAAACTCACTATAAATGGCCATTTTCAATAGCTATGTCAGTTTACCAGAGGGTAATCTCCATTTTTTCTCCTTAAAATCCCCAGGTTGAAATCCGCGCATTGCAATTTCTTCCTCTGAAGAGGTAATCCCATGATATTCCCATGACATATTCCCTATATCCACATGATTTTCTGAGATTCTCATTCTGGCCAATATATATATATATATATGTATGTATGTATGTATGTATATATATATAATACACAATGATATAATCCCCATTCCCATGAATTCCCATGAAACATTAGCTAATCATCATGTGGATATAGTTATAATCTCCCATTAACTCACATGGATTGGATTATGAATTCCCGGTTATTAGTCTCTGGTTGGTGGTTTTAATCATCTTGAAAAATATGAAAGTCAGTTGGGAAGATTATCCCACATATTATGGAAAATAAAACATGTTTGAAACCACCAATCAGATATATTATGTTAACCATTCATAACCATAACCATTGTCTCCCCCAAATTCAAACATTTTCACATTTTGGATCATTTAATTGGAATTAATCAATCATAATTGATTATTGACTCCCATTATTCTGGGTAAATTGTAATAATTCACCAACCTGAATTAAGGCCATTTGGGGATGATTCCCCTTATTAACCATGATTTCCAGTGAGGGAGAACAGTGAGGTCGTTATAATTTACCCAGACCCTCTGGTAATTTAACATAGCTATGGAAAATAACAATTTTTAATGGGAAAATCAACTATAAATGGCCATGTTCAATAGTTATGTTAGTTTACCGGAGGGTAACTAAAGCTATGAACCATAAAGATTATTGGATTATTATGGAAAATTGACCATATTTATAGATTAAAAAACCAATCATAATTGATTATTGACTCCCATTATTGGATTATGAATTCCCAGAAACATTCCCTATTGGTTTGGTATACCAGTACCATCATCATATACTTGTTGTTGAAGGGGTTTCTCCAAACCCCTCTATTAATCAACCAATGGGAATTTGGGACATCTATGATTGCTAATTCCCATGAATTCCCATGAAACATTAACTAATCATCATGTGGATATATATATATAGTTATAATCTCCCATTAACTCCCATGGATTATTAATTCCCAATTATTAGTTATTGGATTATGAATTCCCAGAAACATTCCCTAGATCTTCGCCAAGTCGAATCGCAGGTCAACTCCAGGCTCCGGGCGCAGAATCCACCCTTGGAAGTGCAGAAATCGCTACAGGACTGGCCTGTCCTGGGGCCATTTTCGCCGCGGGAAAGTGACGATTTTAACATGGTTTAACCCATAGAAATTGATACAAAGTAGATATCCATCATATTATGTATATATCCAACTATTATAGATATACTTAGTATAATCTACAATATTCTCCATTTACCATCTGGTTATGACTAACATAGCCATGGAAAATCACAACCATAAATGGAGGTTTCTAGCTGGGAAAATCAACTATTTCTATGGGCCATCTATACCATGGCTATGTTAAATAACCAGAGGGTAACCATAGAAATTCATTGAAGCCTGAAATTATAACAATTCATACAGTTTAAACATGTTTAAACAGCATAAAATATTCATTCTTTCATGGTTTCGGCTGGTTTTAACCACCTTACAACCTGACCAGCTGAAAACATGGTCGTCCTGTCGGCTGCCAGCAGCTCCCCATTGGGCGCCAACAGCAACGGTCGTGCCGCTTCTTGAAACGCCTCGGTTGCGATGTCCAGGTCCAGTGAGGTGAGTCTTCGCTCAAAATCTCGAAGTTGTGGCAACATGTTTCAAAATGACCATCATATAATATAATATAATATAATTTAATATAAGTTAATATAATATAATATAATATATATAATATAATATAATATAATATAATATAATATAATATAATATAATATAATATAATATAATATAATATAGTGACAATCATATATTTATTATATATCATTGTATATAATTATATATATATATGTCATTTACCATCCTTTTCCCCCCTCACCTAGTTTCCCTTTCCAACTCCGGCCTGTTCAGCACCAAAAGACATCTCCCAAAAACACCCAAGGATCCACACCTCCGGTGCTACGGGTTCCGCAGGCAAAGGCCGCAGTCGCGCCTCTGGTTGGCTTCAACTGTAAGATCATCCTAGGGGTGGTACCACTAACCGCACTACCCGGCCTGGTAAACATACAAAAAGCGACATGGAAAATGGTGATTTTCCCATAGAAATAGTGGATTTTCCCAGCTAGAAATGGTGGATCTTTCCATACTTATGTAAACGTTTACCAGAGGGTAACCAGACTGGCTCCTTCCAAATCCCAAGATCTCATTGGCCAAAACCTCTTTGGATGGCGATCAAATAATCAGAATTTCTAGTGATCCTGTGGCAAGCCATGGCAGAGGAAGCCTTACCAATCTTCAACAACGTGTTTTGACGTGGGTTGGCATAAACATACGTATCACTCATTTTCACGAAAAAAGTGTTGGTAGTTGGTACATGTTTGCATGTAATCATGTACAATACATCCCACATCATCACCAAATTGCCTACGTCTTTTCACATGAATCTAATACATATTTTTGTATCCCGTTTCGTATATCCTGTCCCATTACAATCTTCTAGCTAAATTATAGTTAACATTATTTCACTAACCTGAAAAGGTCGCAAAAAAAATGTAATTACCATGCAGATAGGTTGTTTTTGTTCGTTCACCAGTTCGGATGCCAGTTATCCCAAAATTTGTTTCGTTCGCCTCATTCCTGGGAAAGAGTTCCGCTGATCAACTGGTCTTTGTTAAAAGTAACCTTTGATATCCTATTTTTGACCTACCCTATATATGGTTAGTATGGTTTAATCATTAGTTTAATCCCATTGATTATCAGACTTAGTTACTTATATAGCTGGTTGGTGGTATACCTCTGAAAAATGATGAAGTTGGGATGGTGACATTCCTAACTGAATGGAAAGTCATGAAATTCCATGGTTCCAAACCACCAACCAGTAGTAGGTATCACTATATATTCCACATATATTCCATATATTATAGTAAAACTACAACAAACCAATGGTAAATACCTATAGTTTTCCCCTTAATAGACATTGTTCACCAGCTGATCCTTACCTACCTCTTACAATTCCCCATGCACGCGGCGCGGTGAGGAACTTCAGCGCCGCCTTGACGATGAGACGCGAGGAGGAGGCCACCAGAAACAAGAAGCCTGCGGCCGGCCGCGAGACACGGCCATACGCGCATGGCTGCTGAAACATGCGCATGGCAAATGTAGGAATATACTGGGTTAAAGCAGAATATACTGATATACTGGCTATACTATTTAAGGATTTATATTTATCATATATCATAAATATATTGTTTTCATACTGGGTCTTCTGTAACTTTCTTTTGTGATTGTAAAGTTCGTTTCTGAATCAAATGAATTTCGCAGCGAATTCTCCAGCCTCGTCCCCACACCATCTTGCTGACACCCTCCAACCTCGAGACTTCAGGTGAGTGGAACTGAAAGTTGTTGGAACATCTCCCCCAATATGGGGTAGTTAATAAGGTGAAAATCATGGCAACACACTGATACAATGAATATTAATAATGAAATAAACATATGATCGGATATGATATGTAACCAACAACTGGAAAACTAGTTAACTAGTGGAAAGTCACCCCAGTAGTTGTTGATTTTGATTGGGATTCAGCCAACGGTTGTGACAATCCCCAGTATAAAGACAAGGTATAACCGTTATAACCTCGAACATATCATCGACCAGCGCCGATTTTGAAACTCAGGGTGAAGGATGTAGCCAGGATAATCTTGATTGGGATGTGAACTACTGTGGATGGTTGCGAAATCCTGCACCAGCTGATAGATGGTTTATCACTTTTTTTTAAAATAAGGTTTCAACAATCCAAGCTGGTGCAGGATTTCGCAACCATCCACAGTAGTAATGTGATAGGGTAAACCCATAATATTCCCCAATTCTGAGGGAAATAGATGGTATAAACCATTCCCATCCATGATATGTTTATGGCAGATAATGTGGGGATTAATGCCATAGGCTTGGAGCATCTTGGACCCACAAACTTCAGGGCACAAGGTGATTAGGATGGGATGCAGATGCAGATCTTTGGTGCCTGAAGACTGTTGGTAAATATTGGTACCCTCTGGTTATGACTAACATAGCCATGGTATAGATGGCCCATAGAAATAGTGGATTTTCCCAGCTAGAAACCTCCATTTATTTTTGGGATTTTCCATGGCTATGTAACAAATAACCAGATGGTAAATAGTACAGGGGATATCTTACAACAGCAAATCACTGAGAAATTTCCTTTACGGAATATTTACGGAATATGTACTTTTGGCGAGGCAGATTCACGTGCTGTTTCTCTTTTCGTGCGCCTTAGCATTCACCATTGACCTCAAATACACTCGTTCTTTCTAGCAGGAAATTGCCATCCCCAATTTTCACCCACCATTCACCTAGATGTACCCCACCATTCACCATTCATGTACATGTTTTTTCCATATATTGCTGGAATATTTAATTATCAACATTTACCTCCAAAACAACATCGTTGTAGGTAAATATACCAGCACCATTGTCACCATGGAGCATCTGGGATTGTTTAGATGCATTTTTGCATATTTCAACCACCATTTGCCTCCAAAAAAAATGATCCCAACAACTGATTCCACTATTTTGTATGGGAAAATCCACTATAAATGGGCAATTCCACTATTTTTAATGGGGAAACTCGCTATAAATGGGCCATGTTCAATCCCAAAACGGCGCCATATCTATGTCGAGCTTCAAAGGAGCTTGTCCAGTTTCCGGAAGTTGAAGATACCGCGCCTAAGGGCGGCGTGGTGAGAAGTCTTTATGAGTGTAAGACGAGCTTCGCATTCGTAGAATACAATATAGTTGATATGCAATATATATATATATATATTTATTATATATATATACATTGATAGATAGATATACATTGATAGAACTACAGTAAGATATGTCTAGATATGTTTAGAGTCGCTGGGCCAAGTTGAATGAAGTTGCAGAGGTTGACCAAATGCGACAGGCTACAGTTGCATGTCGCATATTGTGCTCGGCATCACAAACTCATTCCTATCCATGGCGTAACTTCAAGCGCTAGATACAATATAAACAATTGGAAATGACATACTGTTCTAATTCTAATGGTAGATTGGAGTATACTATACTTCATCAATGGTGTTCCATACATATTGTGTGTATATATTATATATATACAGTAAATTCATAAAGAAAACTGTAAATGATGTTCAATCCATAGATCATAGAGTTCTTCCCATCTTGATATATCTTGATAGATGAATACCATCTGCAATACGAGAATACTATCAGGTTACTATCAACATATAATTAGATGAACCATAGCAACTTACGATAAAATCATCTCCGCACTGCGACCTCCGAATCTCCGCACTGCGACTGGGAATCGTCACCAGGAAATTCCAGGTCCCATCGTTGTCTGGCTGCGAACTTTGGTAATGAACACGCCTGAGCAGGGCACTACCCGAACTACCCACAGACTTAGTCTTCTTGGGATCAGGGGTGATCTTTATGGTTATAACATGCTAATTATAGGCTTTTTGTCATTGGATTGGTTTAAGGAAACATCTTAACCGGAAACCATGGAGAATTTTTTACCACGAAATATGGGGGTTTTCACCGGAAAATCCTCCAGCTGGGATTTCAACATATCGCCCCTCTGAGTTGGGACATGGCTGGCGCAGTGGAACCACTGCACCCCCTACCGTAGCGTAAGGGAAACGACTGAAGATGCCACAGGTCGATTGAAAGAAAAAATGGTCACGGATGACAGATGTGGGATTTGAATGATTTGAATGAAACATGATACTCAATGATACGTAGTTAGGTAGGTAGTAGGTAGGTAGTAGGTAGGTAGTAGGTAGGTAGTAGGTAGCTAGTAGGTAGCTAGTAGGTAGCTAGTAGGTAGCTAGTAGGTAGGTAGTAGGTAGGTAGTAGGTAGGTAGTAGGTAGTAGGTAGGTAGTAGGTTTCTATGTTTTTTTTGGGGGGTTACAGTAAAACATAGTAAAACTAGATGATGCCCTATTGTCTGTTTATTACCTAACAACCAAAGATAACTGGCTGCCTATGTCCGGTGACGTTGGCAAAGTTGTCAAATGTCATAAAGCCGGCCGCATCTGCCCTCAGCAGTTGCTCTGAACCATAGTATCTCCATTCTTAACAGGTAGCAATTATATGGTTCAGAGCAATAAGCGATATATTCTGAAAAAATGATTACCCTCTGGTAATTTAACATAGCTATTGAAAATGGCCATTTATAGTGGATTTACCCATTAAACATGGTGATTTTCCATAGTTATGTTAGTTTACCAGTGTATCTGCATATGTAGGGCTGTGATCCACAACCGGCGATATAAATAGCAGCTGTACCCGATTGCAGTAGCGTATGGGGTTCTAAATTGCCTACTAATCATGTATATCATTCTTTTGCTGGGCTTGCATTGATGCTCCTACACTCTCCCATAGTATCTCCAGTTGTTGAATCATCCAGCTATATCAATGAACCATGGCAAGCCCAGAACGCGCGTTTCGCACCACCATTTGGGCCATCTTTTGGATCAGATCCTCAGGGCCAGGGTATCCAGGGCCCCACACCAGTTCAACTCCAACGTGGAATCCTGGGGCAAGATATGTTACCCTCTGGTAAACATACAGAAAACTATGGAAAATCACCATTTTTAATGGGAAAACTCACTATAAATGGCCATTTTCCATGGCTATGTTAAATTACCAGAGGGTAATCAATCTGGCGTACCCAACGTAGCCGTGTCTGGATTGTTTGTTTCAGGAAACAAAACATGCACAAAACTCTAATTATATCTAATTCATCTGGGCAAATTATAATAATTCACTGACCTGAATTAAGGCCATTTTGGGATGATTTCCCTTACTAACCACTATTCCAGTGAGGTCGCAGTGAGGTCGTTATAATTTGCCCAGATTCATCTGGTGTTTTTGAGTTTTCATACTCATCTTAGGTCATTTCATGATCAAATGTGATGAAATTTCATTCCCTGTGGAGTTCACCGGTGAAATTCGAGGGGCAATTTCACCTGGTCACGGGATCTGAAAGTATCCCAAGATGGGAGTCAAACATGGCTTGAGCCATACATACCATCTGGTTATGACTAACATAGCCATAGAAAATCACCATTTTTAATAGGTAAACCATCTATTTCTATGGGCCATTTATACCCTCTGGTAAACTAACACTTTGCTATTGAAAAATGGCCATAGAAATAGTGAGTTTTCCCATTAAATGGTGGATCTTTCCATAGCTATGTTAAATTACCAGAGGGTACCCAATTCTTAAGGCATCATGAACTATATGGTGCTAAGAGCAAGCGACGGATATCGAATGCTTCACTGGCAGTCTTGTTTCAAGCTAGAATTCATCCTAGTTTTTGTGAAACTACAAATAAGTAGATTTCGTTGCATTCAGGGGTTATTGCAATACATTCAGGGCTCATGGAATTGAAAGAGGCTATCATCTATTTAATAGACACAAGTAAAATGTACCCTCTGGCAATTTAACAGTTTGCGAACTTGAAAATGACCCAGTCGAAATAATGGATTTTCCCATTTTTCACATGGTGGATCTTTCCAGTTCGTTTTCTGTAAACGTTTACCAGGCCGGGTGCTATGAACCAGCTGAACATCGGTGAAATCCCCGGGATCTCCAAAAAATTGACCCATCAAGATTTCATGGAATATCCCGACTGAATCTGGTTATATCACTGGTAGATGGATCTATTTTCTGGTGGATGGATACATCACCCATGACGGATATTAACTGGTGCTGGTTAATATTAATGCTAACATGACTGGGGTATATTCATGGTACATGTTACCATATATAGCATACATGGATCCTATGGGTATCACTAAGGATACTGGAGATATTCCAACACTTACCATCTGGTTATTAGTTTTCGGTTTCGGTTAGTGGAAAATCACCATATCTGAAATGTAGTTACAGTCAATCATCATGTTCATCATCTATAAATGGGCCGTTTTCCATAGCCAACTGTTATATTATATCAATTAAATAACCAGAGGGTAGTTTGGACAAATGGTGATAGAATGGATACTGATGGATAATGTAATCTTTGGAATATCAGTGATAATATCCAAATCATATTTCCTATGATTATTACTATCCCAATATTGTTTCATATGATATTCCAGTAATTTCCTAGTGATAATCTCTTAATATTTCCTATGGGGATATTCTCAATCTGGTAATGAATATGACTTAACATAGAAATATCAGGAGAGATATAGTGATCATATTCCAGTATCCTAGTATATATATATATGACTTAATTGACTTAATATAGACATATTGGATATCAATATAGTTAGAAATGGAGTAATAATATACCAGTATCAATATCCGAATTATGTTTCCTATGATATTCCAATATTTTCTAGTACCAACATCCCAATCAGTGATAATATCCCAACAGTATGTCCCATGGCAATTGGGATTATAGTGATAATATTACTATTATTTGGATTAATCAGTATCCATCAACCACTGTATCCCTATAATATTTCATATTGATAATATACCAAATATCAGGATTATATCAACATATTTCTCCTGATCTTCTTCTCCCAACGTCCCGGCAGCGACGTCTGACCCTCATCTTGATCGGCGAAGGCAGGTTTTTCAGCTCTTCCACCTCTCTGCCCGAAAGGTGAAAGGTTGGTTGGATTTATTTCATGGGAAAACATGGAAAAAAACATCGTTTATAGATAGAACATGTGAGACATATGGAAATATGATATGACATAATAAATAAATAAATATATATATATATATACATAATATCATCAAAAAAAGGCCCTGGTTTGACACTGTTCGGCATCTTCTTGCTGCTTAAACTTTTGTAGGGGAAAACACGTATAAGAAAAAAACAGATTCCCTCCTCCAAAAAACGATTCAACAAGTCGAGGAAAAACCCTGGTGCTCTTATAGATGTTCGCTTGAAGCAAATGTTGAATGGAGTGGTCTGTCTAAGCATAAAACCGACAGGAAACTAAGGATTTTCTGGGTATATATTATAATTCACAAACCTGAAAGGCTTTATATTGGGGATCATTCCCCTTATTCAAGAAGTGAGGTCGCGACGTGAGATCGTGATGAAATATGATGCATCCCAGCTACCAAAGTGGCTTCCTGCAGATCGGTGATGAGGCGTTCCAAATAGACCTGCTGAAGCCACGACTTTTGGGGAGCCAAGCTATTCACATTCCAGGAAGGCAAAGTGGCTAAGAAACATATGTATATTTTTTTTAGTTACATATGGAATATCCCCAAATATATATATATATATATACATATATGATAAATGCTGAAACATCACGACCTTGCCATGACTTACGAGTTGGAAAACTCTGGGGATAGCAGTTTCCAGAATCTATGATGTGTCCTAAGAACCCATGGTATTCGCCCTGGAACAACGTGGGATCCCCAAAACCAAAAAGGACATGTGATTGCCCAAAATTGTTTCAAGTTGGAGCACTATACATCCAATTTCAGAACTGTTATCCCACCACTATCAACATATCAACATGTACCAAATCATCACAACAATATATCAAATCATATCAACATATATCAACACTTCTATCCCACCATGTCCATCCATTTCCCTCCATTCATTTCTCTCGGACGCCAGCTTGGGACTTGAAAAACACGAGCCTCTGCAGCAAGTCGACGAAGGTCTCCCAAATCCTCGTCGAAGGGACCCATGGAATCCACCGACCGGCAATCATCCGTCCGCACTGCTGAAATTCCCCGACTAAACCATACCCAGATGCTCCATGTATGGTATATTTACCTACAAAACTGGGTGATTTATGTTGGGCAAATGTTGGGATTCATATTCCAGCACCATGGAGCATATGGGATACTAAACCATACTAAACCATGGTTTCGTTTGGGGGTGGAAAATATGAACCGGTGGATAGGGGATTGGGATTCCCCAGTCATGGCACCATCATACCTAACCAAACTGTAGAAACAGCAACGAATGCCTCAGAGATTGGTCCGTAAGAGCCAGTGAGCGCTTCAGGCAGAGATGACACTCCCAGCTGACAAGCTGAAACATGTTTTGTGGCTCCAGGCTCTTGAATGTTCGACCAACACAGCCCCAGCTCCTACCAGGTTTCTTCGAGCTCTTATGTATCTGATACCACCTGCATTCCCTCGAGTTCCCCATCCTCGATGCAAATCTGTCCAGGGAAGACCAACGCTTTGGGAGTATAATGGAGTATATTTTGCACGTTTGTGAGGCGACAGACCAATTTTCTGACAAGCCGTTTTTTTCCACATCCCATGTATGATAAAGCAAATATAATGTATATTATATATATATTTTAATTCTATATGATTATATAATTTAATTCTATATGATTGTATATGATTACATATGATTCTATATGATTCTATAAATGATATACGTGTATGTATAATAATTAGTGTGATATAACCTATCTGGGCATGGGCAAAACAACTAACAACTAGGTCCAGTTTAATATATGATGGTGTATGTCAATATCAATATGACTTAACATGGTCTGTAGTGGTCAGTAGGTCATGCAGTCACCCCCAGGTCTACCGAGGCACCGCATGATTCAAATCTCCTCAGCGACAACGGTCATTCCAACAGCGCGCACCGCTGGGCGCGCCATGAACCATGGGAAGTGCAAAGTCCAAACTATGATCTTTGGGACTGGTTGTTGGTTGCCCTGCCCCTCTGAAAAATGATGGAGTTCGTCAGTTGGTATGATTCTTCCCAAATATGGAAAAAAAAAGGTTCCAAACCACCAACCAGATGACCTTTGGGAATTTGGGATACAACATGATACAATCTGAGAATTCCCGACATGTATCATTGACACATCATGTACACCAATCTTCAGGGGAATCCATGGAGCTGGACGCTGTGACTTTCGATCACTTTTCAGGATGAACTCCGAGTTTTCATAGCAACAAACGTGAAAAGGGTTATGGATGGATGCTCATGCCCCAATTCATGTGGTTTTCACGAGCCAACTATGTTCTTTTCCTACTGATTCTGTAAACCAATTCTATAGTTAGGACTGGAAAAAAACATGTTCCTGCCATGTTGGATGATTTTGGATCTTCTCAGTTTTATGGCTCATTTCTTCCCTTCATATGTTTAATGTGGAGACTAGTCGTCAGCTCCATCAAGGACCCCCGACTTGCTGCGCTTACAAAGATGGAAGCACTCTGAAGGTTCCTGGCGACATCTGGCGACGTATGGCCCAATGGGTCATTCCGTTGGTCTAAGGGGAAAAAAACGGAAAACAAAAAAAAACGGGAAAAAGCCATGGTGTTTATGTTGTCTTCTAGTAAACCTTCTGAAGTTTTCAGTAAAATCGACCGTTGTTTTACCTAACTCTTCCCGGGTTTCTAGTACATTCTCGTAGCAGTTCTGAGAGAGTCCAAATGTTCATTCCTTGATGAATCAATGGTCAGGTTTAGATTTTACTCATGTGTCATAAAAAGTTAGCGTTGTGTTATTGATTCATATTGATTCACCCTCTGGAAGTGTCGATGGGGATTCAACTAACACGGGGAGTTCGATCACCAACAAAAACATAGATTGGTGGTATACCTACCCCTCTGAAAAATATGAGTCAGTTGGGATGATGACATTCCCAATATATGGAAAGCCATAAAATTCATGTTCCAAACCACCAAGCAGACATAGATTCTTCGGCAAACAAACCGGACATTCGTATCATCCATAGCTCTTTCAGCCCAACGCGACTTCCCACTTGTTCAGTTAAATAGGGACAATGGGTAAACATTGGGCCATCCCAATGAGTGACCAATGAGTCAAATCGTGGTCAATGAGTCAATGAGTATGAATAACATCATTAGCGGACTGGGTTGAAGGAAAAAAACTATCACAATCTAAAATCCATCATAATCTATCATGATACCTTGGTTTTACATTCTTTAACCATCTAAAAATAGAGGGTTTCAACACCCCACGTTCTCAAACCAAGTGATCCATGGAACCGATTGCCCGTTTTTGCCACGTCACATAAAATCCATCCTATGTGGTGTTCAAAAAAAAACAACAGTATGCTACTACTCAAAGTATGCAAAAAGGATGGATATTATGATCCATAATCATATCATGTTCATACCACACTATGACCTTTGAGTATGTAAGATGGTTCCTACTCAAAGTCTCAAACGATTTTGGGTCGTCAAAGCCAACTTACCCTCTGGTAATTTAACAAAGCTATTGAAAATGGCCCATTTATAGTGGTTTTACCCAGTGAAAATGGTGATTTTCCATAGTTTTCTGTATGTTTACCAGAGGGTATCCATCACTGTCTGTGATTATCGACCACCAGTTGCTCACATTTTACCTGCCTAGTTTACTATTCACAGCCCCAATGTTTCATTGAATGTGTCAGTGTAAATCATAGGTTTTCATCCCCATTGACCGTATATCAACCCTGAACTCTAGCTACTCTCTGGTAAACTAACATAACTATGGAAAATCACCATTTTTAATGGGAAAATCCACTATAAATGGTCATTTTCAATAGCTTTGTTAAATTACCAGAGGGTAAACAAGATCTGGATATGAACCATCCCCAGCGACTCTTCAGAAATTCCCATAATAACTATATAGATTTACGCCGTATCAACCGCACAAATCATAATTATTGGAAACTATGAGAAAAAACATATATAGATACAGTGATACAGATATAAATATAATCAACTATAGATATACTGTACCATCCCCATTGTATCAAATACAGATAATATAGATATCATCAACAAGATATCATCCACTAACAACTATAGATATACTACCCTCTGGTAAACATACAAAAAACTATGGAAAGATCCACCATTTTCAATGGGTAAATCCACTATTTCAATGGCCATGTTCAATAGCTTGAAGGTATGTTTACCAGAGGGTATCCCCATTGATACAAAGTAGATATCCATCATATTATGTATATATCCAACTATTATAGATATACTTGATATAATCTACAATATTCTCCATATACCATCTGGTTATTTAACATAGCCATGGAAAATCACCATTTTTAATAGGTAAAAATCAACTATATATCTGCCATTTTCCATGGCTATGTTAAATAACCAGAGGGTAGATATACTGATGACATTCCCAATATATCCCATAGGATCCATGGTGCTGCTATATATGGTGTGCCATGGATCCCATCAATATACCCCAGTCATGTTAGCATTAATATACCAGCACCATGGATCCGTCATGGGATGATATTATTATCATATACCATCTGGGTTATTTGTTATCATATTCTATCATCCCATATATATCATCCCATATAAATATATATATATATATAACCAGAGGGTAGATATACTATCCCCATTTTTTTGGCCAAAACCCATGGAGCCTCACAATCTCCATCCGTTGTAATCCGCCGCCACTGAGGTCTCGAACGTTCGGTCCAGACGCACGCGCGGGAGCTCCGGGATGATGTTCCTGGAAGAGCGAGCTTGGCGCGGAGATCGAAAATCCACCAGGGGATGGGACAGGTTGGAACATCCCCTGGAAAAAACTGGGGAAATCTTTCGAAAAACTGGGGCAATGTGTGAAAAACATATGGAAAATATGGAAAAAACATATGGAAAATATGGAAAACAAATGGAACATATTCCAAACAAAGTGGGAAAATATGGAATAATAATCAGCTTTGGATACCATCGAACATGAACTAATTATCTGATATGGTTAGATGGTATCTTTAACCTATTCCAACGCCCATCAAATGATAGTTGTAGTTGAATATGGTTGTATATATACTGTTCTAAGTGGGTGTGGCATTTTAGGAATTCAGCACTTTCAGCATCCCCATTCGGGGAGGGTGAATCAATTCTTGGGGAGCAGTGAACCGGGAACTAAGTGGATACAAAACCATAGTGGCCATAGGTCAAATATCATGTTATATGATGTTATATCTGAGTTGATTCTACCATATTTTGCTATAGTTATAGAGGTTATATCCTTTTTTTTTTTAGATTTTTTTTGTTTTTTTTTCTACCATGGCAAAAAAACTCTAGCGCTGCCGAGCAAAAAGACTCCGATACCCGAAAAACTCAGGCCCCAACTGTTTCCCAGCAGTCACCTTTCCTGGAATGGCGGTGTTTGGGGATAATAATATATAATAATCATTAATCCATAGTATCCATAGTAAGCATGGTTGGTAAATCCAGCAAAAGATAGAATTTACTAAATATCATGAAATATCATCCCCAAAAAAGTTGGTTAGTAACCATGGTTGGTTCATACTGTGGAGGAAATCCTGCATCACCTTGGATGGTTGAAACATGTTGAACCCCCATAAATAATGGGATAAACCACCGGTTTCAACTGGTACAGGATTTCGCAACCATCCACAGTATCACAATGGGATAATATGATATATGTAATAATCATTACTGGGATTAATAATATGAGACATGTAATGGGGATAATAATAATACTAATAATAATAATAATATAATAATAATAATCACAATATATATATATATAACATTTATCAGTACATATCTCATATTACAATAATAAATAATGGGTTTTTACATTATCATATTACTATATATAAAAACATATAAAAACCCATTTATCATTTCATTATATATAATCCACATATTACAATACTAATGGAATACATGTGGATAATGGGGATAATGGGAATAATCCATGTGGATTGCATTACTAATGCATGACTTTTCTGGGAATCTCAGAAGGGAATCTCAGAAGGGAATCTCAGGTTTCCCCAAAAAAATCTGGGAACTCATGGGACGATGATGATGATTCTGCAGTACAAAATTCCATGGATTCTGTATGAAATGAAAAAAAAAAACATGAATTCTGTATGAACAATATTGAACAATGATAATTGATGGAAAAATTAAGAAGAATCCTATATGTTTTTTTGCATTTGTTTCTATGTGAAATCAATGATAAATCCCGGAATCCATCTGGAAGAGCTAAAGATCAAAGCCATGCCATGGCCCATGGCTAGTTCGATGATAAAAACATAACAACCATGTAATTTACCTGTTACAAAAATTGTCATTTTTTTTCCAGTTCCAACATATGTTTTTTTACAGAGGCTAGTGGCAATGGGATTCACTGACACTCGGAATGGCATGGGAATATGGGGGAATCATTGGATTTTCAAGGGAGATGATATCTGGGGGCCGAGCAATACCCATAAAATGGATTGAAATGGCAAAATGTCAATGACCTGACCAGCAAATTGCGGGTAGTCATGGAACATATGATGATACATCTGACGAATGGTTGGACTTTCTCGGGTATCGATCTTATTTTCGGGACACACCGTGGAATGTTGAAAAACCAGTGAGCATTGGTCGAACACCCGCGTCGTCCGTTTCTACTGGTTGAGAACAGGATTCCCCCAATGGTTTAATGGATTGTGATTCTCCAATATATAAAGGGTAGTATAATTCCCCACAATCATCCCATTAGTTACTGGTTGGTGGTTTCAACCCCTCTGAAAAATCATGGAGTGAAAGTCAGTTGGGATAATTCTTCCCAATATATGGAAAGTCATAAAATTCATGTTCCAAACCACCAACCAGGTCAATATAGTGTAGTATAATTTGCCACAATCATCCCATTCCCGTAATATCAAGTTATATCCGATATACATATCCCCTTGGGATATCCCGTTGCGATATTCCCCTATGATCATCAAACCGAGGTTTTTGAACACTGCCATGTTGTACCTAACAGGTGCCGAAATACCAATCTGATTAAAACAGAAATGTAACATGAATGGCATCATGGATATTATAAGCAAACTAAGAGCAACCTGTTTTGTGTGTCAAGACATCCTTTTTGCATAGTGCGTTAAGTAAATTTGTTTTGGATCATCGCAAACCACGGGATTGATTCTACAAAAAACCGTTTTGGAAGCCACCAGCCAATAGAATTGTTATAGTTAATTAATTAATTACCATCAAACATAATCAACCATTGTTATAAATTAGTTACCAGGGTATTATTAGTCAATTGATTAATTACATAGTTCTCTACAATTACCCTCCCGTAATCAAACCTGGCTGATGTTCATGGATTTTCCCAGCTAGAAACCCCATTTTTTTTCCAGGGTTTGATTACCGGAGGGTATCCAATCCAATTAATTGTTGGATATTGACATATATTGACCATTAATAACCATCAATAACCATTAATAATTGTCAATATTGGTTATTAATGGTCAATAATATATATATATACCATTCATAACCAGTAATATACATATTATATTAACCATTAATAACCATCAATAACCATTGTCTCCCCCCCAAAAAAAACACATTTTCACAAAATTTGGATCATTTTGGCATCTCCCCAAAGCCCCTAAGAAATCGAACCGCAAAAAAATCAACCGAGATTCTGAGATGTTTCTGCCAGAAATTCCGCGGCCAGGCTGGAAGCAGCTGGCCTTGGGCTCAAGAAAGTCTTTATATTTTGGGTGTGTCTGAAAATGTGGATCTAATTTACTAATAGAATCTATACTTCCTTGCAAAATTTCTTCATTCAAACAGTCACATACTTCTCTTTCCCTTCTTCTTGATCCCGAGATCTTTTCTCAGCGTGGATTCACTATATGATTTATTCATAGTTATTCGGATTACCAACAAAATATGAGATGTATGTTGGGATATTTTATGGGATATACAACCAAGAATATGATATTTGGAGTACCCAATCCCTGTTGTGCAGGCCATCCTTGCTGATTCGCTGAGTGAAAACACACAATTTGATGACTTTGCAATATGCTGACTGTGCCAACGTTCCAACGTATTTCCTTACTCCGAATGATCAGTTTATCTGCCAAAATGCAGCATGTGGTTACTGGAAATGCCAGACAGAGAGGAGGCGAAGCTGTCTAAATAAGGAGACGAGAAACCTTGCAAATCTTGCCATTCAATCTGTGAAAAACAAAAAAATAGGTTTGTCTACGTTAGAGGACCGCAAACTCAGTGGTATCCAATGGTCAATATTGATCAATATTGGTCAATCATCAAATCGTTAAAATAGCCATTCAAAGTGGGCATGCCACATTTTCAGACGCTTTGTCAAAGAATAGCAGCATTGTCAAGTTGGTCAACAAATAATCTCGGATAATGTCAACCCCGGATTAATAAACCATGGTTTATTAATTAGGGGATACTCCTCCAATAGTCATTTCATCTAGTACTTTTTTTATGGTACCCTCCCAATAAAAAACAGCCTAATTATAGGTTTATTAATCCAGGGTCGACATTACATGGATACATAGATAGATAGATAGATATTCCTTTTCATCCATTATGTGTATATATATATAATATGATATTATATGTATGATATTTCATGATATCACACCTGGCATCTGAGTTGTCTGGTTCATCAAATCCCATGAAATCTCCAACCGAAACCGCCATCGCTGAATCGGCTGGGCTCCGCTGCGCATGACTTCGGTGGACACCATCCATGCGGCACCCGAAAAGGAATCCACTCCTGAGACTCGTGCCGACCCCATTGGTTCGTTTCAGCAGGGCATAAACCACGTGGTTGATATGAATTATGTATGGTTTATTAATGGTTAATACATGGGCATAGTGATTATGTATGGTTTGTTCATGTTCATCATGTGGATATAGTTATAATCCCCCATTAACTTCCATTATTGGTTTATAAATTATGTATGGTTATTAAATGGTTAATTATTCAATAATACATGGGGGTTATTAATGTATGGTTATTATCTATGATTTATTGATGTTCATTACCAATTCTGAATGGTTATTTATTAATGGATGTTTATAGCTGGGGAAAATTACCAGGGGGCGAGTGTCCATTGCCATGTTCGATTCCCGTAGGTATATAATGGGCATATGATGGGGATAGAATAACTAACCCTAGTACCTGACCGTGAGACAAACTGCAAACCATCTCTTGGCAATTTAACATCCGATCATGATGATGTTTAAGTCTTGCTGATGATGTTGAAGGCAAGTGAAGCCTTATGGAATGTATCTGCATGTAAGGCAACCTATCTTTGACAATTTGATATCCGAGTTGCCGTTTCTGTAAGACTAATTTAAGTTGCTTAACTAGACCCCAAACATGATACCATCAGCTAATTGAACTAATAAACACCTCAGTTCTTTGAGCAGTATATCGTATTGTACATATATGTACCATATAACTTATATGTATATCATATTATAAATATGTATAATATATAATTCAATATATAATATAATAATATAATAAAATATATAATATATAATATAATAAATATATAATATATACCCCAACGATAGTCACTCCATTCTGGTCAACCCCAAGCGGCGAAGCAAACGTTGCGCGTTGGCGCTGAAGGGAGCGATGGCGTTCTCGTTCCAGGCACTGACCTCTGTGGATTGGTCAAGGTTCCTGTAGAACTTTTATAACCCACATTTCATCCCATATAAGTGGTGATATTCAATGTATATATATATATATGTATATATATGTGTATATATATATGTTTAGAACTTTTATTTTGACCCATTTACTAAGTGGGATGTATTTAGATGATGATTTAAATGATGATTTTCCATATATCACTGGGGATTTTTGACCCATGTGCTAAGTGGGATGCACCCCCAAGCATGTGTTCCCAGAAAACTTTGGAGAACACATTCATGAAATAGGATTCTGGATTTGCCGAAAAACAAAAAAACTAATTATTTATGGTGACTGGATAATGATTATTTTTTGGGACCTGTATATTGAATATTCATGCATCATTCTGACTAATTCATGCATTCATGCGATTAGGAATTTACTGCAGCTTGGGAAATATTATCATTCTGGCAGTCTTCATGAAGATTAGGACTACACATGGCACTGCAACATCCTTCACAACTCGGCGATACTCGGCGCACCGAAAAGATGTCGTCCCATTTGAGGATCTCCTGAAACTGTGCGAAGTACAGCAAGATGTCAAACCTTGCGCCGTGGGCGAAAGCTCCCATGGGATGAGGGAGTGAAATGAGATCCGAAATGACAAGGTCACTGAGAAAAAGAACAAACAAGACTGTTCAGTGATGATAAAGGTATGTATATTAAGTGTAAGATATATATATATATGATATATAATATATGGTATATGTATATATATGGTGCATATATATAAATATATGGTATATATAAATATATGGTATATATATATATATGGTGTGTATATATATATATGATATACATATATATATATAATACAATATATATATATATATTGTACAGATGGAGAGAGGATCAATCATTCCAAGAATTTATATTCTTGGGCTTCACATATGTTACTTCACATACTGTATCAATTCACAATTTCTGTTTCTGGCGCGGGCCCCACGAAGTTTTCATGGTTCAAAAAAAAGTAAAATATGGAATCTTCCCACTTACAATATCTGGTTGGTGGTATACCTATACCCCTCTGAAGAATATGAGTTCGTCAGTTGGGATTATTCTTCTCAATATATGGAATATTAGTCAATGGGAAGGACTATCCCAATATATGGAAAGTCATAAAATTCATGTTCCAAACCACCAACCAGATATGGTACCCTCTGGTAATTTAACATAGCTATGGAAAATCACCATTTTTAATGGGAAAATCCACTATTAATAGCCATTTTCAATAGCTATGTTAAATTACCAGAGGGTATGAAATACGGGTTGTGGATTGTAAACCACGGATCGAATAGCCCAAAAAGCTTTCGAGCTTTCGACGAGCGACGAAACTACCATGTCTTCTTCCTGAGCCGAGGCACGGAGAACGACTGGTCGTTTCATGATAGGTTTTTCATGGGATTTGACCCAGAATTTAAGCCATAAAATCTGAAAAATCAGCGTTTTAATGCGATTTTTATAGGAATCAACCAAGATAAATGGTGATTTTTCAGATTTCACATAGGATAAAACCCTCTGATAAGTTCACAGCGAAGTGGAACATGGCCGGCCCATAGAAATAGATGTTTTAGCCATGAAAAAGAGTGATTTTCGATGTTAAATTCCCAGAGGGTAATCAGATTTATGGATGATTCTGGGTTATCCAAACTAGTATTGTATCGTACTGTTCAACATGTCATATGTCATATAGTACCCCCAGAAGAAATATATATAGAGCCCTTGTCCAGGTAAAACTCCTCGTGCAGTAACCAACACAACGGGCTTGCCGTCGCGTGAATGTGTCTAGACTCGCAGAACAGAAAACGAGCCGTTTCAGAACAGGTGAATGTCTTCAATTATCATAAACCCCGAACAAACTGGGTAGTATAAGTCCCGATATTAACCAATCAGGGTATGTTTAATGGCTGTTGTTTCAAATGAAAAACTTGAGACCTCCCGGAAGCTAAGGCCATGCCAACACACCAACTCATTGAGCTACATTAAATAACCAGAGGTTACATCAAACTAAAACTCCAGTTGACCATACCGACCATACGACCATACCCTCAGTTATTGTTGACTTTTCTTCAATATTCCCACTTTTGATGGTGACCCCTACCTCTTTTTCCTGCTTAAATCCCTCATATGATTTGAGCCATCATGCGCCATCTGGCTTTGTTTAAAAATAGGCTATCCCCAATTCCGTTCAATGCATAGAACCTTATTTTGCCACCCAAAAAAACACATGACTTTGGTGCTTCACTGAACTCCATGATTGGCCGATCCGGATCTGAGAACCGTTCCAAGATGATCAACACGCTCTTGTCCTTAATGGGACCTTCGATGGCATGTTGCAACGCCATCTTGTAGTGCAGCGCCTGCCACGGCGCCATGGCATTGCCAGTTGCGTCCCCAAAAAATGCATGGTGAACTGGAAAAAATCGAACGCAATTTGTAGGACCATTGGTACAACATGTTTGTCTCATGTGGATGTGGTGTTTAATTATGTTTACGTCATCTTTGGGACATGCACATCTAATGCTATGGTGGTGCCGAAGCAGTTAATGCTTCTTTTCCAGCTGTTTATCATGCTCAGATGGTCAGGACCTAAATTCCGGCGCTGCACCAGGCTGTGACTGCTGGTTCAACTGGGTATGGTTCCAACAATTTGGAAGCCTTTGTCCCAAAATCATCCAAAATCCACCTCAATCTTGGGAAGTCCCAGTTGAAACCCATGATTTTCCATGCTTTTTGCAGCATGTCGCGTCTTTGTTCGTGGTGCAGCTACCAGCTGAGACCAACTGGTCGGTGATATCCCTAGGGAACGATGATCGGTCCATCTGAGAATGGTTCCCTAGCAATGGGATGGGTAAGTGTATGACTGTATGCTGACGATTGGATTCATTCTGGATAATATTATATTATATATATATAATGTATATATATATACCATTTCATGGGGTACCATATGGTACCATGTTTTGTTTACCAACAAACATCACCCGGGGAGCTTTCTTGCAAACCAACCCCAACATCCCAAGTACAGTTTCTATTCAGTTGTTTGGAACCATGCTTGGGGGTTGCATATGTTGCACCCCAATGAGTAAGCGATTCAGAATCCTTCACAACTGATATCTCCCACATATAACTGAATTGTAATACGGTCTATGGACAACTTACTGGAATGCACATCCAAGTAGGTTGCTTTAGGGATGTTGTGCAACCACCACACTGCCAACTTCAGAATTGAGGACCTCCCAATGTCTCCCAGCGGTGAAAATCATCCGCACCTCCTTTTCCCCCGCCGACTTCACGCCTGCGGGCTGAGAGGGACCAACTCATCATATCAGTGGCAGTATACCACAATATACCAAGTGGCAAATCATGATACCTAGACCTAGCAGATCATATCTCTAAATTGCCATAAATTGCAGTCTCCAAAGTGCTGGGAGACAGGTCGTAATCCACCAAGTAAGATTAGCAGATCCCACGCCGGAATATTGATCATCTCCATTTTATGGTCCCAATCAATGTGTACCATCTGGTTATTTAACATAACTATTGAAAATCACAATTGTTAATTGGTAAATCAACTATAAATGGGCCATTTTCAATAGCAAACTGTTAAATAACCAGTGGGTAAATCTCCTACTAAACCATGGTCAATTGGGGGATGTTTCAACAGCACCATCGCTGGATGGGGGGATGCCGTGGCTCCCTGGCTTAGCCGAATCTGAACCATCAAGGATCACAGCAGCACCGCTTCAAAGTGCTGGGTTTGGCCAAAAACATGGCCACCTCCCATTTCATTGACATGACATCGTGAAATAATTGGGAATATGAAGTTCTAGACAACAACATAATCATAATATACTCATTCTTATAGGTACTTGGAGGGTCTAAGTAGACATTTCTAGGCCATCAGATGGCGGGTGTGGAATCTTGAGACCCGGCCCCGGCACCTGTGTCAACTTGCCTCCAGCCCACGTGAAACTTCTGCGCCTAGTTTTACTCAGCTGGGAGGAGATCAGAACAAAATGTGTGGGTCTGAAAAATGGTGGCAAACAAATTATGACCACAATTTATGGCCATAATAGTGCCATCAGAACAAAATGGTGATTAACACCACAATTTATGGCAAACAAATCCGGAAGATGATGATCCAGTAGATTTAGGTGGGGATATCACTGGGATATTGCGACCAAATACTTGCGAAAAAACATAGGGAAGGAACATCATCTAACTTTGGAATAAAGACATCATAATCATCATATCATATCTGTTGGCTCCCACATCAAATGTGTTCGCCTATGTTCGCCTTTAATGAACGACTTACTCATACTCAAACCTCCCTTGGGAGAGGCACTCCCAGAGCCCCAATTCATAAACCAAATCTGCCGTATCAGGCTGACAACTGGAGAAGCGCACGGGTTTGAGACCAAATCCAATGACTTAAGTCACTTGTCATTTAACAATAGCCATGGTATAGATGGCCCATTTATAGATGATGTTCCCATTAAAAGCTCCATTTATGGTTGGGATTTTCCATGGCTATGTTAGTCATAACCAGATGGTAAGTCACTTGTCATCCCCATTCAGACTGCAATTCTTGGCTATCCCATGCTATCAGCATCTCCTATTTTAGAACACAAAAAGATCTCCGGATCCAAACAGCAGTGGAGTCACCTGAAACCACGTGGTTCACCACGTTTTCACCACGACTGTCCAGGTTCCAGCTGGTTGGTGGTTTCAACCCCTCTGAAAAATATTAGTCAGTTGGGATGATTCTTCCCAACATATGGAAAAATAAAAAATGTTCCAAACCACCAATCAGCCAGGTTCCAGGTTCCAGGGCCCGGCACCATGATTTTTGTTTGAGTCCCATCGCCATCCTAGTCGTAGTGGCTATATCTGGAGGCGGGTCATGAAACACATCTGGCTATAGGAGGCTTCCGGTTTCTGACGAACATTACGGCAAGACCCTATGGTTTGCCCGCAAGGTTAGAATGGAGTTCAAATATTATCCTTCGAATGCTCGAAAACCTGCGCAGGGCCAGTGTTTTGGTATTTACCAGACGCTAAACCCTAAAACCCTAAAACCCTGAAAACTCTGAATCCGAAAGGAGAAAACACTGCGTATACGCGGTCTTTTCTGCCAATTTCTCTTCTCATGTTCGACTGTTCGGGAATCCAAAAGATGTTGCAGTCCGGGCCACGGGGTCTGTGCGTAACATTAGTTGACATTAGTTGAAATATCAGTTGACTATGGTCAATGTCCACATCGGGGAGTCAAAAACTCTCCCAACCCGGGGTCTCCTGCGATACCATGACCATGTTCTTGTTGTAGCCATAGGCCTTCGGCAGAGCGCCCGGCGGGGCCCGGCGGGGAAGGTGAATGTCATGATAAAGCAATGAATATATCTATGGTTATATCTATAGTACTATCATGTACTATCTATGGCTATATGGTGTTATTTCGTATATCTATATTCATGATTAATGTGGGAAAATAAACCAGCCATGACTGGGAATGGTTTCTACATACCTTAAAAAATGGTGAGTCCTTGGGGATGGTCGTCAGCCAGCCTTTGACAAAGCTTGCAAACACCTCTCCAACATCCGGGGTCCTTGGCCGCGCTTGGCGCTGGCATCCGCTGGCCGTCAAGGTACACTTTAGAGACATAGGTTGGTCAAGAAATGGGAGATACCCCGAATGTTACCCTCTGGTTATGACATTCACAGTTCGCCATGGGATTTCGATGGCCCATAGAAATAGATGGTTTACCTGTTAAACATGGTGATTTTCCATGGCTATGTTAAATAAGTAATCAGATGGTATGTGAAACATATGAAACACTGAGGAAAATTGCCTTAATTAACAGAGATTGGGCTACCTTATTTTCAGACAAATCCACATGTGATTTTCGTAGAAATCCCAAAGCTACGCCTGACATGCGGGTTTTGTTCCACAAATAAGGTCACACTCACATCGGGAAGAATTCTCCAGGTGATGGATTCTACAAAGCAACAAATACTTAGGTAGATTCTCATCATCTTCAGCATTCAATTGCATTTTTTTGAGGGTTTATCTCATGTTCTTCCATTTTCAGACATATTCAAATATAAAATCATTCCAAATCCTTCCCATAGACCATAATATTGACAATACGGCAAAATCCCAATTCGTATCGTATTTCTGGGTAAGTTATTCCATAAACGATGTTCGTAAAGCAATGTCATAAACTGTGCAAACTTCATAAACCACCCATATCTTCATGGTTTATAATATTTTATAATGGTATTAATGGTTAATACCACCAAAAAAATCCAAAAAATCCAAAAAAAACAAAAAAAATCCAAAAAACAATGGTAATTTTGGGGGATGGTGGAGTTTACCATTGCTTTACTAACATCCAGTAGCCGCAGCCTTCACCCCCAAGTCGATGCCGTGCGGCTCTGTCCGCCAGCCACGACCTCAGAGAAAATTCACGGGCATCTTGGAAAATGACTTCTTGTTTGGAACCAATACTGTTTCGCCATTAGTATATTACAGTATAACCCATAGGATCCATGTATGCTATATATGGTAACATGGATCCCATCAATATACCCCAAATGTTACCATATATACCATACATGGATCCTATGGGTAATAGTGTATATATATATATATACACATCATAACTCATATAACTAGTCATAACGAATGTTTCAAAAGTTGAACAGCACACCAAACATTGATCTTTCCCGTGGTAGCATCACACGTTGGCCATTCCATACTCTCACTCATCTCTCCTGGCGATGTCTATTCCATATACTTGAAATATGGAGATGGGTCAAAACCTATGAAATCATCAACTTTTAGTGAGATGAACATCCATTTACATCCATTCACCAGCTATTTTGGGGTTCATTAGGTACCAGGGTTTTGTCCCATTGCCTCTTGAAATCATCCATGGCCATTCCATATTATGATGGTCTGAATCGCAAACCCGCGCGTATTTCTTGTCAAAGGAGGTGAACCAATGATTCAATTACCAGGCTGTGAGCTCCCCAATTATTTTTCCGATCGGTTCAACAAAAAAGGGAAGATTTATCACTTAAAGTTGTCATAGAAGGTCATAGAAGCTTCATAGAAGTTTCCAATAATTTTCCATCCCCCTAATGATGAAACACCAGAAAAAAACATGGTTTTTAAAGGGGGATGAAACATGATGAAACCACATGTGACTGGGACCATACCGTAAGATGATAGGTGGTCATGGTTTCATAGGTGATTTACATTGATTTACAGTGTCTCATATCTTCACCTCCACCTAAAATCCACCGAAATTCATCACCAGGCGTTTTACCCTCTGGTAAACGTTTACATAACTATGGAAAATCACCATTTTTCATGGGTAAATCCGCTATAAATGGTCATTTTCAATAGCAAACTGTTAAATTACCAGGCGTTTTAAGTTAAACCCATGGCTTTCATAGGCATCCCATCTCTTACGGGCTCCATCCGATGTCGTCGTGCGACAAGCACTGCCAAGTCTTGAGGCTTCAGGTCTCGCAGGGCTGCGGGAAGGACGACACGTCCCTGGCATTGCGAGGTACCAGGGTCGCTGGGCCGGGAAATTTCCTTTGGAAAATCGGGGGAAACAGATGGGCAGCTGGGTTTTTTCGCGAGTTTGCGGGTTCGTACGGAATAAGGTCTGCCGAAATGCATAAGACCGAACCAGGTGGACCAGCAGAACAATAAGAATTTCCAGTTTCAATCTGGCCTTGGAAAGAATATTCGTGACACTTTTGGTAAAGATCTTTACGCAGTCTGTAAAACTTTAAGCCCGACAAACTCCGACGAACTTAACCTTGCGCGCAAAGATGTCCAAACATTTCCTACGTGTGTTTTGACGTTTTCGCCCCTAAAACGCATGGAAAAACAGGAAAGTAAAATCGCATTTTTATAACCAGTTTTCCACTTTGGCAACAACATTTTCACGTAGCACATTCGGCCCCGACGAACCCCGACGAACTCCGACGAACTCCGGCGAACTCCGTTCCTGGGTCATCTCAGAAATTTGATTTCTATTTTTTTCCTGATTAGTTTTAACCTACCACAAAGCGACACACAGCGCCTGAATGCCAAAGTTCCTTCCCAGCTGCTACCAACAAGGACGGGGTCAGGGTCATACCTTGTGTTCTAGAAATCCCTTATTCCCAACGAACCACGCTGCTCGCGAAAAAAGCCATGGGCAGCCCATATCCCATAGATTCCCATGACGGATCCATGGTGCTGGTATATTAATGCTAACATGGATCCAAGTTATGTTAGCTATAACTTAGCTATAACTTAGCTATAACTATGCCCATGACGGATCCATGGTGCTGCTATATATGGTGCTCCATGGATCCCATCAATATACTCCAGTCATGTTAGCATTAATATACCAGCACCGGCCGGATCCGTCATGGGATATGGTTAAAATCGCCTATAACTGGAGGATTTAGTGGACCAACACTCCAATGATAGATCCGAGGGATCCGGGGAATCAAAGATGGGAAATTCTTGCGGAAGTTTTTGTGAAAATCATCCAACTCAAGTGGGTTTTTCGCCATGTTTGACTCCCAGAAGCTAACATGATTCTAACATTGGAGTAGAAATACGTTGGTTTTCATTGGAGAAATTTCCGGATAGGATTCGAAGTCGAGTTGGTTCGAATCACGCCATTGGACTTCCGTTGAGTTCAGGGAATCACCATGTGGGTTTTGCCGCCCAAACATGGGGGGATAACCCAATATGCACAAATTCCAATGTTGGGTTGATCATGGTTACCCTCTGGTAAACATACAGAAAACTATGGAAAATCACCATTTTTAATGGGAAAATCCACTATAACTGGCCATTTTCAATAGCTATGTTAAATTACCAGGGGGTATCCCTCATATTCCCCGAATGTTTGTGCATTTCCCCAAAAATATTCCCATAAAAAACATTGATAACATTTGAGAAAAACCATCAAATAAAAGGGGCTTCTTCTGCACAAACATGTTGCGAACAGAAAAGGCCAACAAAATCGACGATAAGACTATCAATGCAAGCAACATTGATCTGACAGGAACTCTATTCACCAAAAAAAGGCAAAAACATCTGGACGACGTGGAACAACAGTTATAATAAGTTATGTACTGCCATGTGTGTTTCTTCAACTTGGCAGTTTCCTCTTGAGTACGCTGACCAAAAAAGTAATGATGTCCGTGCCAGAAATACACAGTTGGATACGACTGGCGGATTTTCTTGTTGCAGATTTTATGCGTGTCACTTTGAACCCCAGGTCCGCCCGGAGTTCAAAGATCATCAAAGATCTACAGAAACAAACACCCAAACATCATCAAACATCTTATTTTTTCTAGCATACAAATGAGGTTTCACTTTGTTTGTTTCAATCATTGCCTGGTTGGTGGTTTCAACCCCTCTGAAAAATATTAGTCAGTTGGGATGATTCTTCCCAATATACGGAAAACTAAAAAATGTTCCAAACCACCAACCAGTTGCGTATGTTTATCCTGCAATGACCAAGATTTTACAGTGAACAACGAGAGGTCACTAGTGGTCCCGTTCTGTCCCACAAGGGGAATCTCCTCCAGAAGTTCCAAGGGTTTTTGTTGGGTCAAAATGTTAGCACCAAGACGCACCAATGAACCCAAAATATCCCAAAATGTGCTCAAAAAGTCGTGTAAACCATCCATTTCGCGATTGATCCTTGAACCCAGAAATCACCTACCCTCTGGTAATTTGTTACAGTTTGCTATTGAACATGGCCCAGTCGAAATAGTTGATTTCCCCAGCTACATAGCATGGTGGATCTTTCCAGTTCGTTTTCTGTTAACGTTTACCAGGCCGGGTATCCGAAAACCATGAAATCCATGAAGTTCCAGCCCTTTTTGGGTTCATCTCAATCAACTCCAGGCGTCGCCCCGCCCCGTCACCTGCTCCACCTGTGTCGTGCCATTGCCGCTGAGCGAGGCGACTTGCGGCGAAGGGGAAGATGAGATGACCTGCACGAGGTGATGTGATGCCCGGGGTCAAATATGGGGACTTTGAAATTTAAGGGCTATACATCAATTTTAAATAATGTTAAGTATTGTTTGTGATAATTTATGATGATATACACATAATTACATTCCATTCCATTACATTAAATTACATTACATTACATACATAGAATTGATGTATATCATCTATTTCTACAGGGATATAGATGGATATAATTATTGATATGGGGTAGTGTGGGATCTATGTGAATAATAATGGGATAACATAGGGATATCCTGGGAATATGATAGGGGGTATGACGGGTATGATGCGGAATTCTTATATTATGGGGATATTGTACATCATGGAATAAAACCAACAAGAATGGGGCTACGAAACAAACCATGATATGGCATTTTTTGGTGGTGATAGAATGAGATGCAATATCAATGTTATAGTCAATGGTTTGGTTTAAGGGAAAATCTACAGGAAACCATGGTTTTTACCATTAATTATGGGGGTTTCCTGTAAATTTTCCCTTAAACTAATCCATTGATATAGCTATGTGATGGCAATGATGCTGAAATCTTCGCACAAATTGTTGGATACCCTGGTGCCGAATTTACAAACAGTCGTGTCCAGGAAATTATCTACCATCATCGTGATTTGTTGACATCTATGTGAACTTTTTCTGGAACTTATAATTAGATATGCCCAGATATAACTAGATATAGCTAGATACTACATTATAAAACTAGATATGACTAGATAATACTAGATTTCTTTATTGTCTCTAATGATTTTTCCATCATCGACTTCAATATAGCACGACTCATCTCCATGACTCTCCGCTGCCTTGCGTTTCACCGCAGCTGCCAAGCGTACTGGTTCTCGACCTGGATCAAGAATTGACCGAGTATCATCCTCCTAGGCAAAATCAAAGATATTTGAAACCACGAACCAGATATGACCAAATGTATGGCGGATATATCTAGTTATGAAAAATGTTATTTCTAGTTCAATGGGCATCATTGATCATCATTTAATCAACTTTGAATTGAATGAGTTGGCGTATAACTACAATCCCTGTTGGATCGGTTGGTATAATTTATCTATACATCTGAATCATGTGAAAAATGCGTGAAACAATTATCCAACTCATAAGTCTTGGAAGGGAATATATCATGATATACCATCTGGTTATGACTAACAGTTCGCCATGGAAAGATCCACCATTTTTAAGAACGGTAAACCCAGGTAAACCATTATTTCCATGGGCCATCTATACCATAATATGGCGAACTGTTCACCTTTGACCATCATGCTGTGGGGCATGTCTCACTATGCCAAGTTAAGCCGGCCACCCGACCCGTGCCACCTGGGGCAAAGTGATCATGTTTAGATTTGTTCGTATCATTTTCATGTACTAAACCATCAACATCAGGATTATGTAATCGACCAACCTTGTTGAGAGTCAAGTGTTTTGGCCCAGGCATATGGGTTTTCCGGTTAGAGATTGATGGAATGATAGAGGGCCCTTTGGGACCCGCATTCCTCATTTCTTTGGTGGGACTTCGTGGCCCCCAGATCAGGCGGAAAAAGCAGGTCGGTGCTGCAAATGCACAAGCGCCGGGTGCCCAAATGGGAGGCATCGCAACTCAAAGGATACTGGCCTTGGAAACGGGATGAAACGGGGACCTGTCCTAGACTTGGAGTATCAATGGGTTGGTTTAAGGGAACATCTTAACCTGAAACCTTGTTTTTTTAACCAGCGACTTTTCAGAGGTTTCCTGTAGATGTTCCCTCAAACCAATCCATTCAGACTAGTTATATAACCTGTTTGAAGCAAATTATTGGGTAATCAAGTGGGAAATCATCTACACATCTATCGCAAATGATTTATCATCTGGAACTGACCATGGGCATTCATGGGAAGAACCCCGAGCATAAATGGGAGTAATGATTCTTGTCTCTGATTGCAAACCCCACCCAACCCATGATGCTACATGAATTATGATATATATATATATATATACCACCATGTACCATCATGAAGAACAGTACGAATACCACCATATATATATATGTATCATAATTATATGTGTATATATATATATACATATATATATATATATATCATATTTATATATACCATAGTATTATATATATACACCATAATAATTATATATATATACCAACAGTATACAGAGAATGTCATGAAGAACATGGCTCAACTGTAGCCAGGTACGCTACCTCTCAAACACACCCAGCAAAAGCAGGGCATGGGAGCCATCGGCGCCACAGAGACTGCTGAGGGATTCACCCTACAATAAACGATTAAGATTCGCCCGTATGGTCCCTGGTGCCTCCCAGATATCAGTTGGGCTACATACACCACCAGTAACTATATATGATAATTATATATTATATAGAGCTTCCACGCTCTAGTGAATCTACTTATCAACATTTGAAACTCGAAAGAGGTGCAAGTGCTCAAGGTCGCTTCATTTTGCACGCAGCAAGCTGAACGATTGAGTGAACTAACGGGGGCGTCAGCCCATAGCTTGATGGTAAATACCGTTTCAACTGAGCTTAGTCAAGTCAACTGCACATGCCAACATGATGGAAATATTGCAACAGCTCCCCAAACTCTTTGTTGACTAAGTCAGTTACGGCAATCAAACAGCTGTTATCTTGGCGAATCCTTTCAGACGCTTTCTTTGAGCGCAGTTTGAAATTGGGATTTTCCTTCCTCAGTCTCAGTTCTTCATGTTCATCCCAAATGGTCAGTCTGGATGTTCTCAAAACCTCCTCCGAGGCACCGTTGGACTTGGCTATGTTGTCCTTTGTTAGAACATCAGCTACCATCTTAGGGTGAGGTGACCATCTGACCGAACTGCTTGAGTTTCTGATGGCGTCCAGGATGATCGCTATCTCGATGGCTGTTCTTCTGTCTTGTCTTGAGTTGGTTGACTCCTTGGCAATAGCATCGAACAAGGACTTGGCGTCTGTCACACTGCATTGTTGCAACCTTGATTTAAGCTCGCATTCGCTTCTCAGCACTGTTATGAAGGGCAGGATGGACTTCTTCCAGTCTTCTTTGTGAACGTCTCCATGCAACACATCTCTGATCATCAGCTGAATCCATTCCACCTCAGCTAGGGCCTGGTTGAAGGCTAGAGCTTCTCCTGCCAAAGTGGAAGACACTCTTCTTTTGAGTTTGGCCGACCTCCATGACAGAATGGACACCTTGATGGGACGAGATGCTGATGGCAACTGATCCGAAGCCACCAAGCACCTTGAACCGTATCTTCAAGTTCTTCATGAGCAGCTTCTGCCTTGATAGGCTCACTAGAGACACCACCAGCATCAGAGGCAGCAATCAGTACAAGCTTGTTCAAGTCAAACTTGTGCAAGACCAGTGGTTGACTGGCTGTGCCCTTGATGTGATGTATGAGTTTGTTCAGGCAGCATACGTCGTGAATCGTAGCTCTGTGCAGTCTCGATGACAACAAGCTCACAATGCCTGCTGCTTCTGGACGAGTCTGATGAGCAAGCCAGCTGACTCTGTAGAGCATGGATCGGAATTCTTCAAACATCTCTGAGCTCAGTGCCGCATCCTTGGAGGAGAGCATGCCACGAGGAACCTTCAGTTGGTGAACCTTTTCAACTATGTACTTCTCTTGGGACATGATCACTTTGTCATTCTCAAAACGCACCGTTCTTCCGGCAAAGTCTGCTGCATCATGCTCCCATTTTCCAAATTGAAAACGTTCTTGCAGGAGTTTCTGCAGCTCATCTTGATATTCTGGAACAGCACCTATGTTGAAGTCATCTACTTCAACCATGATCATGGCCATGATCCTTCCATTGACTCTCTTTATCAACCAGCAGGGCTCAAAGAGGCTACGCTCAAAACCTAAGCTAAAAAGAAACTCCAGCACTGTGTGATGCCAGCTGATCGGAGCATCATCCAATCCATACACTGGCACATTGAGCTCCACTATGGTATCCTTTGGAAGACCTAGTCCAGTGCATGCCTCGGCAAAAAGAGGACCTTGTGGTCTGTTGAGAGGATTGCTCTGGCAAAACGCTGACTTCACATCCGCAAAAGACATCTTCAAATCAAGGCATAGAGCAAGTTGAAAGAAGAGAGCTATTGCTTCCGTGCAAGGCATGGGACTGAAAGTCTTAAGTGAGCCACTGTCAGGGTCGCTATGACCCAGAACGCACCATCTAGACTTGTACTTGTAGTTCCCAATGCCTGGCATGGGCTTCTTTCTTCTCACCATCCTGGAGGCGATGATACGATGCCTTAGTGTGCTTCGAAGCTTTCTGGACTCCTCAGGAGAACAAATCCTCACTGCACCCATATCTAATATTGTCTGCCATTCAGCAGCATCGGACTTCTCAAAGCCCTGCTTCTCTTCAGCACTAGCGGTTCTCATGTCGAACTCGCTGTTCTTGGGCTTTGGAGGCTGTGCCAGCAAGGAGTTCCTGTCTTCTGAAGGTTTCAATCCCAGGAAACAGAAATCTGACATTCTGGGATCACTGGAAAGAAGATCGGATCCATCCTGATCCTCAAGACCTTCTGGCATACCCGGACTGCAGGTATCCTCCGCAATCTGATTCTCCTTATGGGTTCTAGGTGTGACCGGCCGAGATGCCATTCTAGGAGTTGCTGGTGTCGAAGGTGCTGCTGAGGCATTGACTCGGGGTGTGGCTGGAGCGTTGGTCATGGGCGTGGCTGGTGCGCCGCTCTCTCTTCTTGCTTCTTTGTCCATTCTCTTCAGCTCCTTGAGTGCCTCACGTTCCAGTCTCTTGTTCTCTAAGTCCTCAAGCTCTGACACTCTGCGTTTGACTCTGTCCTGGGAGGCAGAGGAGCCGCTACTAGCTCCACCTATGGTGTCAAGAGAGGTCTTCCTCCTTTTGTCAGGGAGTGGTTCTCCAAAAGGCTCCTCATGCGACTGATTGGACTGTCTGCCTGCTTCTGACTCTGTTCTGGACGTGTTTCTCTGAGGCATTTGAGTTGGCAGCGGTAAAACTGCCTCCTGCCTCAAAGCATGTCCTACTCCTGGGCCTGGTCTATGACGATCAAGATCTTCCTCTGGAATGGATGGCATCCTTGGTACCAAAACGCTGGGAACAGTTCTGTCTGGTGAACTGGGAACCGGCATGTTTTCTGCTTCTGAAGGTGGTGAGCCTTCGGATGCCACGTCTACTGCTCCACAACGTGATTGCCTTCCTTGTAGAAGAAGATCCTTCAGCTCAGCCACTTCGGTCAGAGAGGCCCCAAGAGCTTCATAGTGAGTTGCTGCTCTCAATTGATCAGAGTTACACTTCCAGAGCCGTGACCTCATAGACACATATACTGTGTGTCCAGCTTGCAGTATGACCAGACCTGGCCCCACCCAACGTGACCTTGTCAAGTGACCTTGACCCGTGCCAACGGTCTTTCTCCAAACATAAACCCACTGTCCCTGAGCCCATTGACGCTGACGGTGAGGCCTGCCAAGAGAGCTGAGACGAATTTTGTTGGCTGCCGACTGTTGCACGCACAGCTCCCTGGCACGCTGCCTGATGCGATGACTTCTGTTGAACTCCATAGCTGCTGTATCTTGATCCATCGCATCGGCTTCTATGTCCTGCCAGGCCAGATCTTGTGGAGAGTCACCCAGCAGGTCAGCTGGAAGTGTCGGGTTGATGCCAAACACCAGCTGACATGGGGAAAAACCCCCACGAGAAAACCATCTGTTTTTGTGCGTCACCACATAGGTTAAAAGCTCATCCAACTCCTCACTGGAAGTAACAATGCTCTGCCCAGAAGATAGCTCCATCTCTGCTCGTTCCTTCACCCAACCACCATGTCTCTCAACTCGACCATTCTGCCACGGGCTCGCGGCATCACACACCAACTGCAGAATGTTGAGCCGCTCGAGAGATCTTTCGAAAATATCCTTGAACTCAGGGCCACCGTCAGAAATGACCATCTCGGGGAGTCCAAAAGGCTTGAGCCAGCATTGACAAAATGCTTGCCATGCAACTTTTGAAGAGGGGGCTCCACCATCATAGTCTTGCAACCAACACACTTGCTGATAGTTGGTGCCTTGGCATACCACATTGAGGTATGCATGAGTTCTTCCGCCCCATGAAATGTAAAAGGTATCGATTCCAACCTGCCGGTTGAAAGCGAAAGTCCTCTGCATGGTGGCCTTCTTTCTGTCAATGGGGCGCCGTTGCCGCATGCAGTGCTCGCAGCTGTACTCTTCCTTGAGGTATCTCATTACAGCCTCCTTCGCACCGGCAGCTTTGAACAAGGACAACATTTGCTCCCTGGAGAGATGGCCTAAATTCAGATGGACCTGGTTTACCTTCTTCTTCTGCTCACTGGTCAGTCTCTCTGCTGACTCCTGATGTGCTCTTCTGGCAGGTGGCTCTCTAGCACCTGAAGCTTCAATCTCCGCGTCCAGAGCATTCTCCAGATCGCCCTCTTCTTCCTCATCGTCCCCGTAGAAGGAGAGCTCTGGTCTAAAAGACAGACCTCGGATGAAGTTTTCGATCAGCTGGGCACCGAATATGGCTGCCTTGGCAGGAAGTCCCCCTTCTAGTGGAACATGACTGTGATCGCCAGGGCACTGCAGAGAAGAGAACACGGCAGCCAAACCAAGATGATTGGTCGTGAGAGCCGTAGTTTTTCGAGACAGCTCATCTCCTTTCACCTTCAAGCCTGTCATGCACTGGTCAAAGAGAAAACGTATGACGCCTGGTTGTTGAAGCAGCCATTTTGTGGCATGAGTCTGTGCACTGCTGGCAAAGCCTGGTTGTTCAATACAAAACTCCTTGTTCTGAGAAATCTGATGCTCAGCGACCTGAACACAGAAATGCCACATGATGAGTCCCTCCTGCTGAATTCGCTGAACTTCCGGTTCTGTCATTCTAGACCAGTTTGACTGCATCATGGAAGAGAAAGGACGACAATCTGGCGTCATGAGAATGCAGTCTGGTTTCTGATCATGTACTACTCTCCAAAACTCAGCTCTGTCCTTGGCATCCAACACATTCCAGCCCGTCTTCATATCAAAAGCCGCTGGACTGGTTGTGGAAAAGCCCACTTGTCTTGCACGTTCGGTGATTCGAGGAGGAGAGAACAACTCCAAAATCTTGTAGGTCTTCTTGTCATTGAGGCACTTACGAAACCTCTGCAATCGCTCATCACCCTCCATGCCGAACTGACTACCTACCGAACTAAGCCAACAAGGGCTAGGTGAGTTGGAACTAAGCCTCCCAGGGCTAATGTTGGAAATGGCTGCAGTCTCATGATCATGGCTATTGATCTGCTTTTGATCCTGATCATCCTTTCTTGCGGTTCTTGCCTTGGCCGCATGGCTGGCTATTTGGCCGTCCCCATTGGGATCTTTTCTTGCGGTTCTTGCCTTGGCCGCTCGGCTGGCTATTTGTTCGTCCCCATTGGGATCTTTTCTTGCGGTTCTTGCCTTGGCCGCGTGGCTGTCTGTTTGAGCCGTCGCTTTGGACTCGCTCTCATCATCACTGCTACCGCTGCTGTTGCCATCCATCAACTGACTGGCTTTGTGGCAAAATGCCGCAAATTGCTCATGCAAAAACTTGCTACTGCTACTCTTTTCTGATGACTGCTGAATACTCCTCTTGACCTTCCTGGGAACCTGAAACTCGCGATGTTCACTGCAGTCACCAAAGCACAGCTCCCGACACAAGTCTGGACTATAGAAAACACAACCAACCGCATCACAAACATTCCCAATACCCCAAAAACAAGGCTGGTCATGCGACAAAAAATAGTTAACCACGGCCATGTTCAACCTTCCAATGAACCAAGAAGGGTCATCTGTACACTTAACTTCTGATCCATGGAACCTTGAATTGGTGAAACTTCTGATCCCGCTACTCAGTTGCGAGGCATCTCCCACTGGTCTCCAGCAGGAGCTTCCATCAGCTCCTCGCCCGAGGGAATCTCCACTGGAACTTGATATCCTTGAGTTGGAAGTGGCATCTGATCTCCCCGCTGCTGAAGGAGGAGCCCGATCAGCTGTTGCTGACCCTGAACCATAGTCTGAAGTTGCTGATGACTGGCTGCCATCTGCTGCATTGTCTCCATCATAGGGCCCATCGCCTGCGAGACCATGCCGGCAGTCGACTGAGCCAGCTGATCCGTCTGCTGCGTGATCAAGACTTGCACGTCTTGCGTTGTGATGTGCTCTTCTGAGCTCAGCGCTGGTGCTGAGCGCTGGATCACTGCTGCTGGCCCAGTGCTCACATAAGTCTGCACGGTGACGTTCTTGGGCTTCTTGGTCCCTCGTTGACTCGGACGAGGATTGCTTGGTCCCCACTTCTTGAAGATCATTTGCTTGTTGCAAAGGCCACATGTCTTCCAAGAGCCATGTTGATTGCCGCCCTTGACCATGAGATCCACTGGATGATGGCACACCTTGGGCGGTGGTGCCGGAATTGTCACACCCTCTTCGCACAACGGCATCTGTGGAAATGCCAATGGAAGATCCAGGTTGGTTGGCCCCCTCCGTTGCGTCAGAAGCCGCCTCGTCATGCCGAACCACACCGATTGAGCCTTCTCTCGCCGGTCCTCGGGCATGAACCGACGAGACATCAGAGACTAGCTCTGAACAGCTGGACTGATAGCTAGCTTGAGTTCTTGAGGCTTCGGAGGAAAGAGCGACGTTGTCAGTAGTCAGAAGAATCACAGGAGAAAAGGAAAGCAAACAAACAACGTAACTTTCACTGCTGTTGTCTTTGGATTCCAAACAGTGCATGATATGCTTTCTCACTTGATCTGAGGCCTTCTTTCTGATCTCTCTTGACATTTCCAAAAGAGCACATGTTTTTTGCTTGGACTCTATCAACCATGACGTGCAGTATTTGACATCGGTAGGTTGATGATACTGATGTGATGCGAAAGGATCATTGATGGAAAAACTGTTGACATCGCAGCAAATGATCAAGCCAAACGGAACGACAATGCTCTCTGAATCATTCTGACCTTTCCTAGCATACCTCATGACCTCATGAACCGACAACTCCACTGCATGCTCATGACAGGAAAACGCCGCATAATCTCGGGACACTTGCGCGTCGGCTAAGTTGAAAGCATCGGCTGAAAGCTGAAACTGATCTCTCAGCTGCTGAGGAACCGGAAATGGTTCTCCATTCCAAGAAGATATGTCCAGGGTTCTGTGCCCTGAGCTAAGACGATTCATGTCAGCTGAGGTGCCAAAATTCTGAAACCGAATTTGATTTCGCGGAACGTCAATGATCGCTCCAGCATGCTCTAAGAGTCCTACGGAAAGAAGTTGGGGAACATCGTCGGAAACAACAGTAAGCTTGATGATACCTGGTTTCCCACCCAAAACACAAGGAGACAAAGCACAAAACAAAGGACGTGCATCCCCACCAATTCCGCTGGCTGGGGCTGGAACCTCATCCAGCTTGATCGGCTTCAGGCCGTTGTGACCCAGGCTCTCAGTCAGCCTCTCAAAGCTCTTCAGCCCTATCAAATCCTGTGAAGCACCTGGATCAATGATTGCATGACCCGGTGGAAGTGTGAGAAAAACTTCTAAGCCACTCTCAGCCAAAACGCAAAAGCTGCTGCTGCTTGAGGAACCCATGAAGACAAATGCATTGCCCGAGGACTTCTCCGTCTTTTCTCGAGAAGACTTTGAGCGATAGGGCTTGACACAGTCTTCCTTCCAGTGTCCCTTCTCACCACAATTGCTGCACCTGGTGATCTTCTTCAGCTCTGCAATGGGAAGATGCCGATGCCCTTGAGGTTTGGTTGGTCGGCTCTGCTTGTCATCGAAGTGCCTTCTGTCTTTCTTCCTCGCTGCCTTGAGCTGCTTGTTCTCGCTCCATGTCCTTCGTCGGAAAGCATTCTGCATCAGGAAGTTCATAGCCTCGTCTTCCGTGAGATCCTTCTCAGCGATTGCCAAAAAGGACTCCTCGTCCAAACTGCAGGACTCTGAGTCGGAACCCGACTCGGCATCTTGACCATCTCCTAAAGGTTCAGCAGTTAGATAAGAGGCCTTCGTGGACTTGAACAGCGACTCCTCCTCAGTGTCAAGAACCTGCAAGGCCTTCTTCACTCTGCCATATTCGTGCTTGCCCTCTGTCAGGACTCTGAGATTCTGAATGCCCTGCTTGCTCAAACCCGCCTGCTCCTCCAGCATGAAGGCTCGCAGCTCGTCTGGGAGAGACATGTAGCGAGAGGCTGAGGCAAATTGGCTCTCTCGCCTGAGTGAGTACTGCGCGAGGCTCTCGCCTTGATGCCTGTTGCCCTCATACAAGGCCGCTCTGATGGAGCGTCTCTTCTCAGAGTCTTGCCGTTCACCCGCCAAGACGTCAAGAACACCAAGAATGGCAGACAAGTAGTCATGAGAAGCCAACTCCTCCTCGGTGATGTGCTCTAACTTGGCCTGCAGCTCCCATTCCATGTTCTTGAGGACCTTCTCAGCTCGCCTGTGAAGTGCAACGTCAGTGTTGCCATTCCATCTGGTCAAAGCACGTCGCCACAGCCGGTAGTGCTGCCAGCCAGCCCATATGGGCGGTTCTGAGTAGTCACCTTTGGTTGACCCCCACCAGTCATCCTTCTTAGACTGATTCCGTGACGTTTGCCACGTTCTACTCCAAGGATCAGCTGCTTGAAGAGGATCTAGACCTCTGGAATCTAAGGCAGCCACTGGAGCAGGGTTGACTGATGTCCCTCTAGCCTCAGTCGTTTCTGCTTTGTGACTGTCCTGGCTCTCCCACGTCGTAGAGTAGTTCCAAGACCTACTCCAGCCCCCATGCCACTGATTCCATCGTCTCCACTCTTCTTCTGTCCACCTTGGTTGAGTCACAGCACCCTGAGAGTGCTCCCTTTCGGCAGCCGTGGTTGACTGCGCAGCTTGAGCGTGTTCGCCCCCGTCACTCGTCCACTCACGTACGTCTGGAAGGACGTCCTGCTCACCTGTCTCATTTTCCATAGTCCCAATGCCGCTGGATGCACCGCAGTGCTCCGCCTACCACTGAAACTCGAAAGAGGTGCAAGTGCTCAAGGTCGCTTCATTTTGCACGCAGCAAGCTGAACGATTGAGTGAACTAACGGGGGCGTCAGCCCATAGCTTGATGGTAAATACCGTTTCAACTGAGCTTAGTCAAGTCAACTGCACATGCCAACATGATGGAAATATTGCAACACATTTATCAATTGATCAACCAACTTACCCTCTGGTAAACTAACATAACTAAGGAAAATCACCATTTTTAATGGGAAAATCCACTATAACTGTCCATTTTCAATAGCTATGTTAAATTACCAGAGGGTAGCCATCATAGATCAACTCAAATTTCCCCCATCTTTCATTGGTTACCTCCCCATGGCTTTCCCGCTCCAGGATGCTCCAGGCGTCCCACCAGGTGTCCCAGCCCAGGTTGCCGTTGTACAAACATCTCCCCGCCTTGGGACCTTGTAACTCCTGAGTGGCGTTGAGTTCCATTTGGATTCATTTGGTGAATCACATGATGAATCACACATAAAATAGATTACCCTCTGGTAATTTGTTACGTAGCTATTGAAAATTGCCATTCATAATGGATTTTCCCATTAAAAATAGTGATTTTCCATAGTTATGTTAGTTTACCAGAGGGTAGATGTGACAAACAAAAAATCATCCAAACGTATTTTTGGAAAAACAAACATGGAAAAACATATGGAAAAACCATCCGAATCGTTTCCATTCCGAATTCCACTGGATACACCATGTCTTTCTGGTGCGAAAGGACCCACTTTGGCCATTGGCAACCAAGTTTGCTGCTTGTGTCTTCGGGCAAATTGTCCAAATGATTCTAAATCAGAAGTGAATCCCAATCATGTCCAATTACTATAAATCAAAGTACAGCTATTTTGAAATGATTCCATGACCGTCACAATACACACGCGACAGAAAAATACACGCTGCTCCTGTGCCGGTTGATCTGGTCCCTGGTCCGCTTCGCAGCGCCTGGATCCAATAATTTCAAGAGTTTTCCGAAACCATGAGATACATGTTGTATGTATACATACCTCGAAAAATATTTTCTCTATATAAATAATTATATGTATATATATAATATATACATACATATGTGTATTATGATTGGCCAGTGGTTCCTCACCAGCTCTTCCGAACAATGCTTGCCGCTGTTGAGCACCTGTTTAGCTGTTCAGAACAAAGTCTTCCATCTTTAAGACAAACCTGCAAGATGTTTTGTTTCCATCACAAGGACTTATACAATCCATGATGTCACAGCGCAGGGCAGCAACTAAAGTATTTACGAAAGGGCAGGCAACCATTACTCCAAACCCTCCGGAATGTTTATTCTGATGGCATTTTTCTTGAAAACATGTTAACTGTTGCCTTCTTGGAAAACACACATGGAAAACAACCACATTATCCCAGGGATGTAGGTGCTTTGATACTACGGGCTGTGTCAATATCCTTATGTCCATTGGTTGATTCTACAAAGCCCTTAGCCTTTAAGATGCAACAGAAAAAACATGTTCCACTCTGCCGCTACATTTCCTGATTAACGATCATGCTTTGTCGGACCATTTGATGATCAACTGGCCGAGCCGCTTGGGATTGGCTACCTCCAAATCACAGCGTTTATCATCATATTTGCCCTATTGACAGATGGTTATGAAAAAGGCGCTCTACCCAAATTTCAAATATCCAAATATAATATCAAGTTGGTTAGATTACTATCCGATGATATATCCCATTCTATCCCTAAAATCTTAACCAGTCCCTCACTTTTGGGGATAGATAATGGAATCAAAAATTAGAAGAAATCATGGTTTTTATATAACCAACATCAACCAACTAGAATGTGTTTTTGATGGGAATTTCATGAGACTTAATCATCATGTTTTCCAGATTAACTATTCAGTTAACTACATGGAACGGTGATTAACTATTAGTTATTATCTCATGAATCTCATCAATTTAATCATGATTAATCATCATTGCACTATCACCCAGATCACCATGTTTTCCATGCGAAAAAAACTGGAGTGTTCTGCGCGCCTGCAGCCCAGCGAGGCTAAGGCGGCGCAGTTGTTGATGAAGGCTAAATCCTCGCGACAAAAAAAGTGCAGCGAAGAGGTAAAAAAATTTTGTTCCAGATCTGAAAAGTGCTGGTTTTTCCGGATGTTTAGCATTTTCCTGATGATGTTTTGCATTTTCCTGATGTTTAGCATTCTCCTGATGTTTAGCATTCTCCTGATGATGCTTAGCATGTTCCTGATGTTTAGCATTTTCCTGATGTGTAGCGTTCTTCTGATGATGTTTAGCATTTTCCTGATGTTTAGCATTATCCTGATGTTGAGCATGTTCCTGATGTTTTAGCATGTTCCTGAATGTTTTGTATTTTCCTGATGATACTGAGCATGTTCCTAGTGTTTTAGCATTTTCCTGATGTTTAGCATTTTCCAGATGATGTTTAGATATGTTGAGCATATTTTAGCCATAGGTGGTATCCATGTTTTTTCATTTTCCAGATGATGTTTTTGTTATCAGATGTTCTCAGATGCTTTGTTTGCTCGGGCCTAGCTGGGTTTATCAGATTATGACATGTCCCACTACGAGTCGCGGGGATCGATGAACAACCTCCACCAGAATCATCACTCCAATTATTAAAATCAGTTAAAAAAAACAAATTGAACACCAATGCCAAGCATGATACATGGACCACCTTAAAGTCATTTGTTTTCGGTAGTATTTAAGCTTTGCAAACTGCCCGTGGCGCGCAACGCAGAACATTTGGGCTTTTTGTGCCTCCGGATGGCAGCGGAGGCCCGCTTCCTCGCAAACGAAACTGCAGGAGGTGCCTTGCGCGGGCCGGCATTGAAGCACTGGTGACAAATGACCCTATGGAGCATGGTATATTCAGCTACAAAATATAGGTGATCATTATGGGGTAAATATTGATAAATATTCCACCTATGGAGCATATGAGTGATCCAACGTGAAGAGAAAACGTATGAAATCGTAGGGGATACTGTAACCAGGAAAAATATGAGGGATATTGAGGACATGTTCAGCCATCTAACAAATTTTGGATGATCAAATTTCATAAAAACTGGATAGGCCAAAATGTATCAAAATGTCAAATATTGTCAAGTCTGATTCCCGATTTGGAAGGGCTATGAAGGGGTCAGGTATCCCCGGTATCCCAGGAGAAATGGTGGGGTTCACGGGAACTAGGTTCATCCCTCCACAACAGGCACGAACGAACGGGAGAATGATCCAACATGAAGCGAAGCGTGTGTTTAGAACGCCTTCATCCACAGAAATTGCTATCTGAGATACTAAAATATACTCAATAATTACATCTAAACTATTAGCCTGTATGATACTTATCAAATCTTATCAACACTTCTTCTTAGACTTACAATGAAACACTGCCTATAGATTTCCCCAGTGATCCGGCATGCTTCCCACCGTTCCAACACGAATTAATCACGGCTCGAGCCATCTTCATCCGCCTGGAAAGTCCGCAGGCAGCAACTCTGAAGAGGCTGGAACCAGCAAGGGATGAGAGGCCTCGGTTTTTTCGGTTTTATCGCGTTCACATTTCCACGGAGTTTTCCGAAAGATAAAACGAACAATTTGGTTATTTATGTCTACTTATAGCTTGGTTATTTAGGTCCACTTGTAGCTCTATATATATATATATATCATATATAGTTTTATTATAATTAGCTATATAACTTGATATAACTTGAAATCTACCCAACCACCCCATGAAACTGGAGATTGGAAACCTCAGGAGCTTAGCTTCGTAGATCTTCACCACGCTTCTGCGGTGAAGCTTCGTTGAGGCTCCCACCAATGGGAACAGCATGGGATCCAGGATTTGACCTTAAAGTAGATTGATGATGCGCAAGCGCTTGCATAATTTTAATTATTTCTGATTATATGTATATATATATGTGATGTATAATGATGTATAATGATGTATAATGATGTATAATATATGTGATGATGTATAATATATATATATATATTTGTAATGTATAATGAAGTGTATAATCACATCACATGCAGGTAGATCAATACATACAGAACTTGCACACACACACAAAATGGTTTTTGCACATTTCGATGCAGAGTAACGAGCCCTGGGCTGGCCGTGGGTGGCAGCACAGAGCCAGTCACCGCATCCTCCTCTGGACGTAACAAGGCCTGGAGAAGTGAGGATGTCATGGAAAGAATCATACCACTAAATGTATATTAATATACGTATGTATATATATATATTACATGCATGTATACATGTAATTATATATTATAATATTCTATACATATCTACATAATGTAGTGATGAAAAAATCGGGAATCAAACATATGTGACATCCAGATGGCAACCGGCAATGAAACAAGTCACTGGACACTAAGAAAACGTTGGTCCTTACTTTTGGGATTCTTCAAAATCTCTGTGATTGCTTCATTGTTACCATCTGGTTATTTAACATAGACATGGTATAGATGGCCCATAGAAATAGATGGTTTACCTATTAAAAATGGGTGGATCTTTCCAGTTCGCTATGTTAGTCATAACCAGATGGTCAATTTTCCAGTTCGCTATATCTGCCATAAACCATAGAATTCAGCCACTTATATCTCAACTTAGCTATCTTGGGGGCCCCATCCTCAATGATTGTGGTGGCTACTGTCAGACGCTATAAAAACCACTATGACCCATGACGGATCCATGGATATCCTAACGGTGCTGCTAGAAAAATGGTGCTCCATGGATCCCAGAAAAATATACTCCAGTCATGTTAGCATAGCAGCACCATGGATCCGTCATGGGTGATAATTTGTGTTTACTAAAAAAGTTACTAAAAGCTTAGCTAGGCCAATATCCATTGCATCTCCGCATGTTTTTTTGCTATGGCAGCTTGAAGTTGTCCTGTTAAACGGTCGTGCCATTTGGGCACCACACGTGTTTACTGTTGAACAATCCCATTGACTCGGCGGCATTGGAATATCACCCTCAAACATGTGAATGTATATATATATATTATGTTATATATACATATAATTAATTATAATTATGTCTTTACAGATATTTGCAGTTTATATATCCTGATATGGCTCTGGTTCACACCGCCGTGCCCACAAATGTTCCACCGCCCACCTATGCCCACCTCCCTCACTTCACCACGGCACAAAGGTGAGGAATTGGGCACCAGGTATAGCACCTCAATGCGTGTGCTACGGGTGCTACGGCACCACGGCTAGGGCATGGGGGATGGAACAGAAATCGAAAGCGGAAATCGTCATGAGTTGTGGCGTTGTGGCTGATATATTTCTAACATCTTAAAATTACACTTTGATGGTAGGCATTGAGTTTAACAACTTGTAGGATTGTGACCTGATAACATAGACCCGGGCAAGCCGGCGGCGGAAGTTTCCCAAACATAAATGACCTATAGTTCAAAGACAACCTGTCCCGACCGTGTCCTTCCCTCGACACTCCACACCTCACACTTCACACTGCACTCTTCTCACTTCGCACTTCACCCTCCACACTTCACAGTCCACACTTCACACTTCTCACTTCTCACTGCTTCCTTCCCACTCCAAACTTCACACTCCAAACTTCACACTTCACACTTCGCACTTCACACTCCACACTTCACTCACACTTCACACTTCACAGTCCACACTTCACACTTCTCACTGCTTCCTTCACACTCCAAACCTCACACTTCAGACTTCACACTTCACACTGCGCTCTTCGCACTCCACACTTAAACTTCACACTCCACACTTCACACTTCTCACTTCCCACTGCTTGCTTCACACTGCACACTTCACGCTGCACTCTTCACGCCCCACACTTCACACTGCTCTAAACCTACGTGCAACCAAAAAACACTAGCACCAAAATGGAGAAAATCTGCTAACAAATCCATTTCGCAGCCTTCATGCAGCCAGTCCAAGACGATGTACGAGATCCAGCTGCAAAAGACATTACGCATGCAGCCAAAGCAAGAAGCAACCTTGACGCAGCCATTCCAATGCGATCTGCGGAGACTGAGTTGCAAAACACAAGAGAACTACGCGCAATGGCATCGGAAATTGTAGCTCCAAAACCGGATCTCGACGCCAGAGCGGAAAAAAGACGATTTTGAAGCACTTTTTAAAAAGATTTTTAGAAGGAAAATCACTAGCGCCAAAATGGAGAAAATCTGCTGACAAATCACTGTCGCAGCCTTCATGCAGCCACTCCAATACGATTTACAAAGTCCAGCTGCAAAAGACAATAGTATTACGCATGCAGCCACAGCATGAAGCAACCTTGACGCAGCCATTACAATGCGATCTGCGGAGACTGAGTTGCAAAGCACAATAGAACTACGCGCAACGGCGTCGGAAATTGTAGCTCCAAAACCGGATCTCGACGCCAGAGCGAAAAAAAAGACGATTTTGAAGCACTTTTTAAAAGGATTTTTAGAAGGAAAATCACTAGCGCCAAAAACGCATTTCGTGCGAGACTTCCTTCAAAACTCCTTGACGCAGCCATTCCAATGCGATCTGCGGAGACTGAGTTGCAAAACACAATAGAACTACGCGCAACGGCGTCGGAAATTGTAGCTCCAAAACCGGATCTCGACGCCAGAGCGAAAAAAAAAGACGATTTTGAAGCACTTTTTAAAAGGATTTTTAGAAGGAAAATCACTAGCGCCAAAATGGAGAAAATCTGCGGACAAATCACTGTCGCAGCCTTCATGCAGCCACTCCAATACGATTTACGAAGTCCAGCCGCAAAAGACAATAGTATTACGCATGCAGCCGAAGCAGGAAGCAACCTTGACGCAGCCATTACAATGCGATCTGCAGAGACTGAGTTGCAAAGCACAATAGAACTACGCGCAACGGCGTCGGAAATTGTAGCTCCAAAACCGGATCTCGACGCCAGAGCGAAAAAAAGACGATTTTGAAGCACTTTTTAAAAGGATTTTTAAAAGGAAAATCACTAGCGCCAAAATGGAGAAAAAAACGCATTTCGTGCGAGACTTCCTTCAAAACTCCATCGGCAACTCATCCACCAGCACCACTTGCAATCCCATTTACATTGCGGGAACGATCCTACAGTTGCAAATCACAATGGAATTCTGTCGACCGCACATGCACGAAAAACACTTGAAACCCCATTTACAATGCAGAACCGATCCGACCATGATCCGAGACCGATCCGAGCATGATCCGACCACACACGAGACCGTCTCGCACCCGTCGCACCGCAGAGGTAGATCATCAACGTTCGGGGACGCACTTTGTCTGGAAAAACACAGGGTTTCGTGCATCTTCTATCTCTCAAAAACACATTTCGTGCGAGACTTCCTTCAAAACTCCATCGGCAACTCCTCCACCAGCACCGCATGCAATCCCATTTACAGTGAGGGAACGATCCTACAATTGCAAATCACAATGGAATTCCATCGGCAACTCATCCACCAGCACCACTTGCAATCCCATTTACATAGCGGGAACGATCCTACAGTTGCAAATCACAATGGAATTCTGTCGACCGCGCATGCACGAAAAACACTTGAAACCCCATTTACAATGCGGAACCGATCCGACCATGGTCCGAGAATGATCCGACCATGGTCCGAGAATGATCCGACCACACACGAGACCGTCTCGCACCCGTCTCACCGCAGAGGTAGATCATCGACGTTCGGGGACGCACTTTGTCTGGAAAAACATAGGGTTTCGTGCATCTGCTATCTCTCAAAAACACATTTCGTGCGAGACTTCCTTCAAAACTCCATCGGCAACTCTTCCACCAGCACCACTTGCAATCCCATTGAAAGTGAGGGAACGATCCTAGAGTTGCAAATCACAATGGAATTCCATCGGCAACTCATCCACCAGCACCACTTGCAATCCCATTTACATTGCGGGAACGATCCTACAGTTGCAAATCACAATGGAATTCTGTCGACCGCAAATGCACGAAACACAGGTGAAACCCCATTTACAATGCGGAACCGATCCGACCACCCTAAGTCTCGAAAGTTAGTAATTTTACTCGCCCTGAATTTTACATAAAATCGACTGTTTTACTAACGTTATTTTACGTAAAATTTTACTAACGTTAGTAAAATTTACTAACGTTAGTAAAATTTTACTAATGTTAGTAAATGATTTTACTAACGTTAGTAAAATTTTGCATGCTTTCAAAAATTGTTAAAATTGTGTTTTTGTTTTTCTATTGTTTTTCTCAGGAATTCTGATATTTTTTGTGATGTGTGTGATTGTGGTTTGCGATGATTTGGTTATGAGTGGGGTGTTTCCAGTGGTGGATTTCAATCGATATGTTGTTGTTACTGTAGAAGAAACTGCACTTATGTGTTGAGGAATGACTTTACATGAGTTTGTACTGGAGACTTTACTTGCGATTTTATATGAGGAGTTCTTGGTACTTTCTTGGGACTTTACCTGAGAGTTCTTTTGAGGTGTTATGTGAAATCATGTACATCTATATCTATATCTAAATATCTATATAAACATATAAACTGGATTTACATAATAATAGGTGAATCCACAAAAGGAATTTACATTGGATCTTGACTTTAAGAAGTCATTGCAAAGCATTTACATTTGAAAAAGAAAGTCTAGATAATTTTTTGGGTAAATGAGACTAGGTGAAATATCAAAGCAATAATAACCACATCTTATTATTTTTTCCAGGCAAGGAAAGTGAACCAAATTTTATTGGATCAGGTTTGTTTGCTACAAAACTTGATCAACTTACATAAAACAATTGTCCATGGGGACTGAAGACATGTCTTTTTCAAAGCTAAATTTAAAAGGGAGCTCATAGACTCTTGTGGTGTTTTTTCTCATACAATTTGGAGAAGGTCTGGATGGAATCCTGGTAAGCCTTTGGCTGGCTTGAAAAAATACATCCAAGAAGTCTTAGTGAGACCCTTACTCCACTTTCAATTCCATATGAATATTTTTTCACATGTGTCCAAAGTTTTTTTCAGAAAAATGCTTGAACACGGTCAAAAATGCAATGCACTTCTGATGCTTTTGGTGCACTCTTGATGCACTTTTGGAGCACTTTTGATGCACTTTTGGTGCACTTTTGGTGCACTTTTGATGCACTTTTGATGCACTTTTGATGCACTTTTGATGCACTTTTGATGCACTTTTGGTGCACTTTTGATGCACTTTTGATGCACTTTGAAAAGTGATGCGCTTTTGATGCACTTTTGATGCACTTTTACCGCCTTTTGATGCACTTTTGATGCACTTTTTAAAAGTGCATCAAAAGTGCTTCAAAAGTGCGTCAAAAGTGCGTCAAGAATTTATGGCATTTTTCTTGGAAAAAATAAAAAATGATAAGTTTCTCTCTCAAAAAGAGATTGCATGCATTGAGTTTGAAGTAAAACTCATTCAGTGCAGTCTCAAGTAAGGTGCAAAGTGCAATGATAGCAAACTCAGTAAAGTTCACTGACAGCAGTCTCAAGTAAAGTTCACTGGCAACAGGCCCGAGTAAAGTTCATTGGATGCAGCCTCAAGTAAAGTTTATTGGATGCAGCCTCAAGCAAAGTTCATTGGATGCAGTCTCGAGTAAAGTTCACTGACAGCAGTCTCAAGTAAAGTTCACTGACAACAGGCTCAAGTAAAGTGCACTGACAACAGTCTCAAGTAAAGTTCACTGACAGCAGGCTCAAGTAAAGTTCACCGGATGCAGTCTCAAGTAGAGTTCATTGGATGCAGTCTCAAGTAAAGTTCATTGGATGCAGTCTGAAGTAAAGTTCATTGGATGCAGTCCCAAGTAAAGTTCACTTACAGCAGTCTCAAGTAAAGTTCACTGACAGCAGGCTCAAGCAAAGTTCACTGACAACAGGCTCAAGTAAAGTGCGGTGACAACAGTCTCAAGTCTAGTTCATTGGATGCGGTCTCAAGTAAAGTGCACTGACAGCAGGCTCAAGCAAAGTTCATTGGATGCAGTCTCAAGTAAAGTTCACTTACAGCAGTCTCAAGTAAAGTTCATTGGATGCAGTCTGAAGTAAAGTTCATCGGATGCAGTCTCAAGTAAAGTTCACTTACAGCAGTCTCAAGTAAAGTTTATTGGATGCAGCCTCAAGTAAAGTCAAGTGCAGTGTCAACATTTATCAAGTAAAGTCTTTATGCAGAAAAGTTTCTTGGATCTGTTTTCATGTAAAGCCAACCTCAGCGAACAGCAGCAGCACTTATTTTTTCATACCCCAACGCAAGCTATCAGGAATTGACCGTCTATCTTTCTTTCAGAATGTTTTCGTTTTGCGGCAAAGGACATATCCTTATGCAGGTTCCACATTCTAATTTCTTCACATTCCTCAACAATATTTGCATATTCATTCTGCTTCTTATGGAAATTCGAAAACCTATCACACATCTTCTGGCACATTTTTGGTGCATTTTGATGCATTTTTGATGCACTTTTGATGCACTTTTCCTTTTTTCCCCACCTGCCAGGTGAGGGTTGTTAGATTTTATGTCAGTTGCCTCCTCGTCCTCCTCCTCCTCCTGCTCCTCCTGCTCCTCCTCCTCCTCCTCCTCCGCCTCCTCCTGCCTCGTCCTCCTCCTCCTCGTCCTCCTTGTCATCCTTGTCGTCCTTGCTCAACTGCGACCCGCGATCCACAGTGTTCCCTGCCGGACCTCAACCACGACCATCCACGCCCAGTGTTCCCTGCCGGACCTCAACCACGACCATCCGCGCCCAGTGTTCCCTGCCGGACCTCAACCACGACCATCCGCGCCCAGTGTTCCCTGCCGGACCTCAACCGCAACCATCCGCGCCCAGTGTTCCCTGCCGGACCTCAACCGCGACCATCCGCGCCCAGTGTTCCCTGCCGGACCTCATGTAGGAAGATATGGGACAAAGAATGTGCAGAAGAAAGTTAGAAAGAATGTCAGAAAGAATGTCAGAAGATATGCCAGAAGATATGCCAGATAGAATGCCAAATAGAATGCCAGATAGAATGCCAGATAGAATGCCAGAAGATATGTCAGAATATATGCCAGAAGATATGCCAGATAGAATGCCAGAAGATATGTCAGAAGATATGCCAGATAGAATGCCAGATAGAATGCCAGAAGATATGTCAGATAGAATGCCAGAAGATATGCCAGATAGAATGCCAGAAGATTTGCCAGATAGAATGCCAGAAGATATGCCAGATAGAATGCCAGAAGATATGTCAGATAGAGTGCCAGAAGATATGCCAGATAGAATGCCAGAAGATTTGCCAGATAGAATGCCAGAAGATATGCCAGAAGATATGCCGGATCATATGCCAGAAGATATGCCAGATAGAATGTCAAATAGAATGTCAGAAGTGAGGGCCCAATCTAAGGGGACGCAGTTCTGGTGGGAACGCGGGATGGATGCGTTTTTTGCTTCGCGGAAGCACTTAGAAGCTGCATGGGCTTCTTAGAAGGGTTTTGCTTCTTAGAAGCAGCCTCTTAGAAGTAGAGGCCTTCTTAGAAGATAAGTTTTCTTTTTGATTTAAATTGTATGTTTAGCTTCTTAGAACCCTTCTGCTTCTAAGAGCTTCTAAGTGGCAAAATTCATCTTTTCAGCTTCGAAGAAGCCCCCCCGGAATCCATCCAGACTTGCATCCCCCTACATCAGCCCCTGAAGAAGATATGTCAGATAGAATGCCAGAAGATTTGCCAGTAAGAAAATGTATAAATGTCATGGTGGGGATCACACGAAGTAAAGTAATTTTACATTTTACTAATTTTGCAAAAATCAACAAAAATTTTACGTAAAATCTTCTGGATTAGTAAAATTACTAAATTAGTAAAATTACTAGCTTTCGAGACTTAGGGCATGGTCCGAGACCGATCCGACCATGATCCGACCACACACGAGACCGTCTCGCACCCGTCGCACCGCAGAGGTAGATCATCGACGTTCGGGGACGCACTTTGTATGGAAAAAACATAGGGTTTCGTGCATCTGCTATCTCTCAAAAACGCATTTCGTGCGAGACTTCCTCCAAAACTCCATCGGCAACTCATCCACAGCACCACTTGCAATCTCCCATTTACATTGCGGGAACGATCCTACAGTTTGCAAATCACAATGGAATTCTGTCGACCACACATGCACGAAAAACAGTTGAAACCCCATTTACAATGCGGAACCGATCCGACATGGTCCGAGAATGATCCGACATATCCGAGAATGATCCGACCACACACGAGACCGTCTCGCACCCGTCGCACCGCAGAGGTAGATCATCGAGGTTCGGGGACGCACTTTGTATGGAAAAACATAGGGTTTCGTGCATCTGCTATCTCTCAAAAACGCATTTCGTGCGAGACTTCCTTCAAAACTCCATCGGCAACTCTCCCCAGCACCACTTGCAATCCCATTTACAGTGAGGGAACAATTCTTTGCTAACTTTTCCCTGACGAACTGTTTCTTTGCTAACTCTTTCTTGACTAACTCTTTCCCTCACTAACTCTTTCTTTGACTAACTCTTTCCCTGACTAACTGTTTCTTGACTAACTCTTTCTTTGACTAATCTTTCCCTGACGAACTCTTTCTTTGCTAACTCTTTCTTTGACTAACTCTTTCCCTCACTAACTCTTTCTTTGACTAACTCTTTCCCTGACTAACTGTTTCTTTGTTTCTTTTGACTCTTTCCCTCACTAACTCTTTCTTTGACTAACTCTTTCCCTGACTAACTGTTTCTTTGACTAACTCTTTCTTTGACTAACTCTTTCCTGACCTCTTTCCTGCTAACTGTTTCTTTGACTAACTCTTTCTTTGACTAACTCTTTCCCTGACGAACTCTCTTTGCTAACTCTTTGACTAACTCTTTCTTTGACTAACTCTTTCCCTGACTAACTGTTTCTTTGCTAACTCTTTCTTTGACTAACTCGTATCCCTGACTAACTCTTTCTTTGACTAACTCTTTCCTGACTAACTCTTTCTTTGACTAACTGTGCTAACTCTTTCTTTGACTAACGCTTTGACTAACTCTTTCCCTGACTAACTCTTTCTTTGACTAACTCTTTCCCTGACTAACTGTTTCTTTGACTAACTCTTTCTTTGACTAACTCTTTCCCTAACTCTTTCTTTGACTAACTCTTTCCCTGACGAACTCTTTCTTTGCTAACTCTTTCTTTGACTAACTCTTTCCCTCACTAACTCTTTGGACTAACTCTTTCCCTGAACTCTTCTTTGACTAACTCTTCCTGACTAACTTTCTTTGACTAACTCTTCCCTCACTGTGACTAACTGTTTCTTTGACTAACTCTTTCTTTGACTAACTCTTTCCCTGACTAACTCTTTCTTTGACTAACTCTTTCCCTGACGAACTCTTTCTTTGCTAACTCTTTCTTTGACTAACTCTTTCCCTGACATTCTAAAAGTCCGTAACACGGAAGTTTCTCCCCCTAAACTTCCTTTGATTAACAAAATAGTGTCAGTTGAGTTTCAACATGTTTCGCCTTTTCGATATTCAGAGACATCTGAACCAATTGATATTTGAAAATATAGCTGGGTATGTCTTGTTGATATTTTCCAGTTGGTTTCATATTCAGTTGAATGAATGATAAAATTATATTGTTTCTCCTTGAACAGATTGATATTAGAAACGACTTGGACAAGCTATGAACAAATCCGTCAATTCAATTACCCTCTGGTTATTTAACATAGCCATGGAAAATGACCCATTTAAAGATTGTTTACCTATTATATAAAAATGGTGATTTTCCATGGCTATGTTAAATAACCAGATGATAGGTATAATTAGGTGATCATCCAATATCTTTGCCAATCACCGAGGGTTTTTCTGTTTTCCAAAGCCCCATCCTTCTCCCAGTGATGTTGGCGCAAGCCGTAGCGCCTTCCCTTCCTTCATTGAAGGTGTCGTGGCGTCGTGTATTGGATCATTCAGCTGGGATCTTTTCATTTTGATATCAACATCTGGTTAATATATGGTGAATATATGGTTAATATATGGTGAATATATGATGAATATATGGTGAATATATGATGAATATATGGTTAATGGTGATTAATAATAATCTGGTTGGTGGTGGACCTACCACTCTGAAAAAATATATGAGATAATGATATGATGGACTTCGTCAGTTGGGCTCATGACATTCATGACATTCCAATATATGGAAGGTCATTCAAAATTCCAGTCGGTTCCAAACCGCCAACCAGTATATATAACCATTTATTACCTTCTGTTAAATGGTATATATATGCTGTATATATAATCATTAACCAACCAGATTCAAAATTACCAAAGCAGGTTCCAAAGCAGGCACCAATCAGTCAGGACGTATGACGGACATGGGATCTACTCATTGGATCCCGACGACGGGAAGGATCGACAAACATCGCCGAAAATATCTCGGCCAACCGTTGTGGATCTTCGGGATTATCATTGGGGTGGTGGTTTTTCCAAAATTTCGGATGGCCATGTTTATCATGTTGAAAAAGCTGGGAAAAATCCATCTATAAATGGATGATATTCCAGCCATGTTTCACAACACCCACCCGGTTGGTGATGATCCTCGAAACCCAGTATGAATCCAGTTAGAAAGATAGGTTTGGAAGATGGCATTCCACATCATTTCACATGTTTTCCACAGTTTTTTCCACATGTTAAGATATTCCTATAAGATCCAATCGGTTTATGATTTATGTATGTGTATGTTCACCCCTCCCTTCCACCATCTCTTAAAAAAACCTGGCAATCGTTGGCAGGTCACGGTGTCTCTCCAACGCAAGCGCACGATGCCGTAGTACCTGGACCCACAAAGCCATTGGACAACGGGGAACCACACAGAAGAAACGGCGGTTGTATGGCGATTTAAATTCGTTCAAAACATGTGGTATGCTAAGAATAAAGCATATTAAATTGAATGGCATGTGTGGTAGTCAATATCATATTATCATCTATTGAGTCCATAATGCGATCATCATTGAGTCATCTATTGAGCCATTTCCGGCAGGAATAGCATAACCATGCATAGCCCACGAGGTGATCCCACTTTTGGATCCCCAGGCTTTCTCCCGGTTCCGGGCACGCGCCACGCATGGGCAAGTCAGGCCATAGGTTGAAAAACTGCGCCACTCCTTTCCATGTCCTTGGGCGATGATGGCGATGGCCATCCTTTCACCGAAATTGGAGGAGATGAAGGACGTTTCAGGGGAAATCTACGGACAAAAACACACGAATCTTCACAATGATCATGGGAAAAGAAACATGGGAACACCGTGGTTTCATGGACTTTTGTATCTATTGTTGCCTTCGAGTTTAAGCTCATAGACTCGTAGACAAAGTCCCAGAACCACTTGTACCGTACCAGCGGGTCCCGGCTGAGCTGCAGCACGTGTCACTCTCGGGATCCAAATTGCGATAGACCAAACGGAAAGGTCCCCCTGATGTCGAGGCTCCGAGGATCGATGTAAGTGATGAGCCACTGTGGTGACTGTGGTGACTCTGGTGACTGTTAGTTCCAAGTTCAATGCAAGCGATTATCCCCACTAAGGGAACCTATTTCTCAATATTTATCACAATTTTCATGACCAGTTTCGATGAGATAAGATCTTCCAGTCGTGGAGCCTCAAAGGCGGCACCCCGGGGAAACCCCGGTCGAACATTGAACAGGGCAATATCATGATGGACTCAACATGACCTCAGCATGTCTGTGGTCAGTTTTTATGCGATGTTAATCATATATATAGTGATCAACAACACAATTCGGTAATTCAAGCAACAAAACAATACAACACATATAAACACATATAGTTATTTAACATAGCCATGGAAAATAACCCATTTATAGATGGTTTACCTATTAAAAATGGTGATTTTCGATGGCTATGTAACAAATAAGCAGATGGTAAACACATATATATAAAGACACAAAAAACACATGTTGCAACAACAATACCACGGGATTTTCTGGTGATTTCAGGATGAAGAGTAACCCACCAGAAACCCGAAAAATCGTCCGCGCTTTGTATGGTGAACGCCGCCTGAGTTGACCTTGCCCTCCAACAAGCTCTGTAAGGAGCTCAGGAGCTTAGTCTTCAACCTGAAATCCAACACGGGATCCAGGCGCCAGGACTAGATGACTAGGAAATAGGAAAATGATCGACTGTCAGACGGTGGATTTTCCAGACTTGCATGTGGGAATATCCGCCGACCCCGGCCTTAGCCAAGGCAGGGGCGGCGCCTGGGACCACCGCAGGTGTGGAACTTGTCTTTCTTAGCAACAGGCATCCCAAGGCCACATCAATGGCTTCTTATGGGCGTCCAAGCCTGCCGTGTGCCAGGCCTTAAACGCTTAAAAGGCTTCAAACCGTTACACGCCTGAAACCCCTAAAACGCTTCAAACCGTTAAAACTTGCAAAAGCGTTTCGGAACGCCCAACCGCGCAGGCACAAGCTATCCCCAAGGCCAGATCCATCGCTTCTTCACGCCTAAAACGCTTCAAACCGTTAAAACTTGCAAAAGCGTTTCGGAACGCCGAACTGCGCAGGCACAAGCTACCCCAAGCCAGATCCATCGCTTCTTCACGCCTAAAACGCTTCAAACCGTTAAAACTTGCAAAAGCTTTTCGGAACGCCGAACTGCACAGGCACAAGCTACCCCAAGGCCAGATCCATCGCTTCTTCACGCCTAAAACGCTTCAAACCGTTAAAACTTGCAAAAGCGTTTCGGAACGCCGAACTGCGCAGGCACAAGCTACCCCAAGCCAGATCCATCGCTTCTTCACGCCTAAAACGCTTCAAACCGTTAAAACTTGCAAAAGCTTTTCGGAACGCCGAACTGCGCAGGCGCAAGCTACCCCAAGCCAGATCCATCGCTTCTTCTAAGCGCGGTCCAGCCTGTCGTTCGCCAGGCGTTCGCAGCCAACAGGCACCCTAAGGCCACATCAATGGCTTCTTATGGGCGTCCAAGCCTGCCGTTTGCCAGCCCCTAAACGCTTAAAACGCCTAAAACGCTTAAAACCGGTAAAACTTGCAAAAGCGTTTCGGAACGCCCAACCGCGCAGGCACAAGCTATCCCAAGGCCAGATCCATCGCTTTTTCTGGACCGTGCAAGAGCTACCCCAAGGCCAGATCCATCGCTTCTTCTGGGCGGTCCAGCCTGCCGTTTGCCAGGAGGCCACATCAATGGCTTCTTATGGGCATCCAAGCCTGCCGTTTGCCAGCCCCTAAACGCTTAAAACGCCTAAAACGCCTAAAACGCTTACAACCGTTAAAACTTGCAAAAGCGTTTCGGAACGCCCAACCGCGCAGGCACAAGCTATCCCAAGGCCAGATCCATCGCTTTTTCTGGACCGTGCAAGAGCTACCCCAAGGCCAGATCCATCGCTTCTTCTGGGCGGTGCAGCCTGCCGTTCGCCAGGCGTTCGCAGCCAACAGGCACCCCACAAGGCCACATCAATGGCTTCTTATGGGCGTCCAAGCCTGCCGTTTGCCAGCCCCTAAACGCTTAAAACGCCTAAAACGCTTAAAACCGTTAAAAGCGCAGGCACAAGCTATCCCAAGGCCAGATCCATCGCTTTTTCTGGGCGGTGCAAGAGCTACCACAAGGCCAGATCCATCGCTTCTTCTGGGCGGTCCAGCCTGCCGTTCGCCAGGCGTTCGCAGCCAACAGGCACCCCAAGGCCACATCAATGGCTTCTTATGGGCGTCCAAGCCTGCCGTTAAAACTTGCAAAAGCGTTTCGGAACGCCCAACCGCGCAGGCACAAGCTATCCCCACAAGCGCGGTCCAGCCTGTCGTTCGCCAGGCGTTCGCAGCGAACAGGCACCCTAAGGCCACATCAATGGCTTCTTATGGGCGTCCAAGCCTGCCGTTTGCCAGCCCCTAAACGCTTAAAACGCGTAAAACGCCTAAAACGCTTAAAACCGGTACTCTCTAGTGAAAAAACATGGAAACTGTGGACCTTTTTTGGCTCCACTAACATGGAAACTGTGGACTGCCCACGGCCAGAAATCCAAAAAATTCACCAAGCAATAAAAACCATTTTGACATCCCGGCTTCCCAGGGAATGACAACCAAATGCAAAGAATGTAAATCGAAGAACACCACAAGTAACAGCCTAACATAGCAATTGCCAATGGCATCCAATGGCCAAATACCCACTGAAAACACCTGAAGGAAGACCCTAACATAGCAAGTAAAGTCCAAAAAATGTTACATGAATTTACTTAAACTTACCCCGCTAAAAACTGAAAAGACCCGATGGTAGTGCCTAACATGGCAACTAAAAACAGTATCCATAAAACAGTATCCATGTTAGCGCGCAGAGTGGACCAGCCCCCCCTCCGGCCCAACAATTTTTGAAAGCTAGTGCTCATGGTGTTTTGAAAGCTAGTGGGTTGCTATGTTAGCTATTTATAGTGGATTTACCCAATAAAAATAGTGATTTTCCATAGCTATGTTAGTTTACCAGAGGGTAATGTGAAAAAATCCGACCAGGTTAGGTACCGTACAGCAGGGTATGGACTTCACATTACGTCTTAATCTCAAAATGTTTTATGGACCTCTTGAGGAAACAAAGCTCCTCAGTTGCCATGTTAGGCAATACATTCGGGTGTTTTCAGTTTTTGGCGGGGTAAGTTTAAGTAAATTTAAGTAACCTTTTTTGGAAACAAAATGCTTCACTTGCTATGTTAGGGTCTTCCTTCAGGTGTTTTCAGTTGGTATTTGGCCATTGGCAATTGCTATGTTAGGCTGTTACTTGGGGTGTTCTTCACTTTACATTCTTTGCATTTGGTTGTCATTCCCTGGGAAACCGGGATGTCAAAAGGGTTTCTTATTGCCTGGTGCATTTTTGGGATTTCTGGCCCTGGGCAGTCCACAGTTGCCATGTTAGTGGAGCCAAAAAAGGTGCCTAATTACCATGTTAGCAACAACTTTCCAATGAAAACTAGGGACTTTTGCTACATTAATTTTGCGGATAAAAGTGTCAGTATGCAGCCATTTGGGTTGCCATGTTAGCTATATATCCCCCTCATACTTCCCTATAAAATCTAGGGGGTCATCCCCCACTATAAAACGAAACCTTTGGATTCGCCGGACATCCCCAAGAGATCTCCCAGATGACGCCAATCCATCCCATCCACAGCCATTGGATCACAAGTGGGACTTGTGGAGCCATGGATACCACAACAATCAACAATGCTTCCCCCCAATTCCCCCTGCCCCCAGGGACCACGGTGGAGCATTTTACTAACCTAGCAATTTTTGGGTGCCTGGTGGCTGCAGACCGTAATCCCTTCCCCTAGGGGCCACAGTGGAGCATTACCAGGCACCCAAAAATTGATTTTCATTATCTGTTTTTTCCGATCAATTTCAATAGCACAGCTCTATTCAAGAATGCATTTTTGGGACTCGATCTGGCCGGGAGGCCATTTGGTGGTGATTTTGAGCAACTTAGTCCCTGGAAAATGAAAAAACAAATGTTCCCCATAGCTAGGTTAGCCAGTGGCGTATCCACTGGTGGCTGCAGGCCGTAACCCCTTGCCCCCAAGGACCACAGTGGAGCATTTAACGCAGGAACCTAACCTAGCAATTTTTGGGTGCCTGGTGGCTGCAGGCCGTAGTCCCTTCCTCTAAGGACTACAGGCACCCAAAAAATTCAAAAATGCATTTTTGGGGGCTCGATCTAGCCGGGAAGCAATTTGGTGGTGATTTTGAGCAACTTAGTCCCTGGAAATGAAAAAAACAAATGTTCCCCACAGCTAGGTTAGCCAGTGACGTATCCACTGGTGGCTGCAGGCCGTAACCCCAGGCCCCCAGGGACCACAGTGGACGCAGGAACCTAACCTAGCAATTTTTGGGTGCCTGGTGGCTGCAGGCCGTAATCCCTTCCCCTAGGGACCACAGTGGAGCATTTTACCAGGCACCCAAAAATTGCTAGGTTAGGTTCCTGCATAAAATGCTCCACTGTGGTCCCTGGGGGCAGGGGGTTACGGTCTGCAGCCACCAGTGGATACGCCACTGGCTAACCTAGCTATGGGGAACATTTGTTTTTTTTCATTTTCCAGGGACTAAGTTGCTGACAATCACCACCAAATGGCTTCCGGCCAGATCGCGCCCCAAAAATGCATTTTTGAATAGAGCTGTGCTATTGAAATTGATCGGGTAAAATGCTCCACTGTGGTCCCTAGGGGAAGGGATTACGGCTTGCAGCCACCACGCACCCAAAAATTGCTAGGTTAGGTTCCTGCGCAAAATGCTCCTCTGTGGTCCCTGGGGGCCTGGGGTTACGGCCTGCAGCCACCAGTGGATACGCCACTGGCTAACCTAGCTATAGGGAACATTTGTTTTTCACAGGAAGGGACTAAGTTGCTCAACATCAGTACCAAATGGCTTCCCGGCTAGATCGAGCCCCCAAAAATGCATTTTTGAATTTTGTTGGGTGCCTGTAGTCCCTAGAGGAAGGGACTACGGCCTGCAGCCACCAGGCACCCAAAAATTGCTAGGTTAGGTTCCTGGGTTAAATGCTCCACTGCGGTCCTTGGGGGCAAGGGGTTACGGCCTGCAGCCACCAGTGGATACGCAACTGGCTAACCTAGCTATGGGGAACATTTGTTTTTTCATTTTCCAGGGACTAAGTTGGTCAAAATCAAAACCAAATGGCCTCCCGGCCAGATCGAGTCCCAACAATGCATTTTTGAATACAGCTGTGCTATTGAAATTGATCGGAAAAAACAGATAATGAAAAGCAATTTTTGGGTGTATGGTAAAATGCTCCACTGTGGCCCCTAGGGGAAGGGATTACGGCTTGCAGCCACCAGGCACCCAAAAATTGCTAGGTTAGGTTCCTGCATAAAATGCTCCACTGTGGTCCCTGGGGGCAGGGGGTTACGGTCTGCAGCCACCAGTGGATACGCCACTGGCTAACCTAGCTATGGGGAACATTTGTTTTTTTTCATTTTCCAGGGACTAAGTTGCTGACAATCACCACCAAATGGCTTCCGGCCAGATCGCGCCCCAAAAATGCATTTTTGAATAGAGCTGTGCTATTGAAATTGATCGGAAAAAAAGATAATTAAAATCAATTTTTTGGGTGCCTGGTAATGCTCCACTGGCCCCTAGGGGAAGGGATTACGGCCTGCAGCCACCAGGCACCCAAAAATTGCTAGGTTAGGTTCCTGCGTAAAATGCTCCACTGTGGTCCCTGGGGGCAGGGGGAATTGGGGGGAAGCATTGCTGATTGTTGTGGTATCCATGGCTCCACAAGTCCCACTTGTGATCCAATGGCTGTGGATGGGATGGATTGGCGTCATCTGGGGGATCTCTTGGGGATGTCCGGCGAATCCAAAGGTTTCGTTTTATAGTGGGGGATGACCCCCTAGATTTTATAGGGAAGTATGAGGGTGATATATAGCTAACATGGCAACCCAAATGGCTGCATACTGGCACTTTTATCCCGAAAACTAACATGGAAATCGTCCCTAGTTTTCATTGGAAAGTGGTTGCTATGTTTGTTCACTAGAGTGCAATACCACTTCAAGAAGTTATCCACAATGTAAAAATATCTCTCTAATAACCTTCAAGTAACACCCCAACAAATTAACATGTATAAATAGTGAAAACCAGGCATCCAATTACACACTTTTTGTCGCTCCATGCGCAACAGCCCAGTGAAAACTACTGCCAGGTATTTACCTGGCAGCCTGGGAGCCCTTGCTACAGCCAGGCTCCTGAGGTGGCCATGGAACCCGAAAAGAAGGAAGATGAAGGGAATGAGAATAAGGGAGAGAAGGAAAATGAAGAGAATGAGGATAAGGAAGAGGAGCAAGAGGAGGAAGAGCAGCAACCGCTTCAGCTTCCAAAGCTCAAAGGCAGGAAGCAAACCCAATTTGCCAAAGACACCACCAAAGACTTTCAAAGGGCAAAAACCGAAGCCAAAGGCCAAAGCCAAAGGAAGTGCCAAGGACAAAAAGGAGAAGACACAAAAGGAGAAGAAAGAAAAGAAGAACAAAAAGGAAGACACCCCTGCACCTTTCAAAAGGCCTGCTGCCAAAGGTGGTACCAGAGACCAAGTCTCCAAGCTCCAGTCTGGGGTGCCAGAAGCGAAAGAAGAGGTTGAGAAGGTTGAGGGAGAAGAAGAAAGAAGAAGAAGAAGTGAGAGAACAGGATGAATGTGTGGATCCTGATGGTCACAATGAAAAGCGTTCCAAAGGTTCTGGTGGCAAGTTCAACAGGCTGCTCAAAGCAGGAAAAGTTCCAGCACAGATCAAGGAGATCTGGGAAAATTCTGAAACCACGGAAGAAAAAAACATGTTGGTGGACTGCTTGTTACAAGAAGAACTCCAAGACAGGCTGCTGTGAAATGCAGGCAGACAATCCCAGCTTCAGAAGCTGGCTGAAGACCTCTGACAAGAGCTTTGGCAAAGATGCCCAGGCCAGTTTTCCACGTGCAATCATGCTCCATCACTACTTCCATGGCGACGCTGATGCCTTCAACCAGGCGCTGGCCAGTGGTGACATCACAGAGGTCAGCCAAGGAGGGAAAGTGATGTACAGTTTTGATACCTACGAAAGTGGAAGGGCCAAAAAATCAGACCAAAGAGTTGAGAAATATGTGCGTGATATTTGTGAGAGATATTGGAGAGTATCCAGTGAAGACAGAAGGTAAATGATATAAATAACATTGGGAAAAAGGTAAGTTGTATGAATAACCTTTGCAAACAAAAGGTAACTTGTATGAATAACCTTAAGAAAAAAGGTAAATTGTATGAATAACCTTAAAAATAGGTTAGGTTATTTGATTGGATAACCTAAAGGGTTCTGACTAATAGTTAGTTTCGTTTTACCTATTAGGCAGAAAATAATCTATAACCTAAAAGCACCTTTTTAACCTAACCTCATCTTCTGGGCAAGCGCGGTCCAGCCTGTCGTTCGCCAGGCGTTCGCAGCGAACAGGCACCCCAAGGCCACATCAATGGCTTCTTATGGGCGTCCAAGCCTGCCGTTTGCCAGCCCCTAAACGCTTAAAACGCGTAAAACGCCTAAAACGCCTAAAACGCTTAAAACCGGTAAAACTTGCAAAAGCGTTTCGGAACGCCCAACCGCGCAGGCACAAGCTATCCCAAGGCCAGATCCATCGCTTCTTCTGGGCGGTCCAGCCTGCCGTTCGCCAGGCGTTCGCAGCCAACAGGCACCCCAAAGCCACATCAATGGCTTCTTATGGGCGTCCAAGCCTGCCGTTTGCCAGCCTGCACAAGCATCAAAATGTACCCCAAAGCCAGATCAATGGCTTCCTCTCGGCGTTCAAGCCTGCCGTTTGCCACCTTTTTCCGTCACAACGCCGTCCTTGACAGAAAACTGGTTCCCACAGACCGTTCGATGGTTTATTTGCCCTGTCTTCACGTCACTGGCCACATTCCCTTTGCAAGCGGGGCAAATGTACACATACGCTTTTTCCTTCACAACGATCCATAACGACGGCTGCGGGGAACATGCGCATGTTACCAACCCCCCCATTAAGGAGGGGTCGGCGGCACCAGGGCGCTAGCCCATTCTATATTTGGTGGAATTTAACCATCAACAATGGTCGTTTCATGGGAGGTTCATGGGGGCTTAGCTATATATAGGCTGTTATAGGCTATATATGATTTTGGTCCAGTTAGATAGGCTTAATGACGACTTAACGGTTTATGGTGATCCTTGAGATTCAACGCGAATCCTTACAATAGTAGTATAATTTCCTATGAACGGATTGATGACCACGCTAGAATATGGGCGTTTAGTCCGTCTTTTGACCATGGCACATATCTATGTTGGTTTACTAAAGGCTATCTTCCGGGATTAGACTTTTAGTGTAATCCACCAGGAGAATATCTTCAGTGTCCATAGCTATGTCACAAATTACCACAAGGTTTTTATGCACCGTAGAATTGGTGCTGAAAAAAACCATATGGAACCTATAGATCATCATCAAATCCCCATGAAATCCGCATGAAATCCCCTGGGTGAATGATGAATTCCCCATCAAAAACCACCCATGAAATCCCTATGTTTTTCCAAACGAAAAGCGGCCAAGGTGCAACCCTTCGCCCGGCCAGTCAATGAAGAAGAGCCGTTTGTACCTGCCACCCTGGTGACCCCGATTTCTGGATTTGCGTCGAGATTTCACGAGCGAAATGCTGGGGGTACCAGCCAAGAATGAAATATCATGGGATGTAATCAATGTAATCCCTTCCCCCTATTACTAACCCCCCCCGAATAATAAAAACTACCTCAGGTGTTTATTAGTTGGGGGGATTAATGGCATGTAACCAACATGGGGAATTGACCAACAAAATATATGTTTGATGGGGATTGTATAAACGAATCAACAATGTCCAATACTTGGGAAATCTTGGGGCAGATATATTGGGATTTAACCAATAAAACATCGGATATTTTGGTCCACAACAAGTGTAGTTAAACCGCAAATGTACATCGAAATTCATGTTGCTTCATATGGGTGCATCCAAAGATGGGTTTCTATCTACAAAAGGGAGACTATAGGCAAGAAAATTGGGATTAAACTACCCATAACGAGTTATGACCAACAACTATGATATAGGGATACAACCAGGAACCAAATCCGGGGAAGAAGCAAGCGAAATGGGGATATATATGCATGGGAGTTGTCCCAAAGATTGGGCATATTATGGCAATTTAATGGAAACATGATGATAAACTATGAGAGTTTTGGGTTGGTTTGTTCAAGCAAATCTACAAAAACCCCTTGTCTGTATATATAATTCCCATGTAAATGTTCCCTTCATCCAGTTCCAGGAATTATGAAACTCATGAAAAAGAAAGTGCAAAAAATTCCATAACAACATCATATTCAGCAACCATTTGCACATTCTTGTGAAGCTTCATTTCATTTCAAGGGGGGGGGATCCAAACATATTTTCTCGCCACTTTCAGTGGGTCCAACGAATCCGTGAAATCCGCGGCTCCGCGGTGCGCACGGCTCTTCCATCAGCCGCTCCAAAGCTCCCAAGTCCACAACAGGAACATCGCACCTGAAGTTTCCGCCGCGATCGATGCCAGGAACGGTGACATTTGCGAAGGGAAGTCGCCTAATTAGTTAGCATATAGGCACCAGGTTTAAGACGCTTGTATATGGATGTAATCCATTCATGTCAATAATTGTATATGTGTATGTAATGTCGTGCTGTGTAATGGAATGTATAATGGAACGTAATGGAATGTCATGGAATACATATAATGTAATTGTATACATGATTACATCTATTTAGGATGACCTTAATTAAGCAAACTTATTGGCCATCCATAGGCTTGCGCCAGTAGCATTTCCCTGGGAGCCTTACCGGCGAACCCGGCCCGGCTGAGGTCGTCACAGAGGAGTCTGCGCAAAGAGGTGGGGATCCAACCTCTGAGTCGGAATCATGGGATTCTGAGTTGGGACATGGGGCCCCGAATGAACATCCTATGGTCATATATAACATATATAATATATAATATATAGTATATAACATATAATATATAGTATATAATGTATAATGTATAATGTATAATAATAATAGTAATATATATATATATATGTTGTGTTATTTAAATTTATATTATATAAGTAGTTTGCATCCAGCAATAACCCCAACTGCACCCCAACGTATACCACGATGGATGATGAGTACATGAAGCAGCACTACTCCGTTTTTGACCGCAAATACCCGGCCTGGTAAACATACAAAAAACTATAGAAAATCACCATTTTGAATAGGTAAATTAACGAACTAAAGAGGATATGTTCAATAGCAAACTGCTAAATTACCAGAGGCTACGTTCTATGTTGGGATCGTTCAACTGCGCATGGTGTGCCGAAACTTCAAGACCAGGACGGCCCAGGCTCCACTTAGCGTCAGAAAACGTTCAACTTACACTTCGGTAATCAAACATAGCTAGCTGGAAAATCTATGAGAATCCACTATAAATGGATGTTATAGAGTTCGCTGGGAACATCAACGATAAAGAACCACTGTGAAAGACCAGAATTCAACGTGGAAAAACACAAGACCCGTTCCTTCCATTTTTTTTACAAGAACATCAGGCACCCAAAAAGTCAAGATACTCTTAAATGAGTACCCTCTGGTGAACTAACATAGCAATGGAAAATCACCATTCTTAATGGGAAAATCCACTATAAATAGCCATTTTCAATGGCTATGTTAGTTCACCAGAGGGTAGTCTTTAAAACCCGAAATCTTCTTCCAAAACGGCATGTGGTCCATTGGCGTGGTTGCACCTTGCGCGGGCGGCACTGTGATGCCTGTGGCGCCCGAGTCAGTGTGCCATGATGTGCCATGTTCCCGGGCCGTATCTTCGTTTTCTGATGTAAAAAATCGCGTGAGTCGTACCAAAAAATGTTGGTTAGAATCACTGAGAAGCCTCATTTTGACTTTTGACTGACTGGTCTTGTTGCGAAAACGGCTTCGCAGATGTGTGTTTGCGAAAACTCATCGCTGATTTCTTGGTCGAAGTCCCAATTGTCTATTGTTATCCATTGTGTAGCAGCTAAGAATTGACACATAGGCACAAAGAACGTTGCTGATCCGATCACCGAATATTTTTGTGTGGTAAACCATGGTAAACCCAAGACCAAAACCACCATCCCTCTATCATCCTAACAGAAGCAGCTGTGTATCCCAGTAGCTGGTTCCCTATCTCAAACCTGGCTTTGCCAGCTTACTCAGTATCAGCTACATTTGTTTGCTGATTATATAATGTTTACATTTGTTTGTTGAACATAGTGATTACATAGTGATTACATTTGGGAATAAAAGCAGGATCTCAATATAGTCCAGTATTACTCATGTGATTTTCCCAAATGTAATCACTACCATCTGGTTATTTAACATAGCTATAGAAAATCACCATTTCTAATGATTCTAATAGGTAAACCATCTATTTCCATGGGCCATTTTCAATAGCTTTTTGTATGTTTACCAGGTATGGGTATGGAAACTCATGGTCTCCGGAAACGACTTACATTTCTGGTTTTCCATATATTTACATTTCAACGGTGGAATTCCAACGGTGGAATCCTTCCTATTCCCGGCGACGGTCAAGCACCGTTCCGTCAGCACCCGGACCCGGTCGCTCCGTCGTCCAGAACCCAGCCGCGGTCGGGGATCACCTCGAAAACTTGGGGATGTCTATCACCACGTCATACTATATATTTAATATAATATTATATATATATATATATATTATGCATGCATCATACATGTATCCATATATATATATATATTGTAGATATACACATATTATTCATATATATATATTATAGATACAAAGATTATGATATATTATGTACACAATAAATACATATATGTACATTAAAAAAGGTACATAACGTGATTGTTTCCGGGAAATGCGGATCTAATTTCATTTAGTATTGCTGTATGCATTGAAAAAAAAAAAAAACGACTTGATTCCTAATTCAAATAACATTGGCATAGTACCAACAATTCATTTGTGTGGGTCACCTCATTTTTAAATGGTATTTTAACAAGTAAATCAACATGTGAGGGAATGCATCAGGCTGTGTATATATATATATATATGGTGAAACTAATGGGAATAAGGGTACTGCGACCATTAGAAATCTGGATCCTGGACCACCAAAATGAGGAACATCCTAACTAGCAACTGCTCGGAACGCGGCGCCGCGAGGTTCTTTTCACCAGCAATACTTAGCAATACTTCAATGGGACACTCCTCCAGTAAACAAAGATCGTCATTAAAAACCCGTTGTTTGTACTGCAGATCATTCCAGGGAAACTGTCGGCTTTCCACATCGTTAGCTGATCCAAGTTCGTCCTAGGGGCACATCAGCTGTCCACTTTTGATGGGGAAAAAATCAGCCAAAAATCAGTGAAAATCGGTGAACATCTGTGAAATTGAGACTCGCCTGATTTTCTCATGCTGGGATGTTTGACTTTCGGAGGATTTTTCTGGTACCAAAGCCTGGCCCAAACCACCTTGGCGACCCCGCACGTGACACCTCCGGTGTCAGAAACTGGCGTTTCCTCCTGGCGATGGAGCAGCTTTTTTGAATCCCCGATGTGTTCTGATTTGAAGCTACCAGGTTATAAATGAAGGTTTTCATGGGAAAATCATCTGATTTTCATGGGAAAATCATCTGGTTTTCATGGGAAAATCATCTGGTTTTTATGGGAAAATCATCTGGTTTTCATGGGAAAATCATCTGGTTTTCATGGGAAAATCATCTGGTTTTCATGGGAAAATCATCTGGTTTTCATGGGAAAATCATCTGTTAAATAACCAGAGTGTACATGTCAATCTGCCATGTTGCAGCTGAAACAACAATAAAACGACCTCTAATCCGCGGCTCAAAGTGGGGTACAGAAAAAAGTGGCACGCAAACTGGCATGGAAACAGACTGTAGATTCTTGGCCACACGATCAAAATATACTGAGAATGGTTTATAGAATAGCATAGAATATCATAGGAAAAATGAATGATTAAATATGGATCCATAATGACTGATTTCAATAATATTCAATGATTTTATGGAACAAACAAAACAAACTAACTAAGTATAAGTGACTAACTAACTAACTACCTAACTAACTAACTAACTAAGTAACTAACTAACTAACTAACTATCTAGCCAACCAACTAACTAAAAATCAAACAAACACCAATCCATCAAACACCAATCCATCAAACACACATACACACACATGTAGGAAACACTATAAGAACAATCTGCCAAACAAACATATACGAACATCACTAATCTACCAAACAATCGTATATATTATCCATCACTAATCTGTCAAACAAACATTTACAACCAGTAAGAAAGAAAACTATACGAATAAGATGGTTAACTTAACAATCATTATATCTTTACATATCTTTATATATATATATATATATATATTCTTATAGTTTTTGACCATCAAATATCTAACGTCTATGTGAACATGTTATGTGACCGATGTCACCGATGTGCCCGCGGCAGCCGTGGCCTCAGGCGCTCGTCGCGGAACATGGCGTCCCAGGGACTACCCAAATGCCATTGGGATAACATCTCCTGCCGGCGGCACGACTGGAGATGAAGAAACGTACGAACCAAACTAACCAACTTTAGAGGCACTGATGTGGAACCAACTTCATTCAGAAATGCTGTTTTGTATGCTTTCTTCAAACATTCGAGGAAAACAAGATGTTGTTTTTAAATGGATTTCTTTCAGGGGCATGACATATTTTTCCAAAAGTTGAGTCAAACAGCAGATGATGGCAGTCCAGGAACGGCCATGGTTCCTTGCCAATCATTCACCAGTTAAGTTGACAAAAACCACATGAAACATCATGAAACCAGCATTAAAATCCATTGACTGAAAGCTTCGCAAGGAAAAGAAATGCCTGGAACTTCTGGTTCAATCAGCATATTTCTTGGTAGAAGCACCATTCCAGTTGTTCCAAATATCTGGAATTGTACGATTTTTCTACTCAAAGGTGGCCATGAAGTTAACTTCACCATGTGTGATTCGCGCTTGGCATTTGAAACCTCCGGAATTTGCTAAACCCTGGTTGATTAATTGTGCTGGTTCCCCCAAAGAGTAACAAATGGCTACTGAAATGGTATATTAGTGTATATATATATATAAGATATATAATATATATATATACTGTATATATACTGGTTGGTGGTTGACCTCCTCTGAAAAATCATGGACTCTTCGTTCGTCAGTTGGGGCCTGATGACATTCCCAATATGGGAAAGTCATTCAATCCATTCCATGCTTCCAGTCGCCACCAACCAGATAATGGTATAAACCATTATAAATGGTATATAAAATAAATGGCACCTATAATGGTATATTAATGGTATATAAACAGTATTAATGGTATATCTACTGATGTATCAGGGATTTCCCAGTGTGCCACGTGGATGACACTGGAAGCTTCACAAAAGCAACGCAAGAAACCCCTGGGTTTTCCAGCTCTGCATAGCTCTCCTGCATCGCTTCATGTGTGGCCAACCAGCCCGAGCCACTGAACCAGTCGGTTCGCAGCACCACCTGCGTCGCGGTTAAAAACAATGACCCTCAAAGTAAACCTCAAAAATTTGACATGCCTGGGAAATCCTGACTGTAAAATGTATGAAAATACGGGATTAAATATGAATAATAATAATACATATATATATAATCATGTATGTATGTATGTATGTATGTAAGTAAGTATGTACGTATGTACTGGTAAATTATAATATTTCACTAACCTGAATGAAAACCATTTGGGGATGATTTCCCTTATTAACCATGATTCCAGGGTTCGGTCGCAGTGAGGCTGTTATAATTTACCAAGATATATATATATATATTATATGTTGCTGATTTTTCGTTGCCATGTCAAAATTGCTGGAGGGTAAACCAGGTTGCGGATAGCGGTCTTTCTTGTCATGTGCCAGTTCTGAAAGACCGAGTGCCTCTAGACACGATTCATAAGGACCCATGAAAATTGGTCATAATTTTACCAATTTTCCGTGCGAAGCAATGGTAAATTACGTGACATGATTATATCATATTACCCGGCCTGGTAAACGTTTACATATATAACTATGGAGAAAATCCATGATTTTTCATGGGTAACTCAACGAACTAAATGTTAAATTACCAGAGTCATAGAATTGGATGATGGGAAAATTTACAGGAAAACCCTATATTTGATGGTAAAAACCCATGGGTTTCCGGTTTTCAGATTTTCCCTTAAACCAATCCAATGACAGAGGGTCTATCATATGATATCCCCTATGTGCTTTTCAGGGGCAACATCCCAATGGTCAAAGCCAATGGTGAATGATTTTTCTCCAGATCTTCCTGATGGATCTTCCATCGTTCGATGCTACAGGGTGGTGCCCCAGTTCGGAATCGCTACCCTCTGGTAAACTAACATAACTATGGAAAATCACCACTTTTAATGGGAAAATCCACTATAAATGGCCATTTTCCATAGCTACGTTAAATTACCAGAGGGTAAGATGGTGCAAATAACTCCAATTTCACTATTCTTTGTAGGTGATATATCTATAGTTTTGATGGGATTATAACCATTTGTAACCCATTTACAAAATGGGGGGGCACCACCTTGTACAAAGTGTTCTGTTGCATCCAATTCAAACACGAGAAGCTATCTTTGGAGCTTGCTGCATGGTGATTCTCCCCACTTGGGTGAACAAAATGAGACTTATCCCATTCATAATCCATTGATCCTCTGGTGATTTGCGAAACTAACCATCGTTGAATCATAAATCCTCTATAAATCATCATGATCATCTATAAATGGAGCATTTTTCCGTAAGATCCCATGAACAATGCCATGAAATCCACCATTTTCCTTGGTGAACTCCACTGAAATCACCAAATCAGCCAGGGCACCGTCGGGTCTGCGGCATAGGGCGCCAAAGCCTGGTCATTCCAACCGTTCGCCGCCAAGAGACCTCTTGACGGAAGTTCCATGGATTTTTCCCAGGTGGATTTATATATTATATATATATATATGTATACATTGTATATAGGTGATTATATGTGCGTATAGATATATGTATAAATAGATGTATCGATATATGTAATTATAGATATATGTATAGATAGATGTATAGATAGATGTATAGATAGATGTATAGATATATACATAGGTATATGTATAGACATATACATAGATACATGTATAGATATATGTAGATATATGTATAGATGTATGTATAGATATGATACAGGATGGGGCCCCCAGTCGATAGCGTTCAGTTGCCGAAAAAAAGTGGCTAAGTTCTTTGGTTTAGTGGTAGGTATAACTATAATTAATGGATGTCAATGGGGTTTATAAACCAACTTATAACTTTATATAACTGATATGTTAGGATATATTGTATATAAAATATCTATATATAGAGATACATCTAGGTAAATTGTACTAATTCACTCATCTGAATTAATATCATCAAGATAATAAATTCCAGCTATGGGGATGATTTCCCGCAATCTAACTTTCATTCCAGGTCACAGTGAGGTCACTATGATTTATCCAGATTGATAGGAAATGATGGGTTAGATTTTGATAGGTATACTCTATTGATTCCCTATCAAAATAAGGTTTTGTAGCTTTTTGGGTGATTATAAAGTACAAAACAGTCTTTGACTCACAGCCATATCAATATGAATGAATGTTGATTACAAACATATGGTACATCTACGGATATCTTAATCAATGTTGTTTCCAAAATATGGTATCAATAGCTTTTGACTCATATCAACGGGAATTTCAGGATCCTAAAATGGAGGTACTGTACAATATAAGGCCATATTTTGTGGGGATATTCCCTTATATAGGCCTTATATAGGCCTTATATATTGTAGCCCCCCCCTTAATTTAGGTTCCTGAAATGGCCATTGATCATATCACCAATGAAGGTATAACATGATTAAGCCAAGGTTAAGCGTTCAAATGGGGACTTAAGGAGCTTCTAATTTGCTTCGAATAGAGATTCGATAAGCATTTTTTAAGCAACAAACATGGGGATGTTTGCCAACAATAATGGGAATGTAATGGGATATAACTATTGAACATTCGCTAGCAAAATTACTAACACTACGTATGTATAATATTTGGGACAGTCCGAAAAAATCGGCATACCCCAAGTTTTGACATAAGAAAAATTGGCATGAACTGTTGGATTTGGGGATCCCCTATCTTCAGACAAACATATATTCGGAAAATCACGCTGGACAAAATGATGCCACATTTGTAGTTTACCTTACTCTACGCAAAGATTCGGGCAATTTAGATATTTATGTGAGCACTTTAAAAAACAATTTGATGATAAATAGCCATGTGTCACACTTCAGTACCCTAAAAGAAACAGGACAGCTTACAGTTTACTACGAATCCAAGAATTGCCCAACACCTAAAATCTGTGGATTCCCAATAACCAAGTGGCTGTCGTCGCGTTGGAGCACATCTGCCAGCTGTGAAAAGTACCTCAGGGGCGGCATTTTGGGGACATGCACAATCATTATCCAACGGATTGGTAAGAAAATCTGCAGGAAAACTATGGGTTTTTGTTCCTCCCTTTTTGAGGTTTTCCTGCAGATATTCGTAGATATTCCCTTGAAGCAATTCTTGGAGTCCTAGAATTGGTTGAAATGTTGAACCCCTTTGATGGTAACCTGCACCCGTCAACCCTGGATTTTCCTACCAATCCACTGACATGAACTACACACACATCATTCATGAGCTTTGATGGCTTTCCGCCGGATCGCGAACATCTATGGTTCAATTCTGAGTTGACACTATCATTCAATGGCCATGCAACGGGAAGCGATTTCTTGGAGGTACCTATGCGTGGGGCATATAAGGCCTATGTAATATCCCCATGATGGTTTCACCATCATTTCGCCACCATTTCACCATGGATTTCGCCACCGCGGCGCACCACAAGGCATCCGGAGCTAAGAGGTCACCTATGGCCAAAACCAAGACCTCGCGGCGCGGCGCCATGCCGCTGTTTTCGACAAGTGATACACCATGGCCATTGGGATCTATAGATAGACAGATAGATGGATGGATGGATAGATAGATGGATAAATGGATAGATAAATTAGATGGATGGATGGATGGATGGATGGATGGATAGATAGATAGATAGATAGCCAGATAGAATAGATAAAATGGATATTATAGATGTAATAGATCTAATAGATATGATAGATATAATAGATGTAATAGACAATATATATATAATAGATGTACTAGATATACTAGATATAATAGATGTAATAGATATAATAGATGTAATAGATATAAAAGATATATAGATATAGGTATAGATATAGATATAGATATAGATATAGATAGAGATATACATATATGTATATATATATAAAAAGTTATATGTATAACATACATATAATAGATATGATAGATATAATAGATGTGATAGATATATTAGATATAATAGATGTAATAGATACAATAGATATACTAGATATAATAGATACAATAGAGAAAATAGATATAAGAGATATAATAGATATACTAGGTATAATATATATATAATAGATAAAATATATATAATAGATATATACAATAGATAAAATAGATATAATTTAGATATAATAGATACAATAGATATAATAGATATAAGCGAAATATTATACATACTCGATATACTAGGTATACTAGGTATTATAGATATTATAGATATAATAGATAGATATAATAAACATAGACATAGATATAGATATAAATATGTATATTATAGATATAATAGATAGATATGTAAAACTATCATGATAATCCATGATAAACTGCGATAGACTATGATGAACTAGGATAAACTGTGATAAACTATGACCAATTGGGAGTTGTTAATGAAATATCATGGCGATATAACATGACAATGGTGAAGAGAATGGTGGCAGGAATGGTAAGTACTCTCTGTGGTGAAGCTTACTTAGACAAATGTCAGCTCCGGACTTTTATTCACCCCTGGGCTGTTTAATTGACCAGTTTAGGGAAAAATACGAGTTGTGGGTAATCCACCTAATTAATGGACCAGGGTTTATAAATGTGGGTTTACGCTACTTGACATTCAGATCCAAACATCGGATAGTATCTTTGAATTGAAAGGATGGTGCAAATATCTAATCTTTGTGATGATTTTTGGAAACTATATAATTATGATCATAATAATTCCTGGGATATTATATATATATATATATATATTATATATATATGTTAGAATTAATATAAGGAAAACATATTTTATGTCTAATTCCTGACAAACTTGAAACAAAGCATTTTGGGAATGCCGACAAAAAACTATGACAGATGGTTTGGTGAGGTGCTTGGTGGGTTCTTATTCTTACAGCTTGCACATTGAACGAGCTCACAGAGCGACAAAAAATGATAACCTGAATAGTTTGTGTAAAATACATTCAAGACGATGGCTTTCATAATCAACAAGCACAACCCGAACGCACCCCCAAATAACAATTTAAACATGCGAGTAGCTAAGGAATCACCAATTCAAATAGGTAAGTCATCGAACTAAATGGGCCATGTTCCATAGCTGTGCTAACTTATCAGATGATAGTTGCATGTTCTGGGCCCCAGAAAATTGCAGGGAGGAGTCAGGTCCATATCTTCTGACCGACTCCGGAGCCAAGAATTGAAAAACGAGATCTGTGTTTTACTTGGGCATTGACAAAACAAGTCATGTGTCAACAAACCATATAATGTGATAAACCCAATGTCATCAACCATCCCCAAGTAATCACCAGTTTGATTTTTGGTATACAAACAATTCCCAGTCATGGTAGTCGTTGTTTATGGCAGGGTTTCCCACAGTATCAACTTGACTAACCTGTGGATAAGCATTGACCGAACAAATTGGACAACACAGCTCTTGGATGTGCATCCCCATTACAAAGTGTTTATTAACCATCTTAATAAGCCAGTACAACATATATAGGATATATAGGATATATCGCACATGTACACCTCTGTTACATATGGCAATCTACGGACCATTAGGAACCTATGGGTCCTGCTTTGCCAAGTGGCAAAACGAACCTTTGGAAGATTGGTCTTTGGGAAACCTTCAAAGGCCGCCTGGCGGGTGGAATGTACCCTCAAATTATCCACTTAACTAGGATGTTCCCTTATAAGCCATCCATTTTGGGTACCTCCATTTTAGGACCCCTCTCCATCCATAAATATATATAATATAATGATATATATATATATATTATTGTTGTTAAAACAAAATATTTATTGATACAGTAGAATATGCTCATAAGAACAAGAAACTAACAGGGCAACACCAATCATAATATCAAAACGAAAAAAAAAAGTGATAATAATATGTGTTGGTTGATTCCAACATTTCTGCGTCTTTCTACTATTGGCTGCACATGGCATATTTCAACATCGATCTGATCCAAGGAATAATTCCCTCAAATGGGATCAAGAAAGTGGTTGGATTTTTCGCTGTAGTTTCACAACGCTTGGGACGTGGTTTGGAAATTACTATGACCCTCCGGTAATTTAAGAGTTTGCTATGGAAAATGGCCCAGTGATAGGTGATTTACCTATTAAAAATGGTGTTTTTTTTCCAGTTCGCTATGTGGAGGGAATCTCTGGAGGTGGTGGAGTCTTCGGTAACTTATGTAACTTGTACCTGAAGCCTCAAAGACTCAAATATACTCAAAAGCATGCAGAAGTTGCGTTTGATATATTTATTTTATTTTTTGGCCCATTTTCTATGGATGCTGTGAGACCCTCAAGCTACATGAGCAATGTGCTGTTTTCCTTGCGTGAACCTCTGTAGCTCTGCAGTGCGTACGCCAATGCTTGGCTATGCCGCTACAGCCGTGTCCTACGGGAATCAAAATGGAAGAAAGGACAAACCAGCTGAACAAGTCCCCATCTGAAACAGCCATTTGAGGGTATACTCGATTTGCAAAACAATAATATCAAGTTAGTCATATCTCCTATGATGTTAATTATTCCATATGATATTATTCCTATGACATCCTATAATAATATCATATTTCCCATTAATTCCTATGATGTTAATTCCTATGATGAAAACCATTCTATCTCCATGATGTACCCCCAAAAAAATCTCATATTCCCATCATCCAATTTTGGCTAAAAATCATATCCTCCCATGAACTTCCCATGACTTTGATGCGTAAACCATAGGAGTTTACAGCAGCACCCAGCGCTACTTGTGCACACCTTGTACAGGGCAGAGAGCCGATCTGAGTCGCGCTTGATGCGTTTGTCAATGTCCACCTGGCGTCTGGACCGTCTGGATGTCCGCTCTGGTGTCATATTTCCCAAATATTCCCATTGATTACCCTCTGGTAAACTAACATAACTATGGAAAATCACCATTTGTTTATGCGAAAACTCACTATAAATGGCCATTTTCAATAGCTATGTTAAATTACCAGAGGGTAATAGCAACCCCCAGCCACAGCCATAGAAAAATGGGAATGCTCAAGTCACACCTGCAATCGTTGCACTTGGAAGTGCTCCGCCAGCTGTGCAATGAAGAGCTTCGGTTGACTGTGCGCCAACAGCACTGTGGAAGCCGCGAACCTCAACATCGAGGGGTTCGTAACTGGCACAACTTCTTGGCACAAAAAATGGGGACTTTCCCTCTGGTTATTTAACATAGCCATGGAAAATCACCATTTTTAATAGGTAAACCATCTATAAATGGGCCATTTCCATCCATTTCCCATGGCTATGTTAAATAACCAGAGAGTATGGAGCATTTGGATTTGGAGGCCAATTTTAAACTTTGAGGTTGTCAGATACCTATATTTATCAATTGCTGCCGTTTCTCGGCAAGATCTACCCTGGTAATTAAACATTGCTGGGAAGTCCTCCATTTAGTTCGGGCATTTCCCAATCATAAAATAATGACTCCGGAGGGTATCCCATCCCATTAATTGCTGCTTATATATATATATTATATGACAGTACCAGTAGGATATATATATATATATCATTAAGATCCCATTCATATCCATGAATTCTACTTCCCTCGTTCGAAGAGATTCTACTTCCCCAGCCGAAATCTCGCCCCTCAAGGCCCTCAAGGTCGCACCCCTGGGTCTCAGAGAGGCTGGACAGCGTGCGTTGCAGCAAGCTTTCAGACGCCTGGGATGACCGGGGGAGATTCTACAAGAACTGGGGAGAGATATCTGAGAACTTACTGGTGCTAAACGTAGGGTTGCTGGATGGGACTGGGGGTTGCTGGGATGATGACATTACGAATGTGATTTAGTGGGATCATTCCCGAAAATTCCCTGCGGAATTGCACCAGTAAGAGAATTATGAATCATGTGAGATTCAGCCTGGCTGCCATAAACAACTACCATGACGGGAAATGGTTGCAATCCCAGCCATTATGATGGAAATGGTTGAAAGATATGCCGCAAGAACTGGGAAGATATGGGGAGAAGGGGGCCCCTGAAACTGGCGAGATCCCGTCATCATCACAAACAAATATAGTCAGCAACATGGTATATAATATAGAATACTAATGACTAATGCGATTTAAGAACCAAAACTATATAACATGATTATATGGGTGAATACCCAGTGTTTGAAAGGGGAGAACTGGCTAAGCACCTAGTTTGAAATGGGATATTCAACCCAGTTACAGTACATATGGGTTTTTCTTCCATACCCACAACCAGGAAGTGAGTTGAAATTAGGATTGGAATGCGTTTTGAGAGATTTCAGAAGAGGTAAAGCCAAGCTACAGTGCTTTTTTCAGATGTCAAACATGGAATGAGCACATAATTGGGGAAACAAGAAAGAGTTTTCAACACCAAATATTTCACATATCTTGGTACTGAGTACTGACATCTAGCAAAAACCACCACCATTGGCAAGGTAAAAAAAAAAATCCAATCTATCCCCCAAATTGATATCGACGCTGTAGTAGTGATTCTCATAGTCTCTGACGTCTATGTTAGCTGTGATCCTATATCCCACTAATATCAATAATATTATCCACTATCCACTATAATGTCCCATTTCATCCCCATGGTTTATGTTGGTTTAATATGGTTTAATCAAGTTTAATCACGATTTTGCTGTTTCAACCATTTTAACTGCAGGAAATGGTACAACAACATGCCGGGCACTCTGCATCCGGCGCAATGAGCAGGATCGAAAGGTCTAAGGGCGTGAGAACGCTGTTGGGGATACTGCCTGGGCACCACTGGGCTATTGTCAATACTTTGGGCCGCAACTGAGATCTGGGTTTTTGGATGAAGATACTACATCAATTGATCATATTGGCACCTCTAAACTCTAAACTGTTTTGTTTGCACATCGTATGGACACAACTACAGATGTATCTCAGAAGAAAGCAGATACTGTAATAGTAACCTATAATTTATATAGGCGGTTATAACCTATAATAACCTGGTTGGTGGTTGACCTAACCCTCTGAAAAATATGAGTTCGTCAGTTGGGATTATTCTTCCCATATGGAAAGTCATATATCACTCCATGGTTCCAGTCACCACCAAGCAGATTCATCAGATTCTAGATCTAGCCAGATTCTAGATACCCAAACGGTTTATCCAGATTCTAGATACCCAACAAGATTCTAGATACCCAAACCACCAACCAGATTCTATGACACCTACCATTTCCCCAGCCTTCGGTTGTAGTCTCTACCGTCCCCAACATGACGACCCAGCCACGGCCTGCTTGCAACAGTTCTCCAAAGCGCTGCAGATTTGGTCGAGAACGACGCTCCTCGCAACGCCGAAGCATTGGGAGCATGATCTTTGACCATCTCGATCAAAGTTCACAAAATGGCACATTTATATACATTTATACATGTTTTGGTCTATTTTTCACATATGTTTGAACAGTCTTCCACCAATTGTGGGCCCACTTTTCAGCCCTGTTCAACCAAATTCTTCTAAAAGTTCAACTTCTAGTGGCGTGTGAAATATCTACCCTCCACAATTGAAAATCTATAGTGGCTGGGAGCTGCCATGCAACGGGATATTTAATGGTATAGATACAATAGGGAATATGAATATAACGGTGTGTATATATATATACCTATATAGTAATAATGAAATATAATATATATATATGTATATGTACACATAATCATAATCTAGATATCTATCTATATATATATAAGAATTTCTAATGAAATATGCATAATATATATATATATATCCCATTCCTCCCAAAATTTAATCATGAGTTCCTGCATTTTCCACCGATTAACGAATTTTCATGTTCTCCTTGGTGGCAGATGAAGCTCGAGACCTGCGAAAACGTGCGTAGCCACGGTAGCCGTGTAGGCCGGGTTTCGAAAGGGAGGCTTTAACAAACAAGAGAACATGTGTGATTCAATGTTGATTCAATGGGATTTAATGGGATTTAATGGGATTTAATGAGATTTAATGAAATTTAATGGGATTTATGATGATTTGTTTGTGCCATGTCATGGGATAAAAAACCAAGAAACCATGGTCGTTTTGGGATTTCAGTGGATTACCCGGTAGAGTATTTCACAGTTTGACACGACACTGGACTGCTACAAAAATACGATACACACAATGATCGTTCCACAAATGTGAGTTTATACCAAACAAACAGGTTCCGAACATCACAAACCACCATTTATTCATCCAAATTCACTATGTTGGGATGTGAACAACTATCGTATTGTCGTCCCTTTAGAAGTGCTCGTGGTGTTGAGACCATGGCTGGTAAGATCCCCACTCCAGTTGATTCTACCCTATTCTACCGTTATAGTTGTTGGTTTCAGCCCATGCCAATTTGGCACACGTGTCGTAGGATAACTGGACAGCATGGACAATATACCGTAAATTTAGTCATTGGAACCATCAACGACTTTCCACTGAAGGTATGCATGGTACTTGTCGGAATACTTGCACAGGTTTGCTGTTTTCTCATCGGCAAAAATGGATGGTTTGAGTACATGTTCACCATCATCAATGAATCACTGGTTGGTGGTTTTAACCATCTTGAAAAATATTAGTCAATGGGAAGGATTGTCCCATATATTATGGAAAATAAAAAATGTTTGAAACCACCAACCAGATCATTTTACGTTGTTGGAACTACCAACAATCAATATCAACAACCATCAACCAATATTGACCATTTAAAAACCAGGATCAACCATTAACAACCATTATTGACAACATGTTCACCTACAATACCCTACCTAGTGATCATCAGCCGGGCATCATCATCATCATCATCATCATCATCATCATCATCATGGCACTGCGAACAAATATCTTGCATGGAGTTGTTCCTATTTGGTCCTGCCATTTTTACGCGATGAACCATTGTGAATTCACATGCCAACCATTATTCGCCAGCATATTCATCATGTGGTTGTTGATCAAGACCCTGGGGCCCTGTATATAGCCATCAAATGGTCTTAGTTTTGATGTTTATCGCCCCACTGATCTTGAAAAATCATAGACCCATACCATCATAGCAATACCCATTTGTGATTTGTATCCCAGTGTTCCCAGTTTTCGGTGGAAACCCACCTGCCAATCAACCCTTCGGTAGAAATTCACGCTTGATAAATCACGTTCTTCGTTGAATTCACCAATCAACACCTTTCGTATTACCCTCTGGTAATTTGTAACAATTTGCTATTGAAAATGGCACAGTCGAAATAGTGAGTTTTCCCATTAAAAATGGTGGATCTTTCCATAGTTTTCTGTGGCTGTTTACCAGGTCGGGACGAATTTTCACATGTTTGAAAAACCATGCGACGTCCATTGAAATCATCAACATGGGTTTAGATTGGAAGCTCATTAGCAGATCCCAAGTGTCCCAGGTGTCCCAGGTGTCCCAGATGAGGCTTTCTTAACATGAAAAACAAATCCAAGTCACCATAGGTTTCAATACTAAAATGGTCTATATAATCTTGCATGATTGGGATGATTTGGAAGTACTCCCCATGACTTTGGAAACCCCAGCATATCACGATTATCACCATTCTACCATGGGTAGGTCACATTGTAGACCGTTAGATCCCCATGATACCCTCTGGTTATTTAACATATATAGCTATGGAAAATGGCCCATTTACAGATGATTTTCCCAGCTAGAAACCTCCAATTATCATGGATTTTCCATAGCTATGTTAGTCATTACCAGATGGTATCCCCACAATCATCGAACCCCCCCGGCCCCAGCTCCCGTGAAAATTTCGCTGGCCGGGCCTCTGCGGTTCCTTCTGCCGCACCAGAAATTGTGATGAGGCACTCTGCAGGTCGCTGGCCTGGCTCCAGTCACCGATGGATGGATAATTAGATATAGCACAGTAGTGCAAAATGTATACTAGATTGGATATACATCCATACCATTCTGTATATACATGATATATACATATATATATATATACATACACATCATATATATATATATATATATTTAAATATATATATATACATATGTTTTATATATATAAATGTTATATATATAAATGTTATATATATATATGATATATATATATGATATATATATATATATATTATATATATATGTTATATAGATATGTGTGTTATATATATATATATATATGTTATATCTATATACGTGATATATATATATATATGTTATATATATATGTTATATATATATGTTATATATATATGTTATATATATATATGTTATATATAAATATATATATATATATATAAATTATATACATATATATGTTATATATATATATCATATATGTATACAGAATTGTGGATGTATACACGTAGATGATTATAACAATGCACATTGGACTGAGGATTTGACTGGGATTTCACTATCGGAGGAAGGCCCACAACATTTTACCCATAAAAGTTGGCATATAACCGAGAGTAAAAAAAAAATGCATAAGTAAGATTGCTAATTTGGGATAGGTATGGGATAGGTATGGGATAGGTATGGGATAGGTATTAGCTGGTTAACTACATGGGATGTATCTGTTTGAGCTATCTCAAAGGTGCCGAAGGCCGCTCTTTTTCAGCATTCCATCACTGCCGAAGGCCAGACACCACACCCTGACTCCAAGAGACCCTACGCGCTGCCGTTTGCATCCGAGCTTTCCGATGGACAAAATGGCTCCCTTTGCTTTCATGAGGCACGGAGAAAACACGGAGAAAACACACATTTTGAGTTGACTTTGAGTTGACTCAGTTGACTTTGCCAAGATCTTTCCAATCGGTATCTCCGAACATCGAACGAGGTTACACTCCGGATTCAATCTGCTGTCATACACGCAGGAACATGACATGGCGAACCGCCAAACACCGCAATTTCGACACCCAAATATTCACCCATCGTTTCTGACGATGTCTATGTTTTGAAGGTGAAGTGCAAATTTAATATGGCTACGCAACCCCCAGTTCTGACCTATACCATTACATATATGTAGTAGTAATATGTAGTAATAATAACAATAATAGTCATAATAATCATAATGGTAACAATGATAATACTAATACTAATGAAAGTGACTATATGATAATGCTAATAGCAATACAAACAATAACAATGATAATAATGCGTGATAATACGTGTATATATATATATATAATTTAATTCATATTATAATACTAGTATGTGGTTGGGAAACTCCTGGTAGCTCCTTAGCTCCCCATTTAATAGGGAATATGAATACCCATAGCTCCTTAGCTCCCTCCTAACCACTGGATAGTATATATACATATAGTTTTCCCCCTGCCCCCGGAAAATCACAGCCTGGCGGCCTGATCCAAACGACGTCCAAAAAACTCTGCCGCCCGCGTTCCAGCTGAGTAAATCACCTGGAGGGCCTAGGACTCGACTATGACCTAGTATGACCTGGTCTTTGTTGCTGCTATCACTTTTTGGTGGGAGAATCAAACCGAAAAATCCACTATAAATGGAGGTTTATAGTTATAAAATGTTACCAGTAGTACCGCACAAGGCGGTGGCGGAAGTTTCAAAAATAGGAAACCTATAGGAGAGATTGGTTGTTGTGAATCCGGGATGGCAGAGCGAATCCACTGATGGACCGAAAGGTGCTTGAGGTCTCCTCTTTCTCTCTCTTTCTCTGACTATCTATCTATCTATCCATCGATCTATCTATCTATCTATCTATTTGTCTATCTATCTATCTATCTATCTATCTATCTATCTATCTATCTATCTATCTATCTATCTATCTAGCCATCTAGCCATCTATCCATCTATCCATCTATCCATCTATCCATCTATCTATCTATCTGTCTGTCTGTCTATCTATCTATCTATCTATCTATCTCTCTATGTATCTATCTATCTCTCCATGTATCGATCTATGTATCTATCGATGTATCTATCGATGTATCTATCTATCTATCTGTCTGTCTGTCTGTCTGTCTATCTGCCTAGCCATCTATCTATCTATCTCATCTAACCAGCTGGCCTCTCTCTCTCTCTCTCTTTCATCTAATTACCTATCTATCTATCTATCTACCTACCTGTCTATCTATCTCTCCCTTTCATCTGTCTATCTGTCTAGCTGTCTACCTGTCTATCTGTGTTGCAGTGTCATTCAGTGTAATGTAGTGTGGTGTAGTGTAATGTAGTGTACTGGAGTGGTGTAGTGTAATGTCCTGTAGTGTAGTGTCTTGAAGCGAAGCGACATCTGAACCTCCAAAAGTGGTCCGATCCCCTAGTGTTTTGTACATTTTGACGCCACAACGGCGTGCACTTTTTCGACATCTCAACTTCCAAAAGTGGTCCAACGCTGGTGTGTTTTCTCCATTTTGACTTCGAAATGTGCTTCGCGCCACAACGGCGTGCACTTTTTCAACATCCGAACCTCCAAAAGTGGCGCGAACATGCGGTGTTTTGTACATTTTGACTTCGAAATGTGCTTCGCGCCACAACGGCGTGCACTTTTTCAACATCCGAACCTCCAAAAGTGGCGCGAACATGTGGTGTTTTGCACATTTTGGCTTGGAAATGTGCTTCGCGCCACAACGGCGTGCACTTTTTCAACATCCGAACCTCCAAACGTGGCGCGAACATGTGGTGTTTTGTACATTTTGACTTGGAAATGTGCTTCGCGCCACGACGGCGTGCACTTTTTCGACATCGCAGCTGCCAAAAGTGGTCCGGACCTGGTGTGCTTTGTACATTTTGACTTGGAAATGTGCTTCGCGCCACAACGGCGTGCACTTTTTCGACATCGCAACTTCCAAAAGTGGTCCGGAGCTGAGGTGTTTTGTCCATTTTGACTTGGAAATGTGCTTCGCGCCACAACGGCGTGCAATTTTTCATCTCTCCTCTGGCCAGCTGGCTCCGCACCCGCCGCTTTAGCGAGCCTACTTTTCGACCCTCCGGAGCCCCAAATCATTGGAAAAACACAGTGTTTCGCGACTTTCCTACCTTTTCACGCATCTCCATCTTCTTTCTTCTTACTCTTTCTCTTCTACTCTTCTTTCTTCTAATCTTTCTCTTCTCTCTGCCTCTTCCCTGCTCTGCTTTTCATCTGTCCATATTGTCGGAAGTTTGACTTCTAAACTTCCTTCAATAAATGGTGTCAGTCACACACACACACACACACATATGACATACTCATTTGATCTCATGTGTTTTTTGAACATAGTTGTGCTTTAGAGGTTTGACTGAGGCTTGGTATGAAGAAAGCCAATTCGTAAACTTTAGAGTAGGTAATTGTGACCGTGGTTCAGAGCATGGTCATCATTCGCTTTTGACCACTCCTTTGCCATCCATCCGAATTCATCCATCCTCCGATCATCAAACATGATTTTCGGAGCCAGAAACCTCCAGTGCGGGGATGTTCCAGCCATGTTTGATGACTCGAAACGAGGCTATTACATTATTAAACATTGCATTACATGCTGCCTCGTTAGAATTGATCCGTCAGCAATCATGGAAATGGCTCAAGAGAACTCCAAAATCCCTCAGTTTGTCATTGTTGTCACAATCAAAATATACAGTAGCATTGTTGGGGATCCCCTCAAGACAATGCAAAATACATAGTCAAGTCTCATGGTTGGGTGGATTCAATAAGTCCTAAGGGTCAGATCGATGGGCCTCCAGCCCACTGTCTTAGCTGATCTCAGCTGATCTGATCTTGCCCCGCAGAAGGTTTTTGCGGTACCCTCAGCATGTTTTAATCGTGGGAATAATGCAAAGTTTATATGTAGATGCTTCGTATAGGCTTATACTAATGGGAATCCCACTGCCAACATATCTGCCAACATATCTGCCAACATCTGCCAACATCTGCCAACATGAGTATTATCCCCTTCTGTTGCCCATATCATCGTTTTTCACTGGTGGGTATCTCATGGCATCTCCATATTGGAAACTGCCACAAAACAGCGATGTTTCCCCATGTTTCTGGAACAAGATTCATAGGAAGAAATCTTATGAAATCTTTCTGACCCTTAAGACATCAATGACGCCACTGCCCGGGGGACACTTTTCAGCCCCCAGGCCAGTGCCAAGAGAAGGTTGTGGGACAGCGATGTGACAAGCGCGGTTGCCACCAAGTGACTGCACTGCAGCTTGGAGTGGTGTAGATTGCTGTGAAAGAGGGGGACGCCACAGCAACAATCATGGAAATTTAACATATCCATGGAACATATCCTGGAAATGGTTTTGGAAATTGAGCCACCAAAAAATGTAAAACATATAAATATCTAAATATCTCAGTTAACAAGAACGACCATCAACGTCGAACGCGTCACAGCCAGAGTGAGATGGTGGTCAACAGAATATCCGCTCTATCAAGCCCCCAATGGGAACCTTGTTACTTGTTTATCGCGACATGAAGATGTGTAACCAACTTCCTCATGCCACTGTCCATCATTCTCATGCTTCAAACAGCACACATAAACAGAAAGTTGAAACCTGCAGCATACCCTTGTAGATTGACAACCCCTGAGACATCCAGAACATTGGAAGTTTGGCTCCTGGGGTAGGTGGTAGGTGGAATTTTCACGTTAGGCGCGCATCAGCTGTAGCCCACATAATTGTAAGGCGTCACTTTCTTGAGCTCAGTTTTGATCTTGTCGTCCACTTTCAAGGTGTCCACAAAATTGTGGATTCGCCTAGCAGTTGGTACCCCATCCAGCAGGCAGAGTCGCTAAAATTGTGTGTGTTTGGACTGTGAAACTCAAAGGCTTTTTGGGTGTGCCCACGGAAAGCACATCGGAAACAAACAACTCCGCACAGTCAATTGGTGAAGCACAATGGATTGTGATAATCCATGATAATCCCCAATATATTGGATAGTATAACACCCGAACTCATCATCAACCAGGGGTGTCGATCGCGGCCAAGGAGCTCTTTGGTCATGGCTTCATTGGTTCGCGTCAAATCTCTCAGGGCTTCGTAGGGCTTGGGATATCCCTCGCGTCTCAGGATGCTCTGAATCGCCTGCTGGCTTCACCATAAAAAGAGCTTGGTAGATGGGACAATCACTCAAGTTTTCATAGCAAATCACAGGGGAGGTGAACAAAATATGAAAACTTAAGAGTGATTTGGGATGAAAAATGGGAATTTGAACTGAACCAAAAACAACATATGGAATGCACAAAAAATGAACAAATGGAAACTAGGAATTCCAAACGCAACGCGCCATTCCAACGGATGATTTCACCAAGTTTGCACCCATCAACTGCATCCTTTTTGGGGTTGGTCGAGACGCGGCAGGCTTATAGATCAACAAGTCTGGGGAGTTCATGTGAATTTTCCAAGTTTTGGATAGTTTTGGTAGATGGAATATATGTTTTCAATAAAAAGAGTCACTCTTCCAAGTTTTAGACCATTACAAGGGTAGGGTGTCCAGGAAATTGTTAGAGATAACATGTTTGAAGTTTCCCTCTAAGTTAACAACATATTCATTGATTTCCTTGCAACCAAAGAACGGAGAGCAAGAACGGACAGAATTACTATTCCAGAAAGGTGATCTCAATCAAAATAATCCAAACTACCATTACTGTTATAGATAGATACATAACTTACTATCTATTCTTACTATTATTGCTATACGTACCTACAATTATATCCTCCAGATTCAATATAATCCAGATTACTATATAGTTACATATAAAAATATATACATAATAAGTATAAATACTTTAAGTACCAATATATATATATATTATATATATATATATTCATCCAGCTTTTTGCTGGGAATTCATGACGTTTCCGCACCAAGGGCAACCGGCACTCCCAGGCCTCTGCCACGACGGCCCAATTGCTTTCCAAGTCCGCTTCCACGGCCGCCTCAACGAGACGCCATCCATGGACCCATGGCCAGACATGGCCTGAAAAAGTGAAAAGAACAAGCAATTTCATCCATTTTCCTATGTTTTCCTATGGGTTTTCCAGAGGATATCACATTATACCAAACATGGTACCCTCTGGTAAACTAACATAGCTATTGAAAATGGACATTTATAGTGGATTTACCGATTAAACATGGTAATTTTCCATAGTTATGTCATGATGTATAACTGGTTGGTGGTTTTAACCATCTTGAAATATATGAAAGTCAATGGGAAGGATTATCCCATATACTATGGAAAATAAAAAATGTTTGAAACCACCAACCAGGCAATTTCATCATTTCAAAAAAAGGTGTTTCCATGTAACATTGACAAAAGTTCATAAGTGAATATAATATAATATAAGTGATTGATAAAGATCAAATTTTGGGTGACTATTAAAAATTGTTGTGTCCAATGGGTTTGAATGATCATCGAAATAAGCGGCTTGATCATTGATGTTACATGTAAACACCAATAATCATGACTTAAAGTTAATTGATCTGATCAGATTGCTGAACATGAATGAAATATAACTGTGTTGCTGAAAATGATGTATAGTGAAGTTGATTCCCAACATGATTCCCCAAAGGACTGGGGATATTTCACTGGAGAATTTATTCTGAAGAGCTTAAGGAAAACATGTGTGTTCTTCGAGTTGCATGTGTTTGACGTCATCAGTGTGCTGGTGCTACAACCTCTGACGATAATGGAACTAGATGAACATATCAGATCCCAGGGCACAGATTTTCCACCATCAACTTTTCTGAGGACCTCAATTCCAACCCATACTGAAGTGGTTGGTGGTTGACCTAGCCCTGTGAAAAATATGAAAGTCAGTTGGGATGATTATTCCCAATATATGGAAAACATGTTCCAAACCACCAACCAGTGAAGTATCAATAGTCTCTTCCACAAATATGCTTTTGAATCTTTGCTTCTCTCTTGTACAAAACAACGGTTTGATTTTGCTATGCAGCCAATAACTGTCCATTTGATAAACCATGGGTATGTGAACAAATCACTCTTCAGTTGTGTCAATCAAATTCCCAAACCTTCAACCAGATGTGATTTTCCAAAAAAATATGCCTCAGAAATTCCCAACGTGTTTAAAGCTCCCATTGTTCCTCAGTTTTTCCACACGTCTTTTCCGTTAAAAACGCGCCTTGTTCACCAGCAGCTTTCCGAGGCCCCGCTGGATGGAGGCCAGGGCGATGGCCGTGTGCGCCAAGGGAAGTCCCACATTTCTCAGCACCGTGGAGTCCTGCGACGTGAACCGCGATAAGTAAAGCGTTGGATCGATCCTGTGGATGAAGATGTCATGGCTCATGGGATATGATATGATGTATAAATACAGTATCTGGTTGGTGGTTAAAAAACCATCTTGAAATATATGAGTTCGTCAATGGGAAGGATTGTCCCATATATTACGGAAAATATAAATGTTTGAAACCACCAACCAGGTATGTTGAGCTATGTTGTAGGATGTCCATGTATGTTGAGCTATGTCAAAAAGGATGAGAATCTACATTTTTTAAAATAGTGACACATACATTGACATATCTTTTCACATATTCTATGTTGGAATGGGGAGTCCCGGACAAGACATTTACGGGCTGTCGCCATAGATAATGGGAGGCAAGGGAGGCAATGGCACAGCACAACACAACACAAGATACATAAGCTTGATGTATAGGATTGATCCATGCCTATTCCGATTAGAATCATTCCAATCGGATCTGATTCAGACACATCGAGCACATGTGTTGTCTATTTGTGTGGCCTTTATCAACATTCATTTCTTGTTCAATAGAATTCCAATCAAAAAAAATAGATCAGTAAAACCCCTCCAACATTTAGTGAGAAGTTGCATATAACTTTTCTATCTAAGTTATACTTGGGTGTGTCGATAAATGGTGATAACCAAAAAAATGTAGTTTTAGTGAGTTGATTCATTGTGCACCATCTAATTTTGAGGCTTTTCCACATATTTTTTTTCAGACAAACCCATACATATATAAATATAATATATATATATATATACCCACATATCCATATATCTAAGTTGTACTCTTCGTTATTTTTTCCCATCCTTTTCTCTTCATATCTCCGATTCGACCGCGTGCAGAACAACGGTCATCGACATCGCTGACATCGCTCCGTGAGGTCGCGTTGCAAACGACTCACCGGGAGCTTCTGCGCCAGGTGTTCCAACATGGCCTTGGTCGGACCCGATGAAACAAAGCAGTCACTACCCTCTGGTAATTTAACAGTTTTCTATTGAAAATGGCCATAGAAATAGTTGATTTACCCATTAGAAATGGTGATTTTCAATAGTTATGTTAGTTTACCAGAGGGTAAGCATTTGGATCACTGGAAGACGTAAACCAACCAACAAAAAAACATGCGCTAGATTTTAGATCATTGTTTCAGGCGTTAAACTGATGATATATGGTAAATCTTATGATAATATCGGTCTAGATCTGGAAAATCCACAATGAAAGTAGATCGTTGATGTTCATTTATGTTCATTATTCATTGGGAGTTTCTATTCCTTTTCCAAATCTATCTTCATTTACTGCAGGGCAACATTGATTCCGGGGTTCTCGTAATGGGATCATAACATTAACTGCAGCTTTGTGATCTCTATCCCGCTCATATGGCAAATTTTGTCACATATATAATCGCCAACTACAAATGTCTGAAGCGACAGTGATGTAATGATAATGATGATAACGATAATGATGATAATGATCATGATGATAGTGATAAATAAGGATAGTGATAAATGATGATGATGCATACTACTACTACTACTAATAATAATAATAATAGTAATAATAATAATTTTATAATTCATTACGTTACTATAAGACCTAGAATAAGTGGAAGTATTTGGCACTTGGCATCGTCGCCCAACCTAGCTAAGCCTCTAAAACTGCCGAGAGTCATTGGCAAAGCCCAGGTTACCCTCGGCATTTTCGAAATCGATCCTCACCAGTCGCAATCCATTGAAACCCCAGGATGTATGGATATTATGGATTGGTTTCAGATGTTTCAGGGTAAAATCTGCAGGAAAACATCTGTTTAAACCAGTTCTTTTATAGCAAAATAGAGGTTGCCATCTCTAAAAAAAAATCTCAAGTCAAAACCCATGGGAGATTCATATTGCGGAATTCTATAGCTGGGGAACATGTGTGTTTTTTTTCTGCCCAAAGCCGTGGTCTCTCACCGGGAGCCCAGTACCTCAACTTGGATGGCCTTGGTGGGGATAGCGTATGGGTAGGTTGTAACCACAGCTATTGTAGAACCACTGTTATAACCAATGGTCACTATGAGTTGTATAATAATGGATGAGTTATAACCACAGTTGTATCACAGTTTTTGTAACCACAGTTCTCAACCATTCACTCATCATGTTTAATTTAACGGCAACTCTGAAAGATGAAATGTCTTGACTATTAGCAAAAAATCAAGCGATCCCATACCATATCTGTTGGTTAAATCACCATTACCCATGTTCGGTTTGTTTAAATCCCCAATCATTTGCTGTGTTTAAAGTTTGTGTGAAATTGTAAAATCACATACTTGCCGGGCTAGATCAGTCAAATCCCCATAGCCATGAATTTCCAAGTGCCCGTCTCTAATTGTCCATGATTGTCCCTAGATTTCAATCCCCATCTTAAACCCAAAAACATTGTGACACTTCCAATTTTTCCCAGACTTTGGTTTCCATATGTTTTACATGTTTTTTTTTCGCAAGATTTTCCAAGGAACTTCCCATATTTTTCCCGGGTTTTTCCCTGGTTTTTTCCCTGTTTTCCCTGACTTTTCTCAAGATTCCCAGGGTGAAGTCCCTGACTTTCCCCCCAGGCATCGGGCTCCGAGGGACGGGTTCACCTTGTGCGGCATGGCGCTGGAGCCCACCTCACCCGCCACGATCTTCTGCTTGAAGTACTCCATGGAGACGTACCTGGGATGAGTTGTAGGCTAGATCTATGGCTTAATCTACGCATAGATAATCTATTAAACTATTAAGCCATAGATAATCTATTAGGATTATCTAAAAACAATATGATAATATGATATTTCATAAGGATTGATAGTAAATCCACTATTTAATAAGGTGAAAAAATGATGTGTGGAGACTATGGGTAGATCTATGGGAGACGTAGGGTAGATATATTAGGCTAGATTATATTGGACTGTTCGCCATAGATGTTCATTTCTATGTGCGATGATTCGGGGAGCTGATCTGGAGATTATAGCGTTCAAACTGTTCAAGTTGTTCAAACTTCTATATGGACTAGCGAGGAATTCACCATCTAATTAACTGTCACCACCAAACATCATCCTTTGGTCCTTGCAAAGACCCCTTACCCCTTAAGGTTCTTTTGCGGTCAACTACTGCTTGAACATTTGCCAAAGTCATCCTACAATCCTAGAATCTCATGTCCCGAGATTAGTTAGACCCCAGTTCATTCATACCAAAGGTCCACCAGCAACTGATGATCCCACGTGTTAATGGTACCTCCGCAATCTGGATGAATTGTATTAATTCACCCTGAAATTAAGGGCACCCATCTTCCGTTTTGATATAGATGAAGCAACCGGCGATTTCCCAATCCTGAGGTGAGTGTCAAAAACTTTCCAAAACAACAATTCTAGTAACAATGGTTTGAATGCATTGAAATCCCCTTATGAAACAAGGAATACCAACCATCAACCAGGGTTTGAGGTTGACCAGAAACACCTCTTCCGTCGAGAAACATCCACACATCTTTACAGAGATCCAGCAGGATGGTGTTCAAGCGCTTGATGCCGTCCTTGCACACCAGTAGCAAACAAATGGTTGATCATGGTTTTTGATCATGATGATGATGATGATGATGACGACGATGACAGTGATTAATAGCTTGTTCTTCTTAATTCCATCATACCGGTTGGTTAACTACAATTGGAATTCCCATTGAATGGATAATGAGAATCCCCAGCAGGAGGAAAAAACAAACGAACTAATCATTCGCCAACACAGGATTTCGAACACTGCTCACATCACCTTCCGAAAAAAAAAAAAAAACATGCCCAAGAAGCAAAGATGGCACCCATGTTGTCGTAATGCTCAATCTGGGTGGTGTACCTCATGTGACACGGATCCGTGGATATCTATGGGATTTGAGTCCTATGATTTTCCCGGGATGTTCCTGGGACCTTGGTAGAATGGTGAACATCAAATCCATGGTGACATGACCAACTTTGGATGATTTGATGTTGGAAAAAAACACCCAAAAGGTGGATGATGACCAATTTTGGATGAGTCATGGGGGACCCAAAAGTTTCAAAAGGTGGGCCAGTTTTTGAAAAAAACACAAATTACTCTTGGATGTTCCATGATTAGTGCCAGGGTCTAAACATGCCATGAAAGTGCTGCTTCAACAGTGCAGCCAAAACCGCTGATTACATCCTAACCTCCGAACTTTTATAGTGTACATCAATATCTGGCATGTAGCTTCACCCTGTTGAAAAAAAACTTACTAAGCACTTAGGGACTTAGGGATCAATATGCTAAATGATTAATTATATAGTTATCGTTGTTGAATATAAAGCACATTAAAAAATACCAACGAATCTACCTATCAAAGATTCGAACTCATCATACGCCCTACGCTTTGCGATACGCCGAGGGACTGCTGTCTCTCCAATCCCAAGTGTTCGGTGCAGAACTTGTTGGCAAAGGATCGCCAGTCTACCTGGCCAATGGTATACGCAATAAATATATATATATACATATTATACACTATATATATAGGTATATATATATATATATAGATCTATTATATCTATATCTATATCTAGATATGTATATATATATATATTAAAATTATATTATTATGATTATGATTATCATTGTATACTGGAGATCCTTAATGGAATCGAAAAAGGTAAGATAACCATCCCTGGCCATCCAACTGCATGGACCATAAGATCCACTCCATAGAGTTAGTGGCTATTCCTTGGAGTTGAGAAATCTTGAAGAATCTTGAAAACTCCAAAGCTTGGAATTTACCAAGATTATTTGCCAAGATTATTTACCAAGATTATTTGCCATGACTGACTCATAGCTCCACTCCAAAGCTTGAACCATGATACCAACCCCCCAACCACTTCCCCCCACCCGACCTCTGGGAAGGTGACCAAGTGTGCATTCCTTGGGCGAAGTGATCAGTTCCAAAAACGACTTGCGGATCTTCCAAAGAATTCGCCATGAATCTTTGCTTGGCAATTTCAAGCCCTTGATGTCTATATATATATATATATGTATAATATAATACAATATAGAATAATATAATATAATGTAATATAATATCATATAATAGAATATAATATAGTATAATATAATGTAAATACAATATAATATAATATAATATAATATAATATAATGTAATATAACATAATATACTATACTATGTTATACTATACTAAAATATAATATCATATCATATAATAAAACATAATATACTATACTATAGTTTGATATAATATAATATAATATAATACCATATCATATAACATAATACTATACTATACTATACTAAAATACAATATAATATACTATACTATACTATACTATACCATAATACAATATAATATACTATACTATACTATACTATGATATAATATACTATAATATAATATACTATAATAAAATATACAATAATATAATATAATATAATATAATATTTATATATATATCATATCTCTTAGACTCAAGGGAGATTTGAATAGACATGTCTTAGGGATTGAACAAACATGATTAAAAATGACTAAGACACATCTATCCCAAACAAAAACATTCTGTGGCACCCAGTTTTCAGTTTTCGCCAAGAATCATGTTGCCTGTGGCGCCACCAAACTTACAGCTATGTGGAACCTCGCATATCAAAGGCGGCAAGTGGGACTTGCAGATTGAATTTTGGGAACTTCGAGGTTTCGTCATGGGCGTCATGGGGAAAATCCCCCCATCCATTTGTAGCTGGACAACGTTCCAGTCTCAATTTCCATGAGTTGGATCAGATTTTCCTATGGAATTCCGGTGAATTCGGATCGAGTCCTGGAGTCATTGCTGGTTGGTGGTTGACCTCCTCTGAAAAATGATGGAGTGAAAGTTGGTTGGGATGACATTCCCAACTGAATGGAAAGTCATTCAAAATTCCATGGTTCCAAACCACCAACCAGGATACTATTGACCATTGGTTTCGATGTTCTGTTTTTTGCTTTTTGGGAACGCTGAAAGATACACAACAGGTTCCGTATGTCAATAGGTTCCAAATGTCCAGAATCGAATAGGGACAAACATCAGGGTTGCAACATGTCATGGTATGTTCTAGTTCTAACTGAAGTCATTGCAGGTGGGGTTATAACTATGACTATACAGTACATATTTCTAAAACAGACACTGTAGCACTGTAACTATATAATCATTACAATCATATTATGATCATTACTGCAACTATAACTATACAGATTATAGTACCTAATATAATATTACATCTAATTATAGAATATTATAGATGTATAAGATTAGTTTCTTAGTACTTACACAGTTATAGTAATGAGAACTAACCCCTTTTTTTTTGAAGCTCCAGTTCTCCGTGATGTGGCACCTGTTTCAGCAACTTCAGCTGGCTTTCGATGCGTTCAAGGAACACCTGGAAGGTCAGGACTCGTCTGACTTGAGCACCCTCCAACTTTCATCGATTTAAAAGTAGGGTACCCGAAAAATCCAAAAAATGTGTCGACATCACGATTTTTCTGTTGAAAATTAACATTTTTTGGTTTCAGTATACCCTGTTTTTGGACAAGCCGATAGTTTTGAACTTGTCTGCGATCGGCTCTGCAAAATGGGCGTTCAACAGAACCCCCAAGGCGAAACAAATCGGAAACGTGAAGCCGCCGGCGGCCCATCCGACCCTGCAAATCCCATGACGGATCCATGGTGCTGGTAGAAAAATGCTAACATAATTAAGGGGGTATATTGATGGGATCCATGGAGCACCATATATAGCAGCCCCGCTAGGATCCGTCATGGGAATAGCTGTAAATCTTGGGTTTCCAGTTTCCTCAAGAAGAACTGTTCAGTTGTCAGTTGTCCATCGTTTTGTCCATCGTTTTCCCGTTCTTTTCCCGATCCTCGACATGATCTCCCTGGCATTTGATGGTCGACGCACCTTGAATTCCTTGGCCAAGTTGGTGGGAGAAGCGGGTTGGCCATGGGTCTTCGCCAGCATCGGCATGTCCCAGTCCGGAAGTTTGCCTTGCCGCCATGGATTCGTTGGCCACGAGAAAACCAAAGTTTTGGAGTTTTCAATGGTAACTAAATGTAGTAAACTAGAGAAACAAACGAAATGGAGTTTTCAATAATCACTCAAACACTAAAACTCCAACGAAAATCACCAACTCTTTCTTTCGTTTTAGGCGATTTTCTTCAAGGAGTGTTGGATGATGCCACCTCCCACAGTGGGCTCTGGGTTGCAGCCAGCAGCCAGGGCTGTTCCCCTAAGATTTCACCCTGCGCTATCCGCCTCGCAGAGTTTCCACCAACGCCTCCATGGAAGGGATGTAACTTCTGTGGATGGCATCGCGCATCAGCATGGGCGTGGCCGTATTGTTGATATCCTGGCGAGAAGCCATGGCCAAGGGAAGCCAAGGCGACCATGGATACCATGGATGTTGTGAGCGCACGTGTGATGAAACTGTTGAAATGGATGAAGTATGAAGAGTAGCAATACAAACAGGTTGCTGTTGTGACTGCTACCTGCAGGCACTGAAAATAAGAATCAAAGATCTTTGAGCGGAAGATTGATTTTGTAGCTTACAGTTGTTCTTCGGGTCTTGTTGCACATGAACAGCACAAACTTGTGAAAACACGTAAAAGAGACTGTGCTAGATACTCCTTTGTGAGGTATCTCAATTCACCCTGGACAGCCTACGGCACAACAAATGTAGCACTGGACCTCTCCCATAAATTGGGGCGGTCTTTGGGACAACAAAACTTTCAGGTATCTTGGCGTCACTGAATGAACATGGGCCGTTACTCAGAAAGGAATCTGAAGTTGTGTGTCAACAGCGGCCCTTCCAGACTCCATGACTGTGATGTACAACTTAGCATTTACAATTTACAATGGCTCACACAGCCCAGCACCAGCCAGAAACGGGATGTCCCTCTGTGTTTGTCTGTCTTCTTGTCACTTGTTACAACATATTACAACCCATTGTTTCAGCCTTACGAATCTGTGATTCCAACTGCGGTGTCCATCTTGAGCTATGTACGTTGAAGACAAGGGCGACATTTGCTGCTGGATGTGCTGTACATCGGACAAAGAACCACGGCCGTTGGTTTTCCCTTCATCAAATACCAACAACATACCAGTTTGCCAAATTCTGTTCGCCAGATTCTAAGGCCAGATTGATGTTTATATCAACATAAATATGATATATATATATATTGATATATTGCCTTAGAATCATGTCTATATAAATTTGCCAGATTTAAACATATTTAAACAGATCTTCATGGGATATCGCCCATGGGGCCCCCATTGGGCCCCCATTGGGCCCCCATTGGGCCCCCATTGGGCCCCCATTGGGCCCCGGTCTCCTGGCTCGTCAGTGCAAAGTGAACCCACTCCTGGCCGGTGCCCATGAAAGCTGTCAAAAGGGTGTGAGAGAAAAGTGTGTGGAACTTCATGTGGAACAAGCTAATATCATCTTTATATCATCTTTATATCATCTTTTGCCAATCTTTGGCCAATCATATCCAATAATCATCATGATCCACACAAATGATATTGCCAATGTTATTCATACTTCATGTGGATCCGAATGGAAAAGTGTGGTCGGATCCACGTGAATCATATTTCAGAAATCCCGGTCATGGAACATTTAGCCATGGAAAATGACGAAAAAAACGTTGATTTACCGATGAACAATGGTGATTTTCCAGGCAAATCGTTAGTTTACCAGAGGGTATACGATTTTATACTTGGGGGGACGTGCTGTCCTTACATCCCGATGGTTGCATGGCATCTGGCACCCGCATAGCCGCAGTCGCCTTGTATTTCTCCAAGCCGAGCTCGTCAAAACGTTTCTTGATGAAGTACTCCACGGCCTGAGGACGAAAAGACCAAGAAAGAAGTACCGGGAATTGGTGAAATGGATATGGTCACAATTGGGAAGCAATAACAAATAATATATATAGATATATAATATGATATGATATGATATGATTTTATATGATATGATATGATATAATAATATATTATGTATAATTATGTATATATCATATACGATATAATTTTACTATATACACAAACATGATCAAACATGCAGATAAAACCGCTAGACAGACACTGGGATACGTGGGGAGAAACAACTGAAGATGGGGCGTGGTGACCACAACAAACAAGGGCACCAACCAAGCCAGAAACATCGTCATGTTTATGTCCAAACTCCACATTTCTGGGGTCAGGGATTTGGAGCCACATCAATTTTGTCATATGGAATGGTATATCATTGTAAAACTATTTTCTGGTTCAATATTTCTCAATGATCATAACACGCGGCTACTCCCGACTTTGCTTCTTTCAAATATCCCGTTCCAGACAGAACTGCTACTGCTTTACATCTCCAAACTTTCTCTGAAGATCATGGGAAAACCCATTCCAATGGTTCCTATCCCATATTATAATTTTATAATTATATATATCCCTGAAAATGATTTCAAAAAATCCGACACATACCATTTTTTGCTGGTGGCATATCTCCCATGAATTCCTAGTGATTTGTGAACGGTTCAATCCCAATGATCCCCGAAAAAAGTCCCCAAAACTTATGTTCCTCAACAGTTATAGCAGGTGTATAACCTCACAATTCATCCCATTTAAAAGTGTTTTCAGGGCCGTAAAGTCCCCATCTTTAGGTCATTTAAAACATTTAGGACATCAATACCATTATACTGCTTCGTCAGGTTTGGAATTCCTATCGGGGATTATGATCATCTATATTCATCTAATATTGGGTAGTATAATCCCCTGTAAGAATCAACCAAAATTAAGGGCTTTTGAACACTGCCATATCCTGATCCGCCAAACTGCGCCTTCACATCGTGGTTGGTCACCTGACACGTAACTTGCGCATTGCGTTGCGTCGGCGCTGCGTCCATGGATAACTCTGCGGTTTAAGGGATGTTAAAAAAAAAAAAACGTTTTATATTTGGAAAATTACCTTTCAAGCATCATTATTTGGATGTTTTTTAATATTGATGTTTCCATTATTCCGTAAAAAAATAGATGTTGAATATTGGAGCATATTCATTTCTTTAAGGATGTCCAATAAAAACATTGGAAGCTGATCAACGACATGATCAACCTTCAAGATCTTCGGCATTAGCTAATGACAGTAGGCGACCGACCCTTGGTATCTCCAGAATACTGGCATGGAGGGTGAAAAATGGAGGTTTCCTACTATTGAAAATTGCTATTGAAAATTGCCATTGAAATAGTGGATTTACCCATTGAACATGGTGATTTTCCATAGTTATGTTATAATTACCAAAGGATAAATTGGGGCTAGGGTACCCCAAAATCCTCCAAACTTACCCGGCCTGGTAAACTAACGCCACAGAAAATGAACTGGAAAGATCCACCATGCTATCAAGCTGGGTAAATCCACTATTTCAATGGCCATGTTCAATAGCTATGTTGAATTACCAAAGGGTATATAGCCCATTCTAGTATTGAAACCTATGGTTTTAGGGATCCCCCATTTTCAGAAACTAATGGGGAGAAGGTCCTGTGATAAAAAAAAAAATCCTCGTAATGTAAGTAACACCAATTGAATGTACATCCGACTAAGCATATGATAGGTTTTATGAGAGTTTCTTGCATCACAACCCACATACTGGGGTTTATCCCATTCATTCCCGGTTGTAAAATCCTTGGATTTCACGATTATTAAGCCTCTACCGGCTGGGATGCACGTCAAAACTCACCATGGACAGTGAAACGCTGGATTGAAGGATCTTAAAAAGGCAGGTTTCAACGCAAAAGTCGGCCGTCATGTTGAAAATCCAAAACATTGAATGTTTGCCCCAGTTTTCGAACACCTCCAAAATATTATATATTATATTATATTACTATGTTATATAATAAATTATATATAATATAGCATATATTATTATTATATATATATATTATAGTTTCGTTCTTGGTAACATCTTGATTTGTTCGTTCTATCCCGTGATCTCCTGGTGAAATGGATCATATAATCACATCCCCATGCCGCAAGAGTATCCCCATATATATATATACATATTATATTATATTATATTATATTATAGTATATTATATTATATTATAAAAGTTATATTATATTATATTAGAGTATATTTTATTATATTATATTATAAAAGTTAAATTATATTATATTATATTGTATTAGAGTATATTTTATTATATTATATTATATTATATTGTAGTATATTATGTTATATTATATTATATTATAGTATATTATAAAAGTTATATTATATTATATTATAGTATATTATATTATATTGTATTATATTAAAGTATATTATATTATATTATAAAAGTTATATTATATTATATTATATTATATTAGAGTATATTTTATTTTATTATATTATAAAAGTTATATTATATTATATTATATTATATTATATTGTAGTATATTATGTTATATTATATTATAGTATAGTATATTATATTATATTATAAAAGTTATATTATATTATATTATAATATAATTTATTATAGTATATTATATTTTATTATATTATATTATATTATAAAAGTTATATTATATTATATTATAAAGTTATATTATATTATATTATATTATAATCCCTTCCTCCTAATACTAAACGTCCCCCTAATACTAAAAACAGGCATCCATCTCCAATTTCCGAAAATTTCAGTTTGGCCAATTTGACTTTTAATTGATCCCCTTTAAAAAACAATTTAAAAATCAACCTACCATTTGTGGGTTCTCCCCCCTAATACTAAAAACTAGTTCACCCCGGGGTGTTTAGTATTAGGGGGGCCTAGTCCCAATCCCTCACTCCAAGCTGCCTAGCTACTCTAGCAATTAGGGGTAAGCTTCTAACTGCCATTTTTGGCAATATTTTAATTGCGCTATATAAGGAAATTTAATTGATTTTGAGATCGGAAAAAATAGTTTTTAGTATTAAGGGTTTTAATTTAGTATTAGGGGTAAGCTTCGAACTGCCATTTTTGGCAATATTTTAATTGCGTTATATAAGGAAATTTAATTGATTTTGAGATCGGAAAAAATAGTTTTTAGTATTAAGGGTTTTAATTTAGTATTAGGGGTAAGCTTCGAACTGCCATTTTTGGCAATATTTTAATTGCGTTATATAAAGAAATTTAATTGATTTTGAGATCGGAAAAAATAGTTTTTAGTATTAAGGGTTTTAATTTAGTATTAGGGGTAAGCTTCGAACTGCCATTTTTGGCAATATTTTAATTGCGTTATATAAGGAAATTTAATTGATTTTGAGATCGGAAAAAATAGTTTTTAGTATTAAGGGTTTTAATTTAGTATTAGGGGTAAGCTTCGAACTGCCATTTTTGGCAATATTCTAATTGCGTTATATAAGGAAATTTAATTAATTAATTAACATGACTTCGATTTGGTTCCCTAATAATAAATACCCCCCTAATACTAAAAACTACCTGCCGTGTTTTGTATTAGGGGGGGGGTTTAGTATTAGGAGGAAGGGATTATTATATTATATTAACATATTTATCCATATTTTGGAATCCATATGAGCCACCGAGCTTTTTCCTGCGACTGCCTCCTGACATGCTTCACCTTTGGGGATTTTTGGGATTCCCAAATGACTGGCCAAGGCTATGGCGTTTCTTCGCTGCAACATCATTGGACAATAGTTCCAACAATTTGAAGCAGTTGCAAGTGGACATATGTTCATTAATCACATATAATCATGTTAATCATGTTCATGCATCAAGTTTTCTTGGGAATCAGCAAATCCTGTCATTTCGTTGGTTGAATCATGTGATAATCATGTGATAGTCCCCATTTTCCTGCAGATTGTCCTGGAAAAAATCATCCCGTTCGCCTTCTCGGTGTCTTTGATCTCCTGGTGGCCGAAGATGTTCCAGGATGTTTGTTTTCTTGAAAAAGATAGACATGTAAAAGAAACTACAAACATTCATGGCGACATTGTTTTTTTATTTTTAAACATGTGATTTAATAAAGGGATACTTAATGGTGAAATATAGCTAGTATGATCATCGTTTGGGTGTGTCTGAAATTGTGTATACCATCCAAATGGTCATTTTAGTGGGCAAAGTGATGATTAACAGTTGGATGGAATGGTGTTCCCTATTTTCAGCTAAACCCATATACTAATGAATTCTATCTTTCTGAGGATTGTTAGGATTATCTACCTCAAAATATATAATATCATGGTAGGAATGGTTACCTTATGTTACCTTACTCTATGTGTGTAAACATATAAACTACATTTCTATTCTTTCTGGCATCAGAATTCCATTCAGTCCAGTGCATCCCGTTATCTTTTCATCTCTTACTTATCCATATATGTTACATGATGTCATAATGATCTGAATGACTCCTGAAATATGTGTTTTTTCATGGTTGAAACTTGTTGAAGCACCATTTCTTCACCTCTTTTCATGGTAAACTCAACATGTTAATCACCATTTTTGATGGTAAATTATGATAAACTCAGCATTTTATCACCATTTTTCATGGATGTTCCATGGATGTTCCATGGATTTTCCAGCATTTCTTCCGTCATTTTCCCTCGTCGAACGGTTCCGGACCTGGGCGTTCTCCAAGGTCAACTTAGCCGGGATCTCCCGCAGCTGCGCTTGGGCGGTGGATGGAAGATCTTGGCCCATGGGCAGTGTGGCCATGAGGGCCAGGAAGTACTCGATCTCCACCTGTGAAGCATAGTGATCCACAGCACTGGTTACACTAACCAGCATCTGGTTGGTGGTTAAAAATAACAATCTTGAAAAATGATGGAGTTCATCAATGGGAAAGATTATCCCATAAACAGCATTAACCAGCACTAATAACAGCACTAACCAGCATTAATCACTACTAACCCATATTTTGATGTTAACCCCATTAATCAGTATCAACTTCATCAAGTCTTGACGTTCACCTAAGTAAAACCCATATTTTGATGGTAAAACCCATGGTACCCCCATCTGGTTGGTGGTTAAAAAAACATCTTGAAAAATATGAGTTCGTCAATGGGAAGGATGACATCCACAGCACTAATCACGACTAACCAGCATCAACCAGCACTAACCGTCATTGATTGAATGTGGGTATAACATAGCTATCGTTAATGTGGTATCTACCCTCTGGTAGACTAACATAGCTATGGAACATCACCATCTTTAATAGGTAAATCAACTATAAATAGGCAAATCAACTATAAATGTGCCATTTTCAATAGCTATATTAAATTACCAGAGGGTAACCAACATTCATCACCATTAACCAGCACTAACCAGCACTAACAGGTTGAGTGCTGGTTGGTGATGAATTGTGTTGTTCGTGGTCAGTGCTGTGGATCATCCCCGATGCTGGAAAATGCTATCCAGCTATCCACTGATGGTTAAAATCAATGGATATGATATGATTTATGTTGATTAAATATCCATAGTCCATATCCATTTAAATATGATCTTCTTCACTTGGGGATAGTTCTGGTTAATTTATTTATGGGATGCCTATGGGATGATCCTGTAAAATGACCCTCCAGATCTCCAAGTTAATGGCCTTAGAAAAGCGGATAGAATGGTATCGCTAGGGATATTTTGTTGGATTCCTAAGCAATATGACATATGATTCATATGATATCTGGATTTATCTAAGAAACTATGGCATAAGAATAAAAAATGGGGAGATCAACGATAAAACATGATCTTTAGTTCATAGTTCATTGACACTCATATTCATATTATAGTGTAGTAATTAACGGGTTAATATGGGTTACCAATATCCGATTGGACGTATGAGATAATCCATATACGGTAAGCACCAAAAAACGTGGAGTTCCGGAGCTATGGAGTTACCCGGCCTGGTAAACTAACGCCACATTTGGCGAGTCGTGGAAAGATCCACCATGTTATCGCTGGGAAAACTCACTATTTCGACTGGGCCATTTTCACATAGCTATGTAACAAATTACCAGAGGGTATATCCCATTAATATCCCATTGAATCACTATAAAGTTCCATTAAATAACTAGAAATCCCATTGAACACCATTAAATTGCCAGAGGCTAACTTGGGAGTCTTTGTTGCAATGTTTGGTTCCACCTTCTGGACTCCACCTTGGATCATTTTGGACACCTACCATGGCTTCAAACTGCTCATCTGAACCATCGGTTGCCATCCATTTCAGCTAGTTTATTAACTTGATATATATTTAATACTCCTGAATTAGAAAGAATTTGGATATTTTCAGGTGTGTTCCCATTTTAGTGATATTGTTCTTTCAAAAAACAAGTTCCATATAATTATGTCACTATATTTCCATAATCTATTATGCATATATATATTATAATTCATACTAAACAAATAAACGTGGAGTATTCTAGTTATATCATAGAGTTGATATGGATTTTATATGCACATTCTCATAGTTAATACCAAGCCATGGCCCATGACGTCCACATATATATGTCCACATCTCCCAGGAGCGACATGAACTCGGTAGCGGATCAGGCCGTACTCAGAGAAGTACTCGGCCAAGCCTTTGGTGTTCTTCCTGTGATCCCAAGGTGATCCGATGGAACATGGGATGTATCAGCAGAAAGCCAATATTTTAACATCTGATTCTAAAAAAAAGAAAGGTGACCATGACAGCTACCCTCTGGTAATTTAACGTAGCTATTGAAAATGGCCATTAATAGTGGATTTTCCCATTAAAAATTGTGATTTTCCATAGCTATGTTAATTTACCAGAGGGTAGCTAGCTATGATGAGTATGGTGAGGTGAAACTTATAAAGTTCAGATTCATGTTGGAACCAATCGCAGGGGGGGGTGCTTCAAACCCTTGCAGCCTCTAGCGATGTTGGCCTCAACAGATATTAGAGCATGGGTCAAACGAATATTTGGCTACACCGCAAGTGATTCCCCGCAGAGAATGCAACCATCCAACTTTGCGGCACTGTGGCATCATTCGCAAGTTGATACCTGCACGTTTATGACACGTACACGAAATCGCAGGTTTGGATGCTTGGATTTGGATGGTTGAATCTGAGGAATTTTGAGATGTTTCTGACCATGCAATCACAACTAGGACCATGCATATATATATATATTTAAATATAACGTGTTTTTCTCTTCAAATGGCAAATGTGTTGACAAAAATCCATTTTGCACGTAAGACCTTAAATACCTGCTAGAAAAATTATCTGTTATAGTATACCGTATCTATGTAGTTTTTAGATGAGTTCAAAGTTCATGAGTCTGGTTGAATTACAAACTCTTTAAAGTTCAACTATTTTGGGGATAGTTGGCCCTACATTCACCACAGTTATGGCCATTAGTTATAATTTATAAAATGGGAACATTCCATGGTGAAATGTTGCACTACCGTCCTGTAACGGCCATCCACGGGCGCCACGGCCGTGAGTTCCGCCAAGTTCAAGTCCTGGTTGCGGTTTGATCTTTCAGTATTCTATCACTATAAACCGATATGTCAGATAGTATAGTGATATCATATGTCAGATAATATATATATATATATGTCAGATGGAGGTTTCTTTTACTTTCAATGTTTAGTTCGCTGGGAAAATCATCGAAGTAAATGGTTGGATGAAAATATGGAAGGTTTAATCGAGCACGCCATCTCTGATTAGCGCAAGGGATCCAGTGTTGGGTGATTTGTTAGTTATAGAACGTCCTACAACTTCAAGAATGCAACAAAAATCAAGACGTATAAAAGGAGAACCATGATATCTTATTACATGATTGACAACAAATGACAACAGTATATAAGTTGATGCTCATTGTCCACCATCAATCCCAATTATACATTCCATTACCATTCCCCGAACTAACATCACGACCCTGCCTTTTGTTGGAATTGGAAGACTACTTTCCTCTCAAAATGGGGGATTGTTAGGGTCTATGTCAGCTGGGGCGATGGTCCAAAACTTCATTTACTCCCAACTTGTGAAATGCTTGGAGATAGACTATCAGACTATCACTAGTCTTTGTTGGGCTTGAGATGGCTTGACTCCTGGATGTCAGGCTGGGCCACCCCGTTCCCAAAATATTCGGAAATTGGAGCGCCAACCTTCCCATTTTAAATGTCTCAGGGGAAAGAGCGCTACCCCTCACACGTTGAAACAGCTCCACTTTAGACAGCATGTGAAAAAGTTACAACTCGAAAAAAAAAACAGAGCTCTCACCTGTGTTGAGTGCTTTCAACCCATGTAGCCAACATCAACTGGTGACGGGGTCAATCATCTGAACTAGTGGTAGAATCTGGTAGGAAAAAAAAACACATGTCCACAAAGATGTCCAACCAGATGTCGTCAAGTCATGGCTGCGCGCGTATCTTCTGATTCTTGAGGGGAACCATGTTGCACAGGAGATTTCCGGCGTTCTGGGCTCACTGCTCCCGAGAATCCGACGTTGGACCCATTTAGGACTAGACGTAGATTTGAAATGCTGGCAGAACCTGTCCCTCATGATCTCCACAAGTTTCAACCTACCAGGTCCTACCATCTCCTGAAAAATTGGCCTCCTGTTCACTGGTGATCGTAGCCGAGGCACCCCTAAGGCTGGCAGTTGTTGCCCAAAAGCTTCAGCAGCATCTCTCTTTGTCCTTGGCTCTCAACACCCAACAACTCATCTAGCTGGGGGTTGTCATGCCGCAAACGGCATGGCTTTGGGGTGGGGAGCGCGAAAATTCGGAAGAATCATAAATTTGTGAACTAGACCGATCATAGCTATCAACCACATACCTGCTGGGATGCACATAAGAGTGGAGAGTCTTCTCCTTCCATCTTTTCAGGCCAATATTGCGAGCGAAAGCACATGGACAACTAATAATTGCTGCACATCTATGGTCCAAAGATATCAATGGAACCCACTTTGGATATCTTTGGATATTGTCTGATGCCTCATACAGATGTTGTTCAACTGCTGGTGAAACATCCGTATTTAGATCGGATTTTCCAGCCATGATTGAGTAAACCGAAGGGTACATCATTTTATATATCCCATGACGGATCCATGGTGCTGGTAGAAAAATGCTACATGACTGGGGTATATGAATGGGATCCATGTTACCATATATGGCAGCACCATGGATCCGTCATGGGATATATCAGCTATTCATCACCACAGTTTCATGTCAAGATGCTGTCCACTCATGGTGTCGTACAGCAAATATGTTTCTCTGGCTTCTGCGGAACGTCACTGGCGTAACTGAGCCCAAAAAAAGCCATGGTGAGCCAGGCATAAGTCCAGCAAGATCCATCAACTTTGGGAACGGCACAAGCCACTTTGGAAGTTCACCAGTTTTCAAACAACACCACACATGAACAGCAACATTTATCAAAAGTCATGCTTGGCTTACACATGTTCACAGAATTTATCGTTTTATTCGTTTTGCTTATAGGGATGTGTCCAAATCCTCAAAGTTACGTCAGGTAGAAATAGTGATTGGATCCATTGGATTCACAGGGACGACTTCCGCAAGTGATATGATGGGATCATATGAGATCGTCCTGAATATTCTTCTCTACAGTTTACAGCTATGGCCCAAAATACCAGTTTTGTTAGTACTGATAACTCCATTTAAGTGGAATGTATAATATACCAGTAAAGCAAGTACTTGTAAGCCCATGAGAAAGTGGAATGTATAATCCCATAATCCCATCTGGCTAAATTATAATATTTCACTAACCTGAATTAAGGCCCATTTGGGGATGATTTCCATTAGAAACCATGATTCCAGTGAGGGAGAACAGTGAGGTCGTTATAATTTTCCCAGATCCCATAGAAATAACCACTTAGAACTAGTAGCCATGGCCATAACTGTGATACCTTTGGCACTTCTGCACCCAGATCCAGCCTGGCCATGAGACCGACACACCTCAGCACCACAGTGACAGCATGGAGGGATCCCTTTGGCCCAATTCTTTCGGGGCTGGTGCTATCATTGCTAATTATTCCTTAATATATATATATAATTATTGGGATATCTTGTAGTGGGGATGATAATATGGGATGATAACATGGACTGATCAGAGATGACCATCCATGGGAAAAAACAGAAAAACCAACCTGTCCATCACAGTCCATGCGTTCCGTCCGTCATCCCCGACGCAGAGTCGCTGCACGCCGTCGTCTTGCGCAGAGCATGTGGAGTGCCGCGAGCCTTGGGACCGGGGACCGACCGGTCCAGGGTCCTGCTTTGGATGGAGCTTGTGGAGGAAACAACGGGTCAACGGATTTGTTTAAGGGAAAATCTACAGGAAACCCACGTTTTTTTTATCATCAAATATAGGCTTAGGGGTTCCCTGTAAATTTATGTAAATGTTCCCATCATCCAATTCTGTGAATGGGAGATTTCACCAAGAATAACATGGATTGAACAGTACTGAACCATACTGAACCAACAAAACTGGGAAAAAACATGTGTTTTTTTTAATCAGCAAACCTGTGAAGAATCAGCAAACACTGGAGATAGATTCTGGCTCCCGCATGGTTTCCAAAGGGATGAACATCGATAATTCTCCATGGTAACGAGGGAGATCAATTTAAATGTGTGTCTCTTTATGTTTGACCATGGCTTTTTAAATGATGAAATTAGACCACTCACAAACACCTTGTTGCAATGTGTACAATTATTTTACTATCATCTATAACCTATTGCTGGCGTGTCTTGTAGATCCATCCTTTACCTGTATCGTATTTGTAGAGCCAACACCGGGCCGATACCCTGTGAAAAAAACAAGCGGCTCGGCAAGTTTGGCAGCGCAACGGACCCAAAACACGTCTCAGACCTGCATTGTCAACGCGGTCTCGCGGTCGGGTTCCATAGTTCCACACTGCAAAAACCCTGATTGGTTGAGGAAAACGATGGTTTTTTCGATTTTACATAGATTATGTATATAGTATTTAGATTGGTTCCTTCATTCTCCATGATCTTTTTAGGAGATAGAGCCGGTAAATATGAGAACCACCTATTACCTAGGCCGGAAGTACGTCATGATCAACTTGGATTCTGAGTGCATCATCCTACCAACGAATCCAACCAAAAGGTGAAAAGGTGAAATGATGTCCCTGTACAGCCAATGGCCATGTGTCCGATTCTTTCTCCAATCAACGACTCGGTTACCGTGGCTTACCAAGATCTCAAACAGCAGATTTTTGGGGAACAAAACGAACATCATTTCATAGCTTTCATAGCAAACCTACAAAAACTGAAAACTGGGAAGACACCCATTTCTCGTTTTCCTCTGATTTTTGTTGCCTTAACCCAAGCACTTTTAAAGGTCGAAGCATGTCGAACCCCCACAATCCTCGCCTCATCTGCAAGCCCGGAAAGCCCGGCACACTCGACTCGGCCTCCAGAGTGATGAGGTTCAAATGGATCGGTTCAGAAGTGACGAAAAAAAACAACCTGAAAAATCCATCAAAATCCATCAAATTCCTTGATTTATCATGATTTATTTATCCAAGTTTTTATCCCTGCTAACTCCTTGATTTATCTGAATTAAATCCATTCTGCAAAGAAATTTAACTCGAACATCGGGATCTTTCATACTTGACGAGAACAAAACCGCCTTGTCGATGCAGCTGAAACAGCGCAACAAGTCCTGCGTCGTGGAATTTCCACAGGACCAAAAAAACAAGAGATTTACCATATCATATGTCTATTATATAGTTCATAGACATATGTGTATGTGTCTATGTATAATAGTATGCATATATATATATATATGTATATTACATTTAGTTTAGTATATAAAATTTATATAATTGCAATATATCAATAGATCCTGAATTATTCTGAATATTTATCTTGTTACATTCTTAGATGCGAAGAAAAAGCCGAACTAAGCCCTTTCCATGGTCACCATCAGTCATCACCATGGCTTGATGGCTGAGAACCGTTTACCTTCCCCAGTCATGGTAGGGTTATGGCAGGTTTCCCACATGAATAGGATGAATATCATGGAAGAATATCATGGAAAAGTATCCTAAATCTAAATGGATCCTCCACTCTTGGACCATCTATACATATCTATACTCCACGTAGTAATATCAGTATCCAAAAATATACCACATGACCATCTGAGCTATGGTCAATACCAATGGTTAATATCCATTAATAGGGGCTAGTCATCCAATGGTTCATAGGGATTTATAATAACCATTATAAGGATCCTTATTATGGATGGGATGACCATCAACCATATAGTGAGTATTGACCATGGCTTGCCCAGCTTGCCCAGGGCGCAGCCGTCCGTAAGGGGAGGTGCACATTTGCCAACATAGGCCTCGAGGACAGGAGGACGATTTTACTGCTACAAAATGGACATTTCCGAAATGGCATTACAACGGGATTTCATGTGGAAATACTATAGAATCATTGGGATTTCAATGGATCAATGGATACAACGGATTTCATATTAAATTTCACTCTAATATATATTATTGAACTACTCCCATGGAATGTTTGATTAAAACACATGGCGTATCTTAGGTACTGACCGCAAACATACAGCTAAAAATACTAAATTTCAGCTGGGTTGGTGTTTTTGTTTTCCCATTGATGGCAACAAAAATCAAAGCTTCAGCGATTCCTACAAGTTTCATGAACTTTTCAGCCAGTGAATTGCCGGTGTCAAGTTACGCCAAAACCTCACGTCGTCAACGTGGCTCAAAGCTAGAAAGGACCTGGATTCTCATTGGATTGGTTTAGTCGGGAACATCTTAACCGGAAACAAACAATGGTTTTTACCATCAAATATTAGGGACTTTCCTGTTTTTTTATTCCCTTTAACCGTTAACCAATGAGATTTGGTGGAGTCGCTTGGAAATTCCGTCCCGGCACTGGCCAAAAAGATCTGGGCAGTCTGGCCAAATCCGCATCGACCTGGCGGATTTGGTGGTACTTTGAAGGATACAATACCCATAGGATCCATGGTGCTGCCATATATGGTAACATGGATCCCATTAATATACCCCAGTCATGTTAGCATATATACCATACATGGATCCTATGGGATATGGATACAAGCCACAAAACTGGATCTCAGCATCTGTGGATTTGATATCAATTTATCATGGATAAAACAGCGTCATACTTTGAGGGATCTACTGAGGGTATACCCCTGAAATGGTAGTTTTGATATGGAAAACGATAAAATGTTGGCAATTGTTTCTCAGACAAACCATCAAATTTTGGAGGAAAAAAAAGCATATAATGATGGTATTGAACTAGGGACAAACCCACTTCGGCCCCCTTGGCCGCGGGACATATTTCATACGAAGCTTCCCTCAAAGGGCTTGATGGTGGTCGGATTCTGCCAGTGTCAGCCACAGTTTTTGGCCCACAATAAAATGATGTTTAATGGTTGATGGTTTCGTCTGAAGAATATGAAGATCGGTTGAAGAGTTTAAAGATCATCACCATCATCACCATCATCATCATCATCACCATCATCATCGTCATCATCATCCCAACAATATCCCAACATATCCCAACTATATCACCATACTGGTTACTTAAATATAACCTCATCCCAAATGATCCAAATCCAAATCGGGCGTTTCGTACAAAAACCGGCCCTCGATTTCCAACGCGCCAGAAGCGAAACGTGTCAAGGCTGCACAAACTTCGCCTCGACCTTGGTCAGGAATGGGATACCGATACCGTCTGCCAGGAATATGACCATGGGTCAAAAGCCTGGTACCCCTGGTGAACCCCAAAATTGCTGGTGAATGATCATCCCACTAATGATGGTGTTAGATGGTAGAAGATCTACTAGATGGTGTTAAAAATACGAATATTGACTAGAATGGTGTTGCTCGTGGTACTAGATTGTATTAGATACTACTAGATGCTATATAGATGGTACTAGTATATTCAGGTACGGTATATTGACCTTGATTTCTGTGGCAATTTCGGTTGGCAGTTTCCCTCGCTGGATCTGAGCATAGGGTACATAGGCCTGATAGTTTCCCAGCAAACTATGTTTTTCAGATACACCCAAATGTTCGAACAAACCCATTTGCCCATGTAGAAATCCAAGGAGTCTTGGCAACAACAGAAGAACCGCCACCTATCTGGTGGTGCAGTTCCTCTAGTAATTTGTAGAAGCATATAGAACCATAGTGACTGCCATAGTGTTCGGGAA